CAGCTGCATGACCTTCTGATCGCCAGTGGAGCCGAGCCTGGCATTCAGAACAGGACCCTGAAGTCCCTGGTAACCTGTGTTAGACCAGCTGGAAAGGAGCCTGGAGGCTTCAGCTAGAAATAAGTGACGAAGATTCATGCGTGGGTCCCAGGGTTTGCAAACCATCAACACTAGGCAGTACCAAGAGTGTATTCCAAAGAAAACAGAAAGGCTTAGAGCTCTCGTTGTGATATGCACCTCCTTCAGAAGAGTCAGCCCTGCATTCGCAGCCTCTGGATGGGTCTGAGAGGGTCTTCCGCTATGTGACCGCGGGTCTGGGTGTGTGGACCGTCTTTCCTGAGCCGTTCAGGGGCCAATCAGAGGGCTATCTGAAGTGGTACAAGTAGGCAAGGATGTAAAAAGTAAAGTTCCCTCTTTTTCCTCCCTTTTTTTCTTCCACTGTGCATACCTCTACTCTTGCCTAGTAAACATTGATAACACGATTGTACCTGGAAGATCTGTGAATATTGCTCATTGTTCAGTACACTGTGCTTACATTTCCTTTCCTGGAATTCCAAAGCCAAAATTCTGTTGGCACTGAAAGAATATTCAAATGTATTCTCCACCAAATGCTCACATTAACACCACAGTTCAGTTTGCTTCATATTTATATCATGCCTTTCTTATACAGATTGTTTTCCTGGGAGTTTCTAATTGCTTCCTCTTTTTTTTTCTTAGCAGAAGAAGCCAAGCCTATGCCATTGTCACTGTATTCTGGGGTTTTTTTTTTTTCCAGCTTCTGACTTATTCTCTCAATATTTATTCTGTCCAGTCGTCTTGAAACCTACTGAATTCCTATTCTGGTTGGCTCTGTTTTCTTTTTATCTGGACCATGCTTTCCCAGTACCACAGTGTCCCCCTGTAGTTCCAGGGCGTTTCTCTTTTGTCCTCACATTCTGTTATTTTGGAGAGTAAGAGTAAGAAATGAGGATGAAGGGAGAGTTGCGTGAGGGACCAGTAAACAGGACAGAAAAGAACTCCCAGCCTCTGCAGACAGAACTGCATGTGGCATGATTGGTGGGCAGAAAACTAAACACACGATGTCCGTCTCTCCGTCCACACCACCTCACAGGGTGTCCTCTGGAAACTGAGGAAGCAGTCAGGCGGGACCCGGGGCAGTGTCTGCAGGTGCTGACACCCTGGAGCGGTTGGCAGATGGCAGCCAGCAGGCCGGACCCTCCTGCCAGCTGTTCTGGGGAGGCCTGGGGGCTAAGGATGGTTCTTACATTCTTAAAAACTTGGGGTGATCAAAAGGAAATGAGGACTTGGTGACATGGAAAAATCACCTGAACGCCACACACCAGTCTCCATAAACAGCGTTGCTTGGGAACAGAGACACGCTCGTTGGCTCGCTTCCTGTCTGCGGCTTATTGCCGTAGCGAAGCCATGTGTGGTGTGCTCCTGGCCTTTCACTGCCGCGCGGGCACTGCAAGTGACAGCCAGCAGCTGGAACTCAACAGCATGTTGAGTGCCACCTGTAGCTGTGTGGTCTGTCATTTTAACCTTTAAAAACAATTGCCAGCCCTGGCTGGGTGGGTCAGTTGGTTGAAGCGTCATCCTGTACACCAAAAGGTCACTGGTTTGATCCCCGGTCAGGACACATACCTAGGTTGTGGGTTTGATTCCTGGTCAGGGCACAGACAGGGGGCAACTGATTGATGTTTCTTTCTCGTGTCTACGTTTCTCTGTCTCCGTCTCCTCCCCCCACCACTTTGTCTTTCACTAAAATCAATAAACATATTCTTGGGTGGTGAGGCTTAAAAAAATTGAATACAGTAGTCAAGTGAAATAAAAATTAGAGCAAACTATCATTGAACACAAGACAAGAAGTGAGAAAATTGTTCTCTCAAGGCAAAGTGGAGTATGGATCATCTTGCTACCGAGTTAGATGGCTGAGCCTCGTGTTCCTTATGCAGCGACACCAGAGTTGTGATAAAAGATACACTGTGTGTAACGTGACAGGATTAACCAGTCCTCACCATATCCCCAAGTTAGAGGACAATGAAGTATCAGAAAAATACAGAAAATTCAAAGCGGAGTGTCTCATCACAGCAGCATTTATTTATAAATTTTAGAGAGTGTAATGAAGCTACAACCAAAGTAAGTCTCCAGATAGCTCATCGGTTAGCTAAGTGAGGAAAGCCGTTTACCAACGGTAACCGAAATCACATGTGATTGCGGTCATGTAAGTAATGTGCCCTGAGAAAATTTGTTTCACACAATCAGTCCAGGACTCTGGCAACATCATCAGTATTAGTTGAAGAACAAGGCAAAAGATTCCTAGCTGTTTTCCTTGGCTCTTGAAGTTACTGATACCGATCAGTTATTGATATTGTACTTAACTAGGGCATCAATGCCAAGTTTCAGACTAAAGAGTTACTCTCTGCAAGTAGTCTGCCTGGAACAGCTCCAGGCAGGATGTTTTCAAAGAAGCTGAGAATCTCGTCATTCAGTTCAGACCTAAAGTGGAATCTGCTATGATGTGTAACAATTGACAGTAGAAAAGATATGAGGTCTGTCTGGAAAAAGTCCAACCATTGTTAACATAATGGGAACGGTTTACATGACATCGATGTCACCTGGCAGCCAAGGAGAGAGGACTGGAATGCGCATGTGTGAACAATGACGACTTCACTGCACTCGTCAGTGGGGGCGGTAGGCACATATGTGAGTGAGCATGTGGCCGTCACATTCAAAATGACTGAGTGAGTAGAGCAACGAATCTGCATCAAATTTTGCATTGAGCTTGAACATCCCTCTGAGGAAACTATTCAGATGAGTCAGAAGGCCACAGCGCTGGGCATCTGGTGATTGGCAGCTTCATCACAACAATGTACCTGCTCATGCATCACATCCCCTGCAGAGTTTTTTGGCAAAACATCAAATAACCCAGGTGACTTAGCCTCCCTACAGCCTCCATTTGGCGCCCTGTGACTTCTGGCTTTTCCCAAAACCAAAATCACCTTTGAAAGGGAAGAGATTTCAGACCACCAATGAGATTCAGGAAAATATGATGGAGCAGCTGATGGCATTTGGGAGAACAGTGTGAAGTCCCAAGGTGCCTACTTTGAAGGGGACTGAGGCATCATTGTCCTATGTGCAATGTTTCTTGTATCTTCTTCAATAAATATCTCTATTTTTCATAGCACATGGCTGGATACTTTCTGGACAGACCTTGTGTGTAGAACAAAAAAAGGTTTAGTTGGACAAATGTACAAAGTTTGTGAAAATGGCACTTAAAAGTTGTGGTTATTGATAATATTATGAATTGGCAAACACTTGAGGGGAAATACTTGAATCTCTTACATGTGACGGAATGAGTAATGCCAACCATGAACTTCTTTTGCTCTTGTAGACTTAACCATCACCATTTCTGTGAATTTGTGTAGGAAATAGAGGCTGACTTATCCTACCCCACAGCAGTTAGGGGGGTTAGCAGCAGGAAAACCTCACTGTGAGTTTTATACCCAGGTCAGGGCCGAGACTGAAATTTTTCTAAACAAGACCCTCCTTCAGCCGCTATTATTAAACATTGAATGGCTTGGAAAATCAGCTCTTGCTAAGTTGATACTGGATTATCAAATTGACATTTAACATCTGTTATTTTTATATTGTAATAATTTAGAAGTAGAACTTAAATTCTAGTGATTGAATGAGCTTTTGATAATTTGATACTTGATACTGCGTCTTAGTGAAATCAGCCTAACGTTACAAGGCAACACAGCACTTGTCCGAGAACCTTAGTTGGGCTGCCGTTACGTTCTTTTCACAACCAGGAACGTTTGGATCACAGGGAGCGCCAAGCTACTTTATACCCCTCCCGTGCTATTAAAAGTTAACACAAGATGTGAGAGCTTCATTCTCACACAGTTTTTGCTGCCGGTATATTTTTCTGAGCTCAATCTACAGTTCTAGTGGTTTCCTTCCCTACTCTATGTCCTGCTTATGGTGAATCTATCCTCCTTGTTAAAAGTTATTTAACTTGCATAACATTGAGTCTCCAGAGGAAAGATAAACAGGTTTGCTCTCTTGAACTAGTAATAAAAAAGTTGCAAATTCATGTGGACTTTTTTTTTGGTTCATTTTATGTTAAGAGCTAATTCTATTTTGCTACTAAGCTTGAACTCTTCCCTAAGGCTCGTTGGTTCATTGCCTCCTCTGCAGTGGCCTCAGGTTCAGGGTCATCCTCCCCTCCAGGAGCACAAAGCTTGGTAGTGAAGAGAGAAACAGTCGTAACTATGACGCCATGCCAAAAGATGGCGATGGAGATGTGTGCAAACGCTGTGGAGTGCAGGGCAGGGGGTGACTGTTTTCGCATGGAAAGTAGATGAAGATGTCTTCAAAACACGCGCACACAGCAGTGTTTGAGCTGGATCTTAGAAATTAAAGCCAGAAGTTCCCCGGGTAGAGGACAGGCATTCCAGGCAGAGGCAACACCACGTGCACAGGCCTGGAAGGCGAGAGACGGTAGGACATGGCTGCACATGTCCCCGCACAACAGGGGGAGTGGCAGGAGAGAGGCTGGGCCAGTAAAGTAGGACCGGATTGTGAAGGCCCTGGACAGCGTGCCCTGAAAATCTGGTTCCGGATGCAAATTTCTATTGCAGGAGAGGTGGCTCATAAGTTCAAGTAACATCACATCCTATCAGGTTATTTAGTGTTCAACCAACCTATTTGACATAGATTTTCCATCTACTTACACTTCCTCTTTATTTGATATACGTGCAGTATAAGAGCCAAATGACCATACCTGGCACTAGTGTAAATTCAATTGAGACAGAAAATGCACTGAAGTTTGAGATTTTTAGTAGTTTTTAAAGGAGGAAAAGACTTTTAAGAAGTATTGAAATAGTCTAAAAGGGCAGTCATTCTTGATTTTGTCTTTACAAGCTTTAACCATTTTTGCAAGTTGCCTATTCAATTTGTTATTTTCTGAAACTTGAAATTTTCTTTTTTTTTAGTGGACAGAAGACTGCAGAAAATCAACTTACCCTCCTTCTGGACCAACGTGAGTAAATATGAGATGATCAAAACTCACATTTTCCTGTGTAATAATCTCAAAAAATAATGGGAGTGAATAAAAATTTAAGTCATGTCCTCTAAGAAAGGCAAAAAAAATCTTTCTCAGGTTTGTGTATGATGTATTTGACTAAAACTCTGGACAAATGTGAAAATACTCCATGATTACTACATCCGTTTCTAGCCTATCAAAATCATAGGGGGGAAAAAAAAAGATTCCCATTCTCCACTAAATTCTCCTGTCTACTGCTCGGCATTTTCCTCATCCTGAGAAACTCAGAGCCTAGTCATGATGTTCTGTGCTTCCTGAGTATTAACGACCAGATTTCACTGGGACAAAAAAGTGTAGGATCTTACATGTGAAACATTTAAGAAATAAATCTAGCACGGTAATCAAAATCTGTCAAGGGGAAAGCAGGACTGGAAGACAGAGGGAGGGGCCCAAATTGTGGTTTAGTGTACTCAGCGTTGATAATTTTAGTCTAGTTACAGGCATGGCCTTTTCTGATCCTTTGTGGCTACACGCCTGTGAGGAAGAGGTAAGGACAGCTCACCTGCCCCGAGGGGACCAGGGTGTGGGAAAGGAGGAAAGGGGTAAGATCCGCTGGGGAATCTTGTTTGGCCTGCTCTTCCTTCTGCACGAAAGTAGCCTGCTGGGGGCAGGGGAGGCAGAGGACAACTTGAACCAGGGGTATCAAGATGACTTTCCGGGTGTTGTAGGGCTCTAATCTATTTTGTACTGCACTTGCCTAAATTATGCATCCTAAATAGATAGGCTCTGTTTCAGATACAAAGAAACTGTAGCAAACTAAATTATTTTGATTTACTCACCTTTCTGCAGAAAGAGGCCAATATTTGTCAGGAAGTAAGTTAGAGGTAATTGGTTTCTGTGTTTTCCCAAAGCCAGAGCCCTGCCCAGTCGCCTGGGGTGGCTTGCCCTCTCCACGCCCTGCTGTCAACACTAACCAGCACACTAGCGGTCGTGCCCTATCGACTGCGCCCTGAACTTGGCTGGTCTCCACTGCCCCATGGAACATTCAATGAATATGTTCCACATTCAAGGCTCTGCTTCTACTCCGTTTCCTGCGCCCCTTGTATGTGTCTACAAACCGATTGCTCAGCAAACCTTACCTGCTTTCAAGTGGTTCCAAGTTACCGAGTGTGTGTGCACACGTGTATGACACATACAAATAAACACCATTTTCTTATATGTAGACAGCTGCATAATGGGACTGTTTTTGCCTGGGGTTTCTGCGGGATTCCTTCCTACCTCGGTAGGCAGTTCCCAACACAGAAATCCTCAGCACCACCCTGATCGTTTGGTCTCTCCTCTGAACTACCCACGGATCTTGAGATCTGGCAGAGAAGAACCTCGAAGGATGAGAAGTCCTCCTGTCCCTTTCGGGGCATCCTTTTCACTCAAGTGTGTAGATTCTGGAGAGATGTGTGGGCAACCGTGAGGAAGGAGAGAAAACACCTGTTTGTCCCACCTGACCAGTCACTTCAGCGCTGGAGGTCAAGGCCCGACAGCCCGAGCACCCGTGAACCACCCGCGTCCCATTAGCATTCCTCCGCTGCTGCTCACTGGGCTCGGCCTGGGCTCTGTTGTTGGTGTCGGCGTGTGGTGTAGCACTTGGGCTCCGTGCCAAGCCCCCTGGGGTCCCAGGTGGGTTCAGTCTGTGCTTGATACTGATTATGATGCCCTGGGCACAGCACGTGCTGTCTCCAAAATCGTTTAACGTGTGTTGTTTGTGGTAAAGTAGAAAAATATCCTACCGTGATTGCTGTTGATTGAATGCTGATGCCGCATAGTTCATGAAATCCTCATTGCCCTCCTAAGGCAGGTACTCTTGATTTCTGTAGGACATGCAGGTGCCGTTGTTCAATACTGAGATATTTTAGAAAAATGTTTAAAGAGAAGTAAAATAGGGGCTTATGGCTAAGCTTTAGTTAATTAAAAGAAGGTTGTTCATCAGATGAATGGTTCTTACCAAGAATTCTGGTTAACGGAGCTTTGATTGTAGAGAGGTTTCTGGGGTCCCCCACCCCCACTTCATTTAATTCTCCACTGGAATGAGTTCGTTTCCTCTCCGTTTCTTCTTCCGAGTTCTTGAGCCTGACCAGAGGGGTCCGCGCTGAAAACGAGTCAGGAGTTTAGGGCAGCTGTAGGGGCGTGGTTTGGATTTTATCGGCTGTTACGAGGGGAGGAGCAGCCGACTGGAGTTCACGGGTAGAACGCGTGCGTTGTGGACGGTGCGGCCACTGGCCGCTGGTGTGCGGGGGCGCCCCAGGAGCCGCTGATTTCTTACTGCCATTTGGCTCGGAGATACCGCTGCACGCCAGGGGCCGGGGGAGGGGCGCAGGGAGCAGGTTGGAAGCACCTGCCTGTGATAGGATGAAAATAATTATTGAATTGTGTAGCAAAATTTTGCATGTGAAATTATGATCAGCCAGAAATGGAATTTATTTGTCTTTATATAAAGCTTTTTTTCCCTAGGAATTAAGGAGGATAGTATTTAATATAGATATCAGCTAGTAAGGAAGGGGCATTTCAAAAATGCTTTGAAAAGCACAGAATTTATCCACTGCGGTTGGGTTTAAATGTACGTGTCCGGAGTCAGGCGTGCTTTCCTTTTCCACCTGCATCACGACACTGGTGGCTGCTGGTTAGCAGTCTCAAAAAGCCACAAACATGCACCCAGGCTCCAAGCTCAGCAGCATTATTTAGAGAAACAAATAAGTATTCACGGCCATAGAAGTGTCAATAGGACCACAGCTCCTGTCTTTTAGAACTAACCAATCTCTGCTATAGACGCAAGACTGGATCACATTTTAGTTCGACGGCCTGGCGGCACTGCACACGCTAGAGCCCAGCCTGCGCTTTTCTGGAGCGGAGTAACAGTGGGGCAAATGCTGGCTGTTTTTGGTGTAGTTTTTTAAAAAATTTATTGGGGTGACATTGGTTGATAAAATCATGTAAGTTTCAGAGGTATAATTCTATAATACATCATCTACGTATCGTATTGTGTTCACCACCCCAAGTCTAGTCTCCTTCCATTTATCCCCCACCCCCTCTCCTACCTCCCCCCACCCCCCTTTTCTGCTGGTAATCTCTGTACTGTTGTCTGTGTCTATGAGGGTTGTTTGGGGGAGGTTTTGGTGTTTTTTGTTGTTAATCCTGTCACATTTTTTACCCAGTACTCCTTGCCCCTGACAGCTGTCAGTCTGTTCTCTGTATCTTAGGCATAGTTTCAAGCTGAAGAATCACTGAATGGCACACCCTCAGAGGCTGTTTGAGTGTAGTAACAGATGCCAGAAGATAGCACTTTCGTAGCAACAGACTAGGTATAGCGTTCACCCACGAGAAAGAAATACGGCCCAGGTCCATTAATAATGGAAGGGCGTGGACATTACTGTATACTCAGCAGAAATTGCTCTGTGTACGTTGATGGGTGGGAAGCCGGGGAATGGGTGTGATCCCACAGTGCTTGGCCCTGGATTCCCGACAGAAGAATGAGAAGGGAGGAGCACAGGAGGCAGAGGAAGGTGGCCAAGTTCATGGGAAGCTGATACGTGGTGCCACTTCGGGGTCTTCAAGGATCACCCTACTAGAGCCAGCAGCAACTGGGCACTAGTGCCAGACTGTGCAAGAGGAAGTTCTGACTGGGAAACCAGTTAGCCAAGTTCCCAAGCTTAGACTAAACTTTTGCAGAGATTGAGGAGGAAAAAAAAAGGGGGCAGGTATTTTCTAGCAGTGAGATTCCAGTTACATGTAACTCTGGAACCAAAATTGATTCTTTCCCATATCACCAGTCACATTAACGTTTCAGTATGTATAATCTCTTCTAAGAGCTCTGAAACTGCTTATGATCATAGACAACGTAGGACAGAAGCACTGGGCCATGAGTGTTTGCAAGTTTTCACTTGAAGACTAACTTCTGTATTGTTATTAAGAATATATCTCTTCTAAGGGGACTAAGTGGTAACTGAAAAAACACCATAAAGATTACATTTTAAAAAAGGAATATATCTCTAACATGTCCATGTAGAGATATATTCCTAACACCCTAACACCCATTAAGACTGCTGCTAATATTTCAAGATGCTGCACCTCTCATTACAGCTACCGGGGGCCAGTCCCGTGGTACACCATAAACCTTGACTTGCCGCCCTACAAGAGATGGCATGACTTGCTCACTGACAAGGCATCGTCGGTAAGCTGTGGCTCCTGACTCTTCCGTTTCTGACCTCACTGACTGTGGTCGCACTGGTACAGGAACCCGTACTTCATGAAATTACACACCACGTATTTTAAGAGTGAGCTCTGGATTCTTTGCTGCCATTTACAATAAACGATAGCAGAGGAAAACATGCCGTTCCTTGTCTGTCACTTCTTGCTCTTTTCACTGGCCTTTGCCTTTGCTTCTTTCTTTCTCTCTGTCTCTTCTGCCTTCATCTACATGGTTGAGCACATGTCATGCTAAAGATGTGTTGTGTTTACATTTAACTGAAAATATTTTCCAGTATCACCCTATTTTATTTCTCTGCATACAAATAAATCAAAAGGTCTATATCTGTTTTCATTATACCAGTAGTAATCTTAAGTGTCAGTACTTCTTTATGTTTCTTATTAATTAGTTAATTAATTTTACAGCTAAAGATAATCGTGAACTCCCTAAAGGATGTAGTAAATGCTTTTGTTCCAAGTGGAAAAATTATGCAGATCGTGGATCAAAAGTTGGTAAGAAATATTGTTTCCTGTAATAAATTTTAAATACACCCAGTTCAGAAAAGCCTCTGGTATTTACTTAAAGGTGTAATTGTACGACCTCTTGTAAGGCGCTTAGACACGGCTGTGTTTATTCTAGACCACTGTCCAAACCTCAGCTTTCTCCTCAGGGAGAGCTGACTGAGACACACGGTGTGTGGTGGTCGTGAGCACGGCCTGACATGCCGCAGGCACGGCACAGTGCCTGGGTGTAGTAAGTGGTGAATGCACGCTCAGTGGGTCCTTTGTGTGTGTTAAATTGGAGGGTCTAGTCCATGCGTGTGCTGTCTTAGGCCACAGTCCCTACAAATAGCAAGCTGGTGAGCAATGAAACTTGTAAATTTTAAACATACTGTTTTAGCAAGAGGCTATGTGAGCTTTTAAATTTTGATCTCGTTGTTAGTGAACCATTGCAGTTAAGGATAAAAGTATGATGTACGCCATCGAAGTTGCTTGTGTGCTTACTATTTGCTAACAATGCATATAGCAGCTTAGCCCACGATCATATATTAACCAAGTCAGAAGTTTTTGAGAATGGCTAGAGACAGGTTCCTGCCATGTGTGGGAAGGAAACAGCAATGAGGGTGAAATGCCATTGGCTGAAGGGTGGGTTTGAGGAGAGAGGTAGGGAGGCTTCTTGTGGTGCTCCGGTTGTGGGTCACAGCGGGGCATCCATCCACGTGCAGCAGCCGCTCCGGTGCCCTGTGTCTGCAGAAGAGGGTGAAACAGAAACAACCTCAGACGCATTTGTCTCTGCATAATACCAGAGAACAGACGAGCGTAAGGGTGCAAAAGCAAGAGTCAGAGCGAGTATTACATAGGCCTTTTAAAAACACATGATGTAGAAGTGTCTTAAAAATAAGATCACCTATCGGGGCAGCAATCTCTAGAACGCATGCTGTGTAAAAGAACCAGATCTCAAAGCAGCGCCTGAGGTTGAGCGATTGTTCATTTGTTTGGTTTTCAGCCTGGTCTACTCGGCAACTTTCCTGGCCCCTATGAGGAGGAGATGAAGGGGATTGCAGATGTTACTGGCATACCTTTAGGTGAGGTTCATTTCTCAGCTTTTAAACAGTTTAATAAAGCACTTAACATTTGTTTCTATTGCGGCATGGTATACATCCTGTGAAGTGCACAGATCTTAAGAATACAGCTCAATAGAATTTTAAAAAATACTTACGGGCAATACTTAACTGCAACTCAGGTCAACATACAGAGAACTGCAGCCCCCCAGAATGCTCCATCGTACCCCTTCGCAGACAACACCGCCTCCCCAGGTGGCCGCTGTTCTGACTTCACCGCCGTTCGTTTTGCCTCTTGAACGTTTACAGACGGGACGGAGCAGTGCGCACTGTCGTCTGCTTTCTCATTCCCGTTGTACAAACAGGAGGTTGGGGTTGTCCCAGCTTTGGGATATGAAGAATGAACATGTGTGAACTTTCTTGTATATGTCTTTCGATGGGCATAGGCACTCATTTCTCTTGGATTTACAAGGAGGACCCCCGAGAATGGAATTTATTTGTAAAAATTGTATATTCTACATGCTGACACTTCAGTCCCCTTCAGAATACTATCTATTTGATGTAATACACCAATCAAGACATTTTTTCTGCTACTCAAACCTGTTTTTGAACTTGTTGATTTTGATGCCTTTGAAAAGGGCTTCTGCCATTTTTTGTTTCACCTCTTCCACATCGGCAAAACGTTTTCCCTTGAGGATGTTTTTCATCTGGGGAGATGAAAAGTTGCTTGTAGTGAAATCAAGTGAATAGGGAGGGTGGGGCACAGGGGTCTTGCTCTTTTTGGTCAAAAGTTGCTGAACACTCAGCGCATTGTGGGCAGGTGCGCTCGTAAATCACTCATCGTGAAATGGGCAAATGTGTTGAAAGAGCCTTCAAAAAACTTCACAGAAGCTGAACGCAGCCTCTCACAACGACACCAGCTGGCACACTGATACAGATGGGTTCCTAGAACACTCACCTAGCCGGGGAAGCCTGTCCTACAAGGGGCCCGCCCTCCAGAAGATAATTCCAGGGGTGTTTCGGGGTCCCCCCGCATATACTGGGTGACAAGGCAGCTGCAGTGTTTAGCCTGGTAGATTCTGCCGGCCAGTCCTCCAGAGCGGTTGTATCCATGGGCTGTCAACACAGCATACGAGTTCTAATTTTCTCCACTTGATTCTTTTCTACTTGATAGTCTTTTTTACTTGAGCCATTTTATTGTGTTATAGTATCCCATTATTGTCTCATTTGCATTTCCCTGATGGCTGATGAGAGCAAACAGTGTACTGACCCCTTTCTTCCTTCTTTGTGCTGGTTAAAGTCTTGTGCCCATATCTTATCTGTGTGAAGAAATTCTTTATATATTCTGAATGAAAGTTTTTTGTCAGAAATATGTATTCCAAATACCTTCTCCCAGTCTGTAGCTTGCTTTTTTATTCCCTTATTGGTGTCTTTTTGATGAACAAAAATTCTTAATTTTAATAAAGGTCATTTCCTCATTTTTTTTTAGGGGTAGTGCTTTTTGTGTGCATTTAAGAAATCTTTGCATATGCCAAGGTCACGAAAATATCCTTCTCTCTTCTAGATGTTTTTCATTTATTCGCTACATAATCTATCTCAAATTAACTTTGGGCATGGTGTTAGTGAAGGGCCAAGTTTCAGGGTTTTCCATCCATCCACTGGGCTAAGCTGCCTTTCCTGGCAAAGACCATCCTTCCCCAGTGAACTGCAGTGGTGCTCTTGATGGAAATTGGGTGGTCGTACACATCTGCTTCAGGCTGTGGACTTTCTGTGAAGTTTCATTTATCTATTTGTCTTTACTTATACCAGGACCATGCCCCTGCAGTCACTAAAGCTTTAGAGTAAGCCTTGGAGTATGTAGTGTAAGTTCTCCACCTTTATTTTTCTTCAGAGCTCTCTTAGCCATTCTAGACCCTTTGCATTTCCATGTAAATTTTAGAATCAGCCTGTCAACTTTGACAAAATAGCCAGCCGACATGTTGAGTGGGATTGTAATACTGAGTCTTCCAATCCACGAATATCATATATGAAATTTCAGTATTTATTTAGGTTGTTGATTTTTCTGAGCTGCATTTCTAACTTTTAGAGAGGGTGTCTTGCATATTATTCATTCATATATCCTCCATCATATTGTTTCTCATAGTCTTCATATTCATCATGTTTTTAGGTATTGATGTTTTGGAAGCTGTTTTCCAACTAATAGTATTTAATGAAACAGACTTTTTCTGCCACTCCAACAGTCTTCTTTTTAAGCTACTGAACAATAGAATAGCTACTTATTTTAAGTAGCCTGTATACCCTGGTTTTACAAGAGAGATGATTGAGAATTTCTGGAAATCAATAGTATTTATCAACAAAAAATGGCTAGATTTTTTTGGTTTTTGCTTCTTTAAAAAATGACTTAAAGGGTGGTCTCAAAAATGATCTAAAAAGCTAATTAGCATACAGAAAATATACATTTGTAGCTTATATGAGAAGTAAGTCTTTAATTTCTTTATTATATAAATAACTCTAGCAAATGAATACTACATAAATATCTCAAGAGAAAAATGAATTGAAAAGTTTAACCAATGATTCATAATAAAAGAAAAGAAGAGTGTAATTTCACCAAAACAGAAATCAAATGGAAAAAAACACACATTAAATTGGGGTGAAAAAAAAACGTTAAGCCTAACATATTAACATGAATTGGAACAGTGAAAATGTATATCATTGAATTATTATTAAATGCTATTAAATGGTATCATTATTATTACACAGTTTTGGAAGAATATACAACAATTAAAATATTTGACGATGAATTTTCTGTGTAAGCTCTGTACTTATTAATACTTTCTGTATTTCTTTTCTCATCTTCGAATATTGGTCACACTCTAAGGATCTAGGCAAAATACTTCTCAGTATGCAACCAAAAGCCAGATGCATTAAATTTTGTAGTTGAGCCTTCTGAAGAAAACTAAAAGGAAGCACATGGGTGAAACAATGTGGACGTTCTGGTGCAATAGAATTCCCCCGTGCCCACATGTTCAGCTCCCCCCTTTGGGGACTAGCTTTGTCATCCGTCTGCAGTGTCCAGGCCGGTGAGACGCTGTCACTCAGCCAGCCGTGCAGGCACGTTCAGGCTGGCCTGCTGGAGCAGAAACTCCCACAGGGAGGACAGCTCACCCCTTTCCAAAAAAGAAGTTTCTAATAATGTCATGGTTCTCTGTATTAACAAAAGAAAATTTCTGTCTTTTCCCATAGGAGAGATTATTTCATTCAACATTTTCTATGAGTTTTTCACCATCTGTACTTCGATAATAGCAGAGGACAAGAAAGGTAAGTGTGCTCAGGGAGGGTGGGCGCCAGGAAGTGCAGGGTCAGGGAACAGTCTCCCACGCAGATGGAGGGAGGACTTGTAGAACCTCAGCTTGCTTTGCGAATTGTGTGTGTGTGGCACACGGTTTTATGGATTTCTGTAAATTTTTAAAAGTAAATTGAAAACTATCCTTATTTTAAGACCACTGTAATGCCTATTAAAGTTTAGTTCAGGCATGCAAAACAACTTGGAAGAAGTGTTCCAGGACTATAAACATGCTTGCCCTTCCTCATGGTCTACTCATACTCATCTTCAGGATCTGACATAAGTACTCACAGGAGGCTTAATAATCTTTGTGATTGTAATGGTCCCAGCCTTCTCTTGCAGCCCAGGACAAATCATCCAGCATTCCTCAGCCAACAGCCCCCGGGCAGACCACCGTCACCTTCCCATGTTTTCCCTGGCAGATCCCGAGTACAGAGCACAGGATGATTTAGCCTGGGTCACTCTTATTTTTGACCTGCACTTTGTTATAAAAGCCTGCCTGTACCTAACCCTTGAGGTGTCCAGCTGTGGCTAACATGCCTGAAGGATGTTGGCAAGTCACATTAGGTGAGGCTAACGTAACTGTGTCCGGGTAGGACAGTGTCCTAGTGGACCAAAGAATGACCACTTATCCTCTCCCCGTATTCTAACCTTACCTGGAACCCTGTGATCTCGGGGATTATGGGGGGATCTGGCCAATGTGACAAGGAGAACAGTTTGATCTTAATACTCACAGTATCAAGATGCTGCTTAATTCTTCTTGGATTTAACAGGTGTAGATACCAGTGAACCAAAACGAAGCGTCTGGCTTTAAGATCTATCATACTATCATAACTACTTCTATGTGTCTCTTGCTTTCTTTCAATTAGGTCATTTAATACACGGGCGAAACATGGACTTTGGAATATTTCTTGGGTAAGTCAAGAAAATGGTGTGTTATCAGTCCTTAAGAAGAGTAGATTGTATTGTACTGATGAAAAGTCCCAAGTCATTCTCCAAGTGTGACCACAAGGGAAGAACGTGGGTTCCTTAGTGCTGGGACAAGATGGGCACACTCTTACTCAGTTGTTTGTGAGTGCGTACCTCAGTGGTACCTAGTGAACAGAGATCTGGAACACGCTTGAAGGCCCAGATGCACGTCCAGCTTATTGCTTAAAAGGAAGAATATCTCTGGCTGATGTGGCTCAGTGGGTTGAGTGCCTGCCTGCGAAGCAAAGGGTCGCCAGTTTGATTCCTGGTCAGGGCACCTACATGCCTGGGTTGCAGGCCAGGTCCCCAGTGGGGGTGGGGGCGCATGAGAGGCAACCACACATTGATGTTTCTCTCCCTTTTTCCCTCCCTTCCCTTCTCTAAAAATAAATAAAATCTAAAAAAAAAATCTCTAAAAAAGGAAGAATAGCCTTCTGTTTTATGTCTCAATCTTTCTGGAAAAAGTGTAGTCCTTTTTACAATGAGGGCTAAGTTTGAATCTGGGGTGTACCGTTTGTAGGCTGTTGTATTGGGAGAACGACTGAGCCTCTCTGAGCCTCAGTTTTGTCACGTGGAGAGTGGAGAGCAAAGCCCCTATATTATGGTAAAGTTCTTTTTTATATTGAATTGATTGGGGTGACACTGGTTAATAAAATTATATAGGTTTCAGGTGTGCAATTCTGTAATACATTGCCTGTACATTGTACTGTGTGTTCACCACCCCAAGTCGAGTCTCCTTCCATCACCATTATCCCCCCTTTACCCTCTTCTACCTGCCCCACCCTCTTTCCCTCTGGTAGTCACCATACTGTTGTCTACGTACCTGAGTTGTTGTTGTTTGTTTGTTTTTGTGCTTAATCCCTTTATCCCCAACCCCCCTCCGCTCTGACGCAAAGTTCTTGTTAGGGTTGATCATTAGGGATTAGATCAAGTACCTAGTATAACGCATGGCCGTCATCATTATCTTCATCATCATCATCATCATTGTTCTGAAATGTCACTAAAACTTGTCTTTTGCAGGTGGAATATAAATAATAACACCTGGGTCGTAACCGAGGCACTAAAACCGTTAACAGTGAACTTGGACTTCCGGAGAAACAATAAAACTGTCTTCAAGGCGTCAAGCTTTGCGGGCTATGTGGGCATGTTAACAGGATTCAAACCAGTAAGGACTGTCCCATTACGTAACATTACAGGTAGCTCTGCATCCTGCTTTTCCTCTCTGTGAAGGGTGGATCTAAGGAAACGAGGACCTAAAAAGAATATGGAGCCCCTGTTCACTCGTTTGCACTGCTTGTCACCTTCGCAGGAGTGAGCTCACATGGTAGAGGGGAGTAGAGAGGAAATGAAGGCTCCTGAGCCCACTCTGGGGGCAAAGTATGTGGCCGGATGGCGGGGCTGGGGAATGGCCGCCTGGAACCTGGTCCTGGGTCTGCCACGCAGACACGTTAGGCGTGAATTCTCTGCACTGCAGATTCTTCATTAGAGAAGGGAACTACTTACCTCTCACACGGGGGGCGAGAGTGCTTTGAACTTCTAAAACAGCTCTGTCAATAGCAGGTGATATAATCATGGTTTTGATTAATCGTTGCACTCCCCACGCCCCAGTCCAGGCCTGGGTAGACCACGCAGACTACGGCGAGAGGGCCTTGCACAGGGCGGTCTCGGTTTCTGACTTCACTCCTTTCTTTTCTCAGGGACTGTTCAGTCTTACACTAAATGAGCGTTTCAGTACAAATGGCGGTTATATGGGTGAGTAGACCGTTGTTAAGCGAAATGGGGAATTTCATGGGTGTTTTAAGAGGAGAGCTGGCTTCACCCTGTGGTTCACAGTCCCAGCTGTTCCAGGTCTGGTGACCCTGTGTGTGTTTGCTCCCTGCCAGGTGTCATCGAGTGGATTTTGGGGAAGAAGGATGCCATGTGGATAGGTTTTATCACTAGAGCAGTCCTGGAAAACAGCACAAGGTAATCTGGTTGCTTTATCATCAGATTTAATGTTTATTTTCTTTCACTTCAAAATTATTTGTATTGATATAATTGATGTGTAACATTAATTTAAGGTATACAAAAGGTTTTGTTATTTGTATGTATTGCAAAATGATCACAGTAAGTCTAACATCCATCACCACACACATTTTTTTTCCTTCTGAGAACTTGTAAGATGTACTTTTAGCAACTTTCAAATATACACTACAGTATTATTAACTATAATAACCACATTATACATTACATCTCTAGGACTTACTTTATATTTCAACGTTTTTACCTTTCAACCTCCTCCACTCATTTCACTAACCCAGTCCCCATCCTTGACTGACTCTGACAACCACTCATCTGTTCTCTGTGAGTTTGATTTTTTGTTTGCTTTTAGATTCCACATATGTGAGATCATATGGTATTTGTCTTTTGCCTTTGGATTTATTTCACTTAGTGTAAAGCCTTCAAGGTCCATTCATGTTGTTGCAGATGGCAAGATTTCCTTCTTTTTTATGGCTGAATAGTATTCCACTGTGCGTATATATCATATGCACACCTCATGTTCTTTATCCATTTCTCCGGCAGTGGGCACTTAGTTTGTTTCCATGTTTTGGAAACAAACATGGTGAATGTTTGGCTATTGTAAATAATGCTGCAGTGAACACGGGGGTGCAGGTATCTTTTTGAATCAGTGTTTTCATTTCCCTCAGCAAAATACTTCCAGAGGTGGAATTTCTAGACCGCATGGTAGTTCTGGTTTTAGTGTTTTGAGGATCCTTCGTACTGGTTTCCATGGTAGTTGCACCAATTTACATTCCTGCCAACAGTGCACAAGGGTTCGCTTTTCTCCACATCCTCACCATCACTTTTATTCCTTGTCTTTTTGATGAAAGCCATTCTAACAGGTGTGAGGTGCTATGTCACTGTACTTTGGATTTCTGATTGGTGATGTTAAGCACCTTTTCATGAACGTGATAGCCACCTGTTTGTCTTCTTGGAAAAATGGCTAATCAGAATTTTTGCTCATTTTTAATGGGATTATTTGGGTTTTTTTGCTGTTGAGTTGCATGAGTTCTTTATATATTATGGATAGTAACCCCTTATCAGATACATGTTTTGCAAATCTTTTCTCCAATTTAATAGGTTTTCTTTTCATTTTGTTGACAGTTTTCTTTGCTGTTCCGAAGCTTTTTAGTTTGATGGAGTCCCACTTATTTATTTTTGCTTTTGTTGCCTTTTGGTGTCAAATCCAAAACAATCATAGCCAAGACCAATGCTAAAGAGCTTACCACTTATTTTCTGCTAGGAATTTTATGGTTTTAGGTCTTATATTCGAGTCTTTAATTCATTTTGCATTGATTTGTGTGTTTTGTGAGATAGTGGTCCATTTTCATTGTTTTGCATGTGGCTTTGCATCCAGTTTTCCCAGCACCATTTATTGAAGAGACTATCCTTTGAAGGTACTTCAGTGTGTACTGAAGATACACATTGGTGTATCGCGTAATTGCTCTGTCTAGTACTGTCTAGTATTGGGTATTCTTGGCTCTTGTAAATTAATTTACTATATGTGTATGGGCTTATTTTGGGGCTTTCTATTCTGGTTCCATTGAGCTGTGTCTGTGTCTAATGCCAATACCATACTGTTTTTATTGCTATAGTTTTATAATATAGTTTGAAATCAGAACATGTGATTCGTACAGCTTTGTTCTTTCTCACGATTGCATTTGTTAGAGTTTTTTGATTTTTGTTTCTGGCTCCATATAAATTTTAGGATTATGCTGTTTTCTTTCTGTGAAAAATGCCATTGGAATTTTGACAGGGATTGCATTGAATCTGTAGATTGCTTTAGGTAGTATGGACATCTTAACAATATTAATTTCTCAATCCATGAGCATGGAATATCTTTCCATTTATTTATATCTTCCATTTCTTTCATCAGTGTCTTATATTTCTCAATGTGCAGGTATTTCACCTTCTGGGTTAAACTTATTCCTTGGTATTTTGTTCTTTTTGATGCAGTTCTTTTAATTTCCTTCTCGCAGTTATTAGTGCATAGCTACTGATTTTTGTTGATTTTATCCTGCAACTTTACTGAATCTATTAGTTCTAACAGTGTGTGTGTGTGTGTGTGTGTGTGTGTGTGTGTGTGTCAAAATTGTCTTCCAATTTTCTATGTATAATATTATGTCATCTGTAAATTGCAAGTTTTACTTCTTCCTTTCTGATTTGGATGCCTTTTGTTTTTCATGCATAATCGCTCTGTCTAGTACTGTAAAAACAATACTGAGTAAAAATGGAAAGAGTGGGCATCTCTGTCTTGTTCCTAATCTTAGAAGACAAGCATTCAGCTTTTCACCCCTGACCGTTAACTGTGAGCTTGTCACATGTGGGCTGCATTGTGTTGAGGGACATCCCCTCTGTACCCATACTTGCAGTTTTTAATCATCAGTGTATGTCGAAAATTGCCAAATGCTTTCTCCTCATCTGTTGAAATTGTCGTACGGTTTTTATCTTTTGTTTTGTTAACGTGGTGTATCACATTGATTTGTGGTTGTTGAGCCATCCCTGCATCCCTGGGGTAAATCCCACTTGATCATGGTGTATGATCCTTTTAGTGTGTTGTACTTTATTTTAAATTACTCACACTGAAATATAAAAAATTTTCCGGGTTATCTTCCATTGAAGAATTATTTCAGAGTTTCTGAGGTGAACCTCATATTCGAGTCTTTAATTCATTTTGCATTGATTTGTGTGTTTTCACACAAATCATTTTTTTTTCATTTACGTGTGTGTGTGTGTTTAGAGGAAGGAAATGAATTGTCAAAAAAAGTAAGGATAATGCTACTATGACAAAAAAATAACCCATACATAAAATAAAAATTGTACAATAAAATGTTCATTTAAATCATAATGCCTGTTAACCTAGAAGTTAGTCTATGCAGAAATCTTATAATAGCAAAACTGCCTGTAGCCAGCACTACATTAAAATGACTTAGAATAAATTGACAATTCTATTGTTACTGCTTTCCAGGGAACGAGCACAGTAATTTTTTGAAAATCCACTTCATTTATGAATGGCCCCCATTTTTAAAGTTGGCTCTACTCCCTAAGTCCTGTCTACGGTAATTAGTTTGCTCTGTGGTTTAGTGAAAGGCATCCACGGTGAGGGTGGGAGAAGACCCCTCGAGGCTGCTGTGTCCCTCAGGCTGGAGTGGACGTTTGAGGTCTCAGTGTTCTGCCACATCCGAGCTGGAGCTGGTCCTCCCCGAGCCACTGCTAACCAAACCTTTTTTAAAGAACATGTTCCTCAAATATTTGTTTTCACTTAGTACCTATAGCTAAAAATTTTTGATGCCATGTCAACTAAAACTTTTTGCTTTTTAAAAAACGTTTTTATGTAGTTATGAAGAAGCCAGGAATATACTGATCAAAACGAAGATACTGGCCCCGGCGTACTTCATCCTGGGAGGCAACAAGACCGGGGAGGGCTGTGTGATCACACGGGACAGAAAAAAATGTCTGGACGTGCACGAGTAAGTGCCCGCGTTGCGGCAGAACAGAACTACGGCACGGACTGACGGAGGTCCAGGCGTGAGTCCTGAGGAGTCTCTCTTTTTCTGTTTAGACTCGACCCCGAGCAGGGTAGGTGGTATGTGGTGGAAACTAATTACGACCGTTGGAAAAATCCCTTCTTCCTTGATGACCGCAGAACAGCTGCAAAGATGTGTCTAAACCACACAACACAAGACGTAAGTAACACAAGAAATGGGGACGTTCAAGATTACGTTGGTTCCGGCATTTTTCTCCGGCTTCTATGGAATTTATAAACCTAGTTCTATCCAGTATTGAGGGAAAGTCCCACTGAGTTTTTGTTTTGTTTTTGAAGAGCTAAATTTTGCTGTACTTACCTTTTTTATTCTAATTCTGGACACAACTCGGTGAAGTTGAATGACAAACAGGCAAGAATTAAAGGGGGAGGAAGAGTCAGAAAGAAAAAGTGACACATTAGAACCACTACTTCTGCTCCTGACAGTGACCCCGAGGGAAATTCATTTCGGGAGTGGGAGGGAGACTGATAGAATGTCTTGGTTTCCGACCCGTCTGTGTGAGTAGGGCTGTTGACATCTGTGTTTAATGTGCTGAACAATTTTTGTGTTTTAGAAAATCTCAATACCAACCATATATGATATCCTGTCAACAAAACCTGTCCTCAACAAGGTATTTGGAATTTTTATTGATTGATTGATTGATTGTAGAGAGAACAGAGGGAAGGAGGTGGAGGGAAGAGGGGAGGCAGACCTACGGAGACATCGACATCAACATCAACGGGCTGTCCCGCTCACGTACGCACTCATTGGTCGATTCTTGTGCGCGCCCTGACCGGGGTCCCACCTGCAGCCTTGGCGTACTGGGGGACGATCTCTACCCGGCTGAGCTCCCGGCCAGGGCTTAGAAGTATATACATGTATTTGCTTTTGGGGAAAGGATTTCGTCCTGTGTTTCATCTCCCCCCGCTGTCCTGGGAGAAATCAGAGCTAGAATCCTAAGTCATGTTCAGCTTAAGGCTGATTTTTAAAAATGCTTTTGTGTGACCAAAATAGTAACTGCTGGGATGTGACAAAGAAACCGGCCCCTGTGGCTTGGGCATCCAATTTGATCAGAGTATTGTTCCCAGTTTTACTTACATGGCATTGAATTAGGTGTAGCATTTTAGTCTTTACTTCTCCCAGAGATCTTATGCTGTCCACTACAAACACCTAAAACTTAACACCCTCCAAAACAGAGCTTTGTGTCTAGGTGGTTAGGGTTTCCCTTTAACGTTATTACATCTTTTATCTTTCCCTCACATTATAGCTAAAAAACACACCAAGTTTCCTAAGCATCCAGTTTGCTCACAGTGCCTGCTCCTTGTGTATCACACACCAGGATTCCCCCTTGGTCCTCTTCCTCGGCCCTCCCCCCAGCCCTCCCTGGCATCAGTGCGCCTCCTTTACCTCCGGCAGCACAGACTCCTCCTGCTGGGAGCGTTCAGATCAGAGCCTGGCTCCTCAAGGAAGCCTTCCTTAAGCCCCCTGGCCCCGCCATACTTCTTGCTTTGTCCACGTCCCGTTTGTGGGAACTTGCAGTGGTCATTTACAGATTCTGTGCCTTGTAATCTGCATGCCTGCATAGGGTCCCACTGTATATGCTTTAAGGGTGAGGGCAACCAAGGAAAACTGTTCATATTCCATACACGTGAAGCTTTGCGTGACTGCAGATCGCAAATGCAAGGTTCAGTCAGTCTGACAGCACTGGTGGTGAAGCAGTGTGCTGCTCTGGAATACGACCTTGTGAAGAACTCAAGGTTCTCTCCCAAGCATATTTATATGTGCAACCTGGAATAACAGCCTATTGAAATCAGTTGTTTTTAGCATTAACTTATTAGTTACTTACCTTCATATAACATTTATGTTTTTATAATGTAATACTATACATTACTTAATATTAGGTAACTTTATAAAGCAGTTCCACGAGAAACGTCCATATGATCAGGACATCTTGGAATTGAAAACACCCTTACAGTAAAACTAACTGTTGTTTCAGCTGACGGTGTTCACAACCTTGATGGACGTCGCCAAAGGTCAATTTGAGACTTACCTGCGGGACTGCCCAGACCCCTGTATCGGGTGGTGAGCACACGCCTGGCCTACAGAACGCGCTGGGGCGCGGTGGGAGCTCTCGCATGGCTGGCCTGTGCAGCCGCCTGCCCTCGGACCAGCAGCTGAGACTCAGGGCAGGGCCTCTCGAAGGCATGAGCTTGTCCGTCTCGGTGTGTTTACACTTCGCAGGCTATTTGTGCAGAAACAGCTGTTTGTTCTCACGTAAGTGAAGTACGACAGTCGTTCAGAATTTGTTGTTTCATTTCATTTTGACATTTGGGGGCGGGGGTGGGTCACCTATTGTGGGACCCACTTCCACGGAATAAAGCAGTCTCTGTGGGCACTGAAATCTGCACATCTGTATAATAGTTACAGTAAATAGTCCACGTTGTTTTTCACTTTTATCTACACATTTGTAAGTTTTTCTATGCGATTGTCTTTGCTGTTTGTGACAGCAATATCATTTCACCAACTTTGACGGGAGGGAGATGAGACATTCAACTGTATTATTTCTTAATGGACAACACTCGGGGCCTGACTCTGCATGGCAGTACTTGCGGGGGTTGATGAAGCGGTCGGCATGCAGGGTAGTGCTGGACACACAGAGTGGGAGTGTTCCCTTTTCCAGAAGCACCCTACCTCCCAGAGACCCCAGGAAGCTAGTAGCGTCAAAATCTGAGCTCCAGGTTCCGGGATGCACAGTGAACAGGCCAGGCCTGTGGAGAATGGGAGGTGGACCCACTGTCTGAAACGTTCCTATGTATCACCCACTTAATAGTTTTTCTTCTGATCAGTATGTATTTTTTAAAAACTTAAGTTCAGTTACTAAAAATGTTTTCAGCAATCAACACATTTATGAAAAATGCTAACAGAACGTGTTAACTTTTCTAACTTTCACAATGAACTGTGAAATGCATGCCAGCTGGCATGGCTGTATCCACTTCATTTCCGTATCAGCTGTACGCACGACGTTGAATAAAGTCACTGGAAGCAGTGTTGCAGTCTTGTGCGCTGACTGCGTCTGTGCCCGCGTGTCTGTCTGAGGGTGGGCGTTACCGTGGGAAAACCAAAGCCGAACAAGTCCGAGTTAAATTACAAGACTTGGGCAAGTGGGCCATTCAGTGTATGACCAAACAGCTACAACTTCCATGACTGATCCTCGCCACTTCCTAGCCCAGTGTGCTCTTCCTCCGACCAAGAGCCACAGGCTAACCCTGGAGGATTCCAGTGTCCAACTCTGAACGGAGTATGAGTATATAGTCACATGAATGTCTTGAATCTCACCATAGAGATATTCTAGGATTTCAAGGTTGGAAGACTACATTAAAACAGCACTTAAGGCTAGGGATGGGGCTGCCGTGGGTTTTACAAAGCTGAGAGCAGTGCTTTTCAACCTTTTTTATCTTATGGCACGCCTCAACTAATTACTAAAATTATGCAGCACACCAAAAAACATTTTCCACCAAATCTGACAAAAAAATAAATACAATTTTGATTGATTACTATAGTAATAGTAATCACCTACCCTTTTTGCTCCAAAGTGACTTCAAGATCAGGTGCCTACACCGGTATGTAAGTATTTCTGTGTACCAGAAAAATTACCCAATCAGATGCAACCTTGTTATGCACTGTGACTGATAAGGTTCAACTGTATTGTATGACCTATATATTTATGGTTCAAGACAGGGCGTTCACACCAGATGGCTATTGTGTTGGCTGTTGTAATTTTTAAATGACAGTCCAAGGCAAAAGATAACTACATACTAATACCATACTAAAGTCAGGTATTGCACATTTTAAAAACTGGTACACAGGTTGAAAATCACTGGCCCAGAGGCCATGGGAAGAACAGGGTTCCTCTATGAATAGCACCCTTCTCCCGTGCCCCGTGGTACGGACTGAGGAACAGGCCCCAGAAGGACCTCTAATGAAAAGTAACAAGGCCATGTGTTTTTAGGCTGTGCCACCTGCCAAGGAAGGGCCAGAGCCTTGCAAATCACGAGATGACTGACCAAAGCTGAGGTCACACTGATCCTTATAGTTTAATCCTAACCCAATTTTGTCTTGTTTAGTGACTTCAATGAACACTGATAATTATTTGTATAATTGCTCATTCGCTGATTTCCATTTTTAATTCTTTTTGTAAATCGTCCTTTGAAAGATACAGCTAATTACCATTTGACAAAATGTAAACACTAAAGCACCCTTGGATCCAGTTCTTTCATTTTGCAGATAGGAAAATGAGGAACAGAGAGGGTTAAATAGCATCACTATGTGTTTTTTTTTATTCCTCACCCGAGGATATATATGTTTGTTTTATTGATCTTGGGGAGGGAGGGAGGGGAGGAAAGGGGAAGAGAGAGAGAGAAACATCCATATGAGAAACATTACCAGTTGCCTCCTGTACACGCCCCAACGGGGGGTCAAACCTGCAACCTAGGCATGTGCCCTGACCGGAAAGCAAACCTGCCACCTGTTTAGTGTACGGAATGATGTTCCAACCAACCGAACCTCCTGGCCAGGGCAGCGTCAGTGTGTCCTGTGCATCACGTTCCCAACTGTCGTAGTAATACTCTCTGTGCTTTATCACAATACTGCCCAAGTAGTATCTGTGAAAGAACTGTAAGCTAAACAACAAAAGGGCTCTGGTGTATTGAAATGAATGCTCATATTTATACGAAAAAAAAAAAAAGCTGCAGTCCACAGTCTTGTCTAAGCTGAGCTCTTGAATCCTGACAGTCCAGTAGAAGGTACAGAGATTTTCTAGGTAAAACTCTAAGATGACCACTGACATTACATTAGAAAACATTTACATTCTGAAATATGCCTTACTTTTCTAGCTATTACCAGAAATTTTACTCCAACACAACAGAATTCAGTGGCGGACCAGAGAAAAGGGTTGTTAGAAATTCACCTGCGGGACACCCATATAATCCGCGTTTGACGACCGGCGGTAGTGGGGCACAGAGACAAGGAGGAAAAGACAGGGCAATCATACGTCATACAGTCCGCAGTGAAACAGAATGATACAGTCAAAAAGGCGATCTGAAATACGAATTTTGTAGCTTAATTAAACTCCATTACTCTATGTCAAACATTAGGGGTGTGTGGGGATAATAGGAGAGAATGAAAAAGGAGAGAAAATAAAACAGACAATAACCAGAGTGGTAAAAGTGGAACTGTGGACAACTCCACATCTAAGATCCACTCTAATGAGGGTTCTTGAGACTTTGCCTCCTTAGGTAAAAAGGGGACAATTATGACGAGTACAGAGCCAGGACATGTCAGAAAAGAATGTTTGCTGAGCAAAAAGCATACAGAAGCAAGTGTGAGCTCTGGAAGACCCCTGCTTTTCTCCAGCACGGATACACATGTGATGCACAGGTACACACGTGTGCAGCACTCGTCATCAGAGCATTTCCACGAACACTTTCGAGGGAGAGACTAGCCCATGCTCCCCTTCCAGGAAAATACTGAACACCCAGCAGGTGAAGCAGCAGCGTCTGTGTCCGCAGTCTCACTGCGGAGAGAGGTTTCATGCAACACTGAATACTGCGCTACAGTGAGTCGGTACAGCACGTTCTACTTTCAAAGTCCTTTAGTGATGTCATCTGATCACCAGAAGGCCTTAACTGGGCTGCTGTACTCTGGGAGATACAGTTCATTACAGGTGAGGAGCTCTTGCAATATGACAACTTTTACAACTATCATTTATTTTAAATTAATCGCATGTGATTTGATAGACCTAAATATCAGGGATAACTAACCACATGCAGAAAGTTTTAATGAAAAAGCATTCCATAAGAGAGAACTCTGCAGTACTGAAACTTTTATGTTGGGGTCAGTTCTCAAGTCAACAGCTTTTTGTCAACCGCTGGCCCAAACCTTTTGTATGGATATTTGAGACCGGACAGATGATATGAACCGATAAGATTAAAACACTTTTTATATAAGAATCAAAGTCATTTGTAAGCAAAGGATTCCCCTCTGTGCCTCACTGGAAAATGAGCCCACCGGAAGCACCAGTGTGAGGCAAGCGCCAGCCATGTAAAGACAGGGAACGCTGGAGTAACTAACAATCAGAGCTGTGCAGCGAGAACAACAGGAAATGCTGGCTCTTCCAGCAAGGTGCCTAGGTAGCCACATCTGCATGGTGAAATAAATGAAATCCAGAGCCAATCATTTCTTTGACAGATGAAGAGTGACCTGCTTATATTAAAGGAAGTTTAGCAATAAGCCAGAAACACGCCAGTCTAATTTTGAGTAAATACGAGACTGTTCTCCACACAGTATATAAGGTAGATACAACTAAGAAATAGAAGAGCAAGCCTGCGCTGTACGGAAAATGGCCTCAGGTTTGATAAATCTCTCTGGATAGTTGATATGCCATTATTTTTCATGGCTTGGTTTCTTTTTTACAGCTAAAATAGTCAGATCAGCCACAATTCTGGAATAAATTCTAAAGTGTAAATGAGTATGGTAATTTAAATGACAATGCAATTCAGGGTCATACGCAGGATATACATTTATTAGCAGTGAAAAAGCATTTAGCCAAAGTGAAATGTTACAAAATACAAAGAGCACCTGGCACAGTCTGGTGAGCGCACTACTTCAGGAATTACCTCAACCTGTGTAGGGTTCTCTCTCACTCCTTTTGACCTTTTCTACCTCCCATTTCTAACCAAATTTTTAACTTATAAATTAAGACAAACAGGAATATTTAATGCCTGACCCTTTAGCAATAGCTTCTGGGAAAAACATGAAACAAGTTATTTGTTCTCAAGCTCCATGTATTTTAAAACTAAATTACCTACTAAAATAGAAAACACCAGACTAGATTACAGCAGGTATAACATAAGTCAAATGAGCAAGTCTGATAAGGTTCGTAGGCACTACAACAACAACCAAGGTGTAAGTACAACTGTTCCACCGATCTTTAATATGCATGCAGAGAGAGAGAGTCATAACATGTGAGGCTTGGCTTGAGTACTGAAATGAAGTTTTTCCCTCTTCCTGAACAATCTAGAAAACAAATACAGAACTGAAGTATACATATAATGTGACGTACTGTTTCAGTTTCCCTGATGTCAGGCCAGGTGGGTAAGAATTCCTAATTCTGGAATGAGAGTTTTCTGAATATATGTTTTTTTAAAGCTGGAGATGTACATCTCATATAATTTAAATTAAGTACCAATACAGTAGATGTCCTCAGAAGAAAATGCTCATTGAATACTTCCTGACTGGACACTGCGGTTTTATAATAAGGTATCAGGCTGGTAAGAATTTTGAAGGAATACCAACCAAGCTCTCTTCAGTCAATCTTTAACCAACTTAAAAGATACCTGGGATAAATAACTGTTAACTGGTTCTGTGACGCCTTGCGGGGTAGAAGGCTAGGCTGGGATCTAAAGGTAACCATCGTTTACAAGCTGGCTGGCTGGCTGAGCGGTGCCAGAGTCACACGGACTTCCGTGCTTCAGCACCCACCTCTCTCACCGCACACGGGCACCTGCTGCGCCTCGGCTGTAAGCTGCCGTCTCGGTGAGCTTATCTGAAGGCACACAGAGCCTCGGCATTCCGGTACCTGCATTTAGTTCTGTTAGTCCCTCTTTGAAAGAGCTCAGTTTTTCATTTAAAATTAATCACAATGTTACTTGTCTGTGCAGATATACCCTCTAATTTTGTAAAACTTATTTATTTTTAGATGGAGGCAACACAGATGGGAACTGAAATTCTGGGAAATACCTGCTCGGTACTAAGACGTGTCCTAAACGTACTACCCAATTTGAACCGAGTATTCCTACCCTGCACTGCCTTCACAGACACCCCGGAAACCTGCACAGCCTGCCCCATCTTAGGAACAGGAGGAGGACACGCAGACACCTAGTAGCACATCAGGCCGTAACAGCAGCAACACTGGCATTACTGGGAAGCCTGGCATGATGGCTAGACTCGGTAACAAAAAGGGGCAACTGAGACAACTGTAAGAGCACAAACAAGAAAATATTTGGAAAAAAACTGCACGTCTCTAACTCTTGACCACTGCTCTTCTTTGAACAGCCTAATTATGCAGAACAGTGACTTGCTGTGTAGAATTTAACATAATTTCCAAAAAAGATTTTACAGTTAAGTCCAAACTTTATTTAAAACTACATTTTAAATTCAACATGACCAAACGCCACAATGGGGGAGTGGGGAGAGAAAAAAAAAAAAAAAGCCCACAGTGTATCAAGGCTTGAATCTGTCCCCAATTTAGTTTATGTTTTAAACTGCCATGGGCAGAAATTCGCACACTTACCGAAAATGCAGTGTCAAACTAATTTACATTTGTATACAGATCAAAACAGATGTTTATTTAGAACCATTTCCATATATGCACTGACTATGTAGTAAAGAGAGTTGGATGAGCCTCTGGAGATATTCATGTGCTCTGGGCTCCCACTGTTTCTGAAAAACAATAATAATCAACGTCTTATGAATTACTTACTGAATTAAGATATTACTAGAACTGAAGTATTTTTGTCTTCCATTAATTAAAGCACTCACTTTTAATATAAAGTTATTACAAGGAAATGCTAACTCAGACTGCCACAACGCCCCGATAACATATGGTAACGGCTGTGAGAGCCGTGACAGGTGAGGGTCTGTTTTAGATGGCAGACTGACCAGGAACTTCCCGTCTCTCTTCAACTCCCACAGAATAAAACAAAGCAAAGCAAACAAACAAAAAGCCCACTAGGAAAAAAAAGACAAGAACTGTAAAACCGAGCGACTCCGAGCGGAGGCCAGCGAAAGAGGGTGGCTCCGTGAGCAGAGTGGGGAGCCGAGCGGGAGGCGCGGCGCGGGGGAGGCTGCAGCCTGGACACAGAGCAGAGGGTGCGGCTGGGACTCGAACAGGCAGAACCCGGCCGAACACTGGGAAGTTCACTGAAGGTCTGCCTTCCCTTCACCTCACTTCCAGGGGAAACAACCTTACGTGACTTTAACCAGTGGGTGAACTGACAGACAGTAACAAAAATCTTTTGACCTGGACACAAGAAATGCTCTCCTGAGTGGCCCGGGGCTGTGCTATCAGACCCACACAAAAGGCAATCGGGGACTATCGCTTGGCTCTGTACTGAATCGTGTTTACACAGAACCACCTTCAGAAAAACAGACAAGGTTTAACTACTATGTTACAAAAACAAAATGTGTGTTTCTTTTCATAACCTCAATAATGTAAGAATCTGCAGAAAACTGAACAGAGAAGGCAAAGCAGGAGGGAAGGAGTAGCTGGGTAACGACCAGAGTTGACGAAACCAGCAAATGTACAAGGAAGTATGTATTGAAAATAACGAAGGAGACAGAGAAAACCAAAAGTAGTATGAACACTGAAAGGAAAGGAAGGTCTAAAGACTCGCTTTTCATTTAGAAGATGAAAACCACCATCTGAATTTTTTAATTTACGGGCTTGATTTTGAGATAGAGGGTCTCCTCCAAAAGAACTAACCACCAGTAATGAAAAGAAATGGGGTCTTCTACTTTCCTTTCTTAAACCATGTGTATATACTACTTTGCTAAAACTAAAGATTTTTAAAATAGAAGAAATTACTTGATAATACCATCCTAAAAATTAGTAAGCTAAACTAAAACTTTTACAGAATTATGTTTCCTTTACACTATATAGCTTAACTCTTCCAGGCACTAGTAGTACAGTAAAACAAAAACAAAAAAATGATGGCATAAGAATGAGTAATTTTGCAGTATGATATTGTTAAAACTGATAATTCATACCAGGTTCTTTCAGTGTCTGAGAATCCCCAGCTAATTCTTCAGTCTGCATTTCACATAATAACTCAGCAGATAAATGGTTTTTCTGTTCTTCTTGTACCATTTTCTTCCTTAGATCTGCCTTTAGAATGATGAAAAAAACAAAATCATTTTCATCTTAACAGTATTTATTATGTAAAGGTAAGTTTAATTAAAGAGAGCCAAATACCTCTGAGTATATTGTCAGTTTAAGTGGTAAATCTTCAACTTTCACAAAGTCTTCTTCATCAGATTTCTGACTTATATTACCCGATTCTGCTTCCTGCAAGATAAGCACATTGTTTCATGAAGGAATCCCAGCTGCAAACCAGTCATCCAGCCAGAGACAAAGGTGGATTCTTCCAAGTGCACCCCGGGAACTCCATCATGTGTAGTGCCCTAACACAGCCAAGCTCGCGCGAGAACGGCAGTCTGGGAGTCACACAAAGGGCCGTGCACCTGCTGGTACGGGAAACACTTTGTGCGTTCTGTTCTCATTTTATAAAACAAAGGGTCTGTTTATACAAGTTAAAGGGCGAAAAGGTAGCTATGTTTAGGGTTAAAATAGTTAGAGGGACAGCTCTTGTTTCTTGCTATGTTTACAAAAAACATGAGGGCTTTATCCAGCAGAATCTAAGTAAACACTTACACTTTCAGTATCAACCCTGTGGAGGGTCGAACAGAGACGAGGTATGAATTTAGCACTCATTTTTGCAATCACCTCATACTGTATTTTTCTGAAACTTGAATACTTTTATTCTCTTAGTTGTTTCTGATTTTTAACAGTTACCATCATCCTACCACTACCCAAGTGTAAACTGTAGGTTTTTCTTGAAATATTTCTTACCCGCCTCCCCCTCCCCTTTAGCTTGTGTTTTCTGTTTACGTGGTAAGGGAGCCCCCGACACTGCCTCCACAACCATACACTCCACAGTCACCCAGTTCGTCTCCATAGACCAGGACTACGGACCCTGCACTTTCTCACGCTAACACACTCAGCAGTGTCCTGGCTGAAATTCAAATTCAAGACCCTCTAGACTCCAACTCCAAGTTAATTTCACTGCAGTGCTTCCACTCAGCAACTCTACATACTCATCGAATGATAACGAGAAGAAGTCTAACAGGTAACTAAATAAGAATTTTAAGTGCGTAATTTTACTGATAGAGAAGTAAATAAAACAGAGTTAAGAATTACTCTTTTTACTAATGTTTTTGAAACATTATAAGCTCCCTTTCTGAGAAATTATAAAATCATAGTTGCAAATATATCTTTAGGGAGAAAACTGATGTTAATTAAAAATATGTGAAATACATTCTTTAGACCTAAGAGTACAATGTTATAAATCTCTTCATTTTTGCTGATAAGACAAAGTATATAAAACACATACAAATCCAAGGACCCAAAAAATAACCTGCTTGCTATAAAATTAAATTGATATAAAGGTCCAGATTTGGTGGCATATTTTCTAGCATTTTTTATGTCATTTAGTATATAGTGATACTCTATTGTTGTCAAATTATTTTATTTCCCATCCCAGTCTTTCAGGTCTATCAAAGACTTACGAAGTATCCTAAATACCACAGTTGAGAAAGCATGTGTAAGGGAGTAATGATGATTCAAGTATCATTATCCTTCAGGCCTGATTTTGAAATGAACTGTCTCCAGGCCACCACCTAGAACTCTGCGGAGGACGGTGAAGGCTGAGTGCTTGGCAAGGCCGCACTTGACTGTTTGCATCATCTGCAAAGCAGATCCAAGACGGGGGTCGGGGTGGGGCAACTGACAGATCCCTCAGGGTTTGAGAAGGGAATAGATAACCACAAGCTTCAGCTGAATGCGACTGTAACTTTTGCAGAAGACATATGTATCATTTAGATAGCCGGAGAATGGAACAATCCGTGCCCACAGCATCTCCCTAAATTTGCAAAATGTCCTTGAGCTCTACCCAACCATCCCCCATAAAATAAACACAGAGACCATGTTCAGGGTCATTGTCTCTCTATCAGAGGACAATGTCCCACCTGGCCCCTGCTTTTCTTTGAACTGTCTGTGTTGTGTCTTTCTAAATCTCCTGTCACCCCGACTCAGGCACCTCCATTCTGCGCTGGTCGCGGCAAAACTCATTACTTTGGTTCTCAAAATTATAAAAAGAATAGCTTTTAGGTTTTGAGATAGTCACCTTAATATTACCCTTCTGTTCAAGTTTAAATTAAGTTTGAATGAGAGATAAAAATAATCCGACAGTTTCTAAACCTAAACACAGAGTTGTATGTACATGCTGCAATTGTTACCCGGAAAATCCATATGCACAGAAATGACAGCAGAAATATTCAGAAAGGGATGGTACGTACATAGTCATTCACCAGCACTGGGGAGTCGGTGTCAGAACTTCCAGCCAGGGAGCTCTCAGGAGTCTCCTGAGCAGATTTCATCTCTTTGACTCTGGGCACCAGGGTTTCGGTCTCAGTTAGCGGCAAGGGCAAAGTGCCGGGCTGTTTAGATGACTCGGCGGTCGCAGGCGAGCCCTTCTGGACAGTGGTGTTGAGAGGTCGCTCGTTTTCCAAGATGTTGAGGGAGCACGGTTTCACAGGAGCGCTGTCCTGGTCATCTGTCATGGGGGACAGTCTTAACATTAGTATGTAATGCGACAGCTGTTAAATTTTTATTACACCAAAAAGGGCAATACTAAATCAGCATATGCAGGCTATTTAATACTCCCCCCAAAAAGCAACTATAAATTGTCCTCATCAATAGTTTCCAAATTTAATTAATTGGATTCATGTGGGGATGTTTTAAAAATTAAACCCCTAAAATTCACCAGATTTGTAAAATGAAGCAGGATTTTGAGGAGTAAAAATAGGTATTTTTAAAAACAACCTGCGTTTCTATCTAAAGACGTCTGCACCTTACAGAATTTTTTGTGTTTAAGTATGTAAACTTTTCTGTAACGACTCTTTGCAGAAAACAAAGCCCTGTGTTTTCTACAATGTTTTTAGGGGGAGAAAGGGGACATACATTAGGTCAAAAATACCCTCAAACTTACGTTAGCTAAGAATTTAATTTTTTTCAATTTTTAAGCACATAAAGGCACTTTAGATAGTATTAAAATGGAATAATCTATTTAGGTTTCTTACCTTTACTAGCAGTGGTTTCTTGTTCTGATGGGACATTTTTGCTTTCTGCTGATTTTTCAAACTCCTGTTGTAGAACCTAGAAGGAAAAAGAAATGTCTCAATAGCAAGGCCTAATACATATGGTCACTAGACAGGAGGAGGTAACTAGTATGTGGCTTTTGTCCAGCCTGAGACCTTTATACAAATGAATTAAAAAATATCTTCTGACTGTGATTGCAATTTCAGGATGGCTGAGTAAAAGGATTCCTCATCTTAAAGAATTTCAAAATAATACACAGAACTGGTATATTATAGATTCCACTACGTTGTATTATTTTTTCAGATCAAACTCTATCTTAAATAAAACTTACATCCGTTTGTATGTAGATGCTAAGAGTGTGGAAGAGGAACTGACCAGGATGGGCAAAAGACAAACGAAGCTGAGTGCCTCCAGCAGCAGGAGAAAACCACTGAGATTCACCTCCCACTGGAAGTGCCAGACTGTAGGAAGCAATACTGTGGTGGGGTGGGAGTCCGTGACGCAAAGTGGGTGCTGGTGAACATTTGAAGCTGTTTAAGGAAAACATGGACACCTAGGTTCCCTCCCCCAACTTGAACAGAAAACAGGAGATTACATGTTAGAGAAATTAAACCAGTGAAGTCTCAGGCCTGGGGGCCACCAGGGGTAGCAGGGGTACAGAAAACAGGAATGAGGAGGACAGGGCAAAGCGTCACACTGGAAACGGAGGGATTCATGGCACGCCCGTAAAATGAGCGGTGAGGCCCTCAGCCCCATCCCCACATCTAGCTGCAGCGTACCTCTTCCCAGGCAGGAGGAGAGGGGGCGCCCCTCTTTGGAGAAACTAATACACCCCAGGAAAAAAGACTAATAGATGTTGACATTTCAAAAAGCTGTCTACCCAATAATTGCCCTACAGTAAAGCCCAAAAGAAACCCAAGCAGGTTTTTAGTGTATCATTCTCTAAAACAAGCACCAAAGGTATAGGAGACATCTGAAAAATGTTTCTAGACAGTAGAAACAAGAGCGTGCTGTAAAAAAGTAACAATCATAAAAGGAAAAGAAAATGAGAAGACCTGTGGAGGCTAATATCTGATAATACTAATTCCAGACAGAAAGAAAAATGGTGAGAAATGAAGAATAAAAGAGAATTCATCAAACTGATGGGCATGACACAAATTAAAAAGACCCACTGAGTCCCCAGATGGTGAGTTAAAAAGGCCTGCAGCAATGCAGCGTATCATTGTAAAACTGCAGACCTCCAGGAGGAGGAAAGTTCTGGAATGGGAAAGAAAAAAACAGACAGACACAAAGGATCAGAACTAAGAAAGGCGTTCACTGGCCTGCTCAACAGTATTGTATACTAGAAGACAGAAACAGTGCCTTCAGAAATCTGAGAGAAAATAATTTCAACATGGAAATGTTGATTTTCTTAGACATATAAAATCTCAAAATCTCATTCTTAGAGCCTTATTAGATGTGTTCCACCAAAATTAGGTAATAAATCAAGAAACAGAAAGACAAAGACTGGATCCCAAAACAGCGGACTTCTATAATGACAAAGGGGTTCCCAAGCTAGTGGTGGCGCTTGTCCAACCTGAGATCACGCATGGGGATTTTAAACATCTTCCAAAAGTTTCAAGAAGGAGGCTGTGGCTGCAATTTCCAGACAGCTAAGAAAAGTTTCCTTTCTTCTTAACCTCCAAATAGTACAGAGAACTGGAATATTATGGATTCCACTACTTTGTATTATTTTTAGCGGCCTAAGAGCCAAACCTAGAATGGAGCAGAAGGGGGGAATGCTCCAGAAAGGACAAAAATGACAACCTGGTTTCTGTAGAAAATTCCGCCGAGAGATTTACCCACCTACTGCAGGGCACAGCAAAGACTTGGGCATGTGTTCAAAGACAACTAAGCGAATAAAACAGAGACAATTACTAAACTCAAGTGAAAAAAATGTGTAAGACTAAGCAATAAACAATGTGTGCATAGTTCAGTAGTCAGTAAATATTAACATAGTTTGGTTAAATCTAAACATCTGGTTATATAACCAACCAGAAAACATAATTAAATGAGGAGTTGTAAGTGACCTCAAAATCTTTATCTACTATATTAATAGAAAGTTGACAGATAACACAGTATACAAGTGAATGAAAAAATATATACACAAATGCTTATTATTCAGAAATACAGAGGTAAGTAGGAGAAAAAAACATACAAGTGTTGCCTCTGAGGCAGGATGAGGCAGAGGTAGTAAAGGGAGTAATTTTTTTTTTAAGATTTTATTATTTATTTTTAGAGAGGGAAGGGAAGGAGAAAGAGAGAGAGAAACATCAGTGTGCAGTTGCTGGGGACCGTGGCCTGCAACCCAGGCATGTGCCCTGACTGGGAATCGAACCTGTGATGCTTTGGTTCGCAGCCCATGCTCAATCCCCTGAGCTACGCCAGCCAGGGCGGAATAATTTTATTTTGTTACAATTCCATGATGGCTAGAAAAAAAATATAGATTAGAAATCCAAACCGTCTGAAGTAATCTCATAAATTTTAGGACTTGTTACCAAAAAAAAGTACAGTGCTTTTTTTCTTTTTAATTTTATTTATTTATTTTCAACAGAGGGGAAGGGAGAAGGAAAGGGAGGGAGAGAAACATCAATGTGTGGTTGCCTCTAGCACGCCCCTTGTTGGGGACCTGGCCTGCAACCCAGGCATGTACCCTGACTGGGAATCGAATCATCAACCCTTTGGTTCGCAGGCCATTGCTCTATCCACCGAGCCACGCCAGCCAAGGCAGGAAATACAGCGCTTTAAACATTGCTGATACAAAAACAGTGTTTCAGATTTCAATAAGGATATTTTAAAAATTTGTATTCATGAAAATGAGAACAGGGAAGCTATAAATTTCGGCACCGTTAAAAAGGACCTGCTTTCAGCAGTATAAAATGGGGCAGGCCGGAGGTGTGTCGTCCACACTGGAATACCTGGTCATCATGTTCGTTTTCTTCTGTAGTTTCAATGTTAGCCTGAAGTGAAGTCTGAACATCTACAGGTCCCTCCTCAAATTCTTCTATTTCTTCATCTTCATTCTCATCTTCTCCACTTCCATAATTAGTCAATGCTTGGGTTTCAGCTTTGGACAAATCTACATGGATTAACACAATCTTTAAGTAAATTTTCAGTACTTAATAGCTACAATTTACTGCATGTCTGTGTTGTGCAAGTGTTTCACATACAACATCGGACATCTTCCAAACAGGGGCTACTAGGAAAAACTGGTGCAGGAAGGACAAGTCTCTCAGTCGGGCCCACGCTGCGGTTCAGACTCAGAGCCGAGGGCTGCCTAGCTCCATACCCACTACACCCACCAGGCTGTTTCAGCCACAGACCTGCGGAGAGGAAGGGATGGCCGAGCACGAAGCCTCGAGACTTACTAATGGACACTGGGCATTCTTCACTTTCTTCATCTTCCTCCTGATCGGAAATGTCGGATCTCACATTTTTGGGACCGTCGCCATCATACTCTTCAGGTGTTTGAGTCTGCTTAACTGTTTCAGTCTCGTCCTTGTCCTAGCCACAAGAACATTCGAGTAATTAGTTTTTCAATTTGTTGCACAAAGTGAAACTTTGTTAGTACTTTTATATTATACTATTTCAAATTTAGATTTTTTCAAGTTCTCATAAAATTATCTCGTAATATTAAAACTAAGTGAATGTTGTGCTTTGACACAAATACCAAGGGAGACAGTACATTTTCTAAAGGTATATAGTAAGTCTATCATAAAAATTAGTAATAGCCATTATCTAATAAAAAACACAATCATTTTAGATGGTTTAGTTTTGTTTTTAAAAGAAAATAAAGGTTTGTCAGAAGAAAGAACACTTGATAACATACTTTGCTCTCAAACATTAAGGTAAAAGCTGTTCAAGTCATTTAGTCTCTTGTTTAGAAAGCATTATTTGGGGGCACAAATGAGCACGTACTTTGTCTTCCTCGTCAATTTCTGCAGCAGGTGAGCCACGATCTCCTTCGAGAATCCTTCTGGCCTACAAGCAAGTCAATTAAACAAAATTTAGGTTAACTCTTCAGCATGATAGTTAGGTATTCAGTAAACTGTAATAAATGGTGCATTTTGACCATCATCTAAAGAGCTGAATGCATCTTAGAAATGTAAATAAAACTCTTTCACTCAAATCTTTTAAAGTAACAAAACCAAAGCAACACTCCCTCCTGACATCTCCTTGGATACCTAGGAGTACTCAAATGTACAAAGCACAACACAGAAGTCTCGATCCCTTCCTTCCATAAGCTAGCCTCTTTCAGTCTCCTAGTCTCAGTAAATGGCCCCTCATTTGACCCAAATGAGCAAGTCAGAAAAGCCTCTACGTCACTTTTATTATTCACATTTAAACCATCAGAATGCCTCGCTAACTCAACCACCTCAGTGTACCTGCTGTTGCACATTCAGAGCTAAGACACGCAGTTTCTTACCTGGACTACTGCAACACCCTTACAACTGGCCTCTCGGCTTCTTTCTCTACTCTCCTACAACTCCTGTTCGACATGGTACGCACACACAAACTTCAAACTGTACATGAGATAACGTTACTCCTCTATTTCAAACCTTCCCATGGATTTCCATAATGCTTAGAATAGAAAGTGCCTATCACAGTCTCTCAGTCCCCATAACTTGGCTTTATATGCCTCTGGGGATTCGTATCCTAAACTCTTTAATTCAGTTAATGTGTTCCTGCCTCCCTGGCCTTCTGTCTGCTCTCCAAACTAACTGCTCGGTCCTGGCTTGGAGTCTTCACACTCCAGTTTGTTACTCCTGGAAAGCTCTCCCCCTTCACCGTCATTATAAACTACTTGTCTTTCATGCCTTTGCTCACATTTCACCCCCTTAAAGAGCCGTGTGAGACTGCCCATCTAAAGGAGTCCTGGTTACTTATACTGTCCTGTTTTGTTGTTCTCAAGCTCTAATCAATGGCTGAAACAATCCGAAACTTCTTTACGTCTAAAATAAAAACATTACAAAAAGTATGAAACAGATGGCTTACCTTTATCTGATTTAGATTTAAGGAAGAAGGGTTATCCCTTTGTTTTGGGTCCTGACCTGCTTTCATGATTAAAAGTCAAGAAAAGGGTGCAGGTATAGGGAAAAAGGTGCCTTGCACGGCTCAAGCTGAGGGGACAAAACTCATCCAACTTCACACGCGACCCAGACTAACTTAACAGGGTATACCACGCCGGAGGGGTGTGCGACCCAAGTTGTCACTCACACACACACACACACACACAGTTGGCTGGAGTGACACGCACGACCAGGGAATCTACTGCGACAGGCAGCAGCTGAGGCAGACAGATTCCTGTCGCCTCTTCTCCGCAAGCCTGAGTGAGTGACGGTACTGTGAACCAGGTATCTGACAATGGACGGTCAGCATCATTTCCCGTCTGCCTTCCTGATCTGCAGTCACTGATGCTACCACTGAGATTCTGTACGGGGCCAGCATAGGTACTGATTTGGAATCTGATTAACTGGTATCACTTTAAAACTACTTTTCTGAGGTCGAGATTTTAGTAATCAATAATAATCAAGAACTACATATGCATGCTAATTACAATTACTTCTAAAATTAAAATGAATGTAATTTACCTCTTTGGCATAAGACTGTATCACTCCAGCTGCTTCTATTTTCCTTTTGCATCTCTGTTTAACTGTCATGCTATTATTATCCAAATCTTGCATGAGTTTAAAGAACGCCAGCTCATTAAACAACACTTCCGATATCTCCACAAGAAGATCCTCTCCACAGTCTTTCAGTTTCCTGCCAGCAAATTTTGCCAATGAATCCTATTCGAAATAACCAAATCACTTTAAGATTATAGTAAACATCAATTGTGGACACAGCAGTACAAATCTAAATTACAATACTCAACTAATAAAAAATTATTTTATTACTTTTTAGCATTAAGAAACTTTTAGTTCTATTCAAGCAGAAATACAGCATCATCAAATGAACAAGTCTGCTATATTTGACACTTTTTTTTTTTATAAAACCGCTTTTCTTTCTTTTAAAAACATGGACTATGCTATTTAGAAAACAGGCAAATAACTATGACATCCCGTGTCCCATCTCCTAAAAAACTGCCGCCTCGAGCACCATCATGGAAAGGACGAATGCTGGTGCCTTGTGGGAAGAAACTCAACGAACAGGTTTTGTAAGGAAAAAAGTAGAAGAAAGTAATAGAGGCTCTAATTCATGAAAAACATTCAATACTCTGAGCAGATTTAATGTACATGCCTCTTATTCTTCATTTAGGTCCCTTCTTGGAGGAAAAAAAAGGAATGGTAGGAAAGTAGTCCAATGTTCTGAGACATAGAAAAATATCTTACATCCAAATTAAGTATTTTGGGATTTGCCCACAATTATGATTATCGTAGGCAAAACTGAGGAAAAGTGTATGGATATTGATAAACAAAAAGTTATTTAAATGACACACCATTTCTCTTTCAGCCTGATTCTAAAATGGAGTGTCTTCCCCACAGAAATAAGCTAGCTAAAGTTATAAACATACATTTATCTAAAAACTATTCTAAAAATTCTTAAACAACACATAAAACCACTGATATTTTATAGTCTTCATAAACTATGTTAGTTCTATTAAATTAAATAGAGCCAGAACAATTTCAAAACTGTATAGAATTTATACTTGTCTTTAAAAAAATAGGAAATTACAGTGATGGGAATTTGCATCAAGCCTAGGGTTTTAAAAAATTAGCAAAGTGATAATACTGTCTTCAAAACCAACCTAAAACAGGAATAGGAAGGAAAATTTTTATAGGAAAAATCTGTAACAAAAATATATATTTTTAGTTTGTAATAACAATACACATCACTGAATTACCTCAATGGAAAAATATACAGGAGAGTTTCACTGTGAGGATTTTTACAAGTGGTGTAAGGTATCCTTACTTCACATAGGGTGTTCTCAACCTTGGCACTTACTAACAACTCACTAGATGCTCGATGCCTCCTTGCCTATCGTGACAAACAGAATACAGACATTGCTAATGTCTTCTTGGCCAAAACTGCCCCCCTGCCCCTTTGAGAATCACCACTTTAACATAACTTAAGGTTACTGTCACAGCCTAAGAAATCTCCACAACCAACAGCAGGTTTCTGGCGTCTAAAATTTTGCAGATTGGTAAAAAATTATTTGAGAAAATATGACAGAAAACTTTCTAACCGTTTGGAACTTGAAATTTTTTACTAAGTAGCAGAAAAGTCAAAACAAAATTTGATTAGAGTTGGGATAGGTCTTAAAGATGATCAAATGAAATGAAGACACAGGCCCTAACAGCATTATTTTTAACCAAGTAAAGGAATAACCTAAAGAGTACTGTATCACCCCAAATAGAAGCTAGATGGATAGTTATTTGAATAAACTGTGTAATGTCAGGAATGGCAAAGAAAAAAAAATCTTCACCAGGCGGTACATATTTTTGTCGTGCAAGTAAAAACCCTTACCTGTAATATACTTCCAAGCTGCTTATGAAAGAACTTGACGAACTCCTTGCTCTCGTCGTTCTGCTGGGTCAGGGTCAGCACCATGCGCCTCACTGAAGTCAGAAGCTGAGGAGAGCATACTTCATCCATGTGCTCCTGAGAAAAACCCTGCGTGGTTAGGATCTAGACTCACCTATTGTTCAAAGAATATCAGTCCACAAAATGAGATTTTATTTTTCTTGTATAAATGCTTCTCAACTTTCCACTATACATCTGGAACTATTTATTCATAAGAATAGTCAAACCCCCACTCTACACACATTATAATGATTTTCGATTTTGATTCACCATGGCAGGTCACAGCCAGTAAAAGAAACTGTTTCAAATCCTTTCATCACTTTGTTTCTGTTCTGAAGGAGGACTCCCCCCACCCCGAACCCCACCCATGGTCTCCACACTCCCGTCTTCCTGTTCGCAGTTCAGTCCAGCTCCTCTTACAAACACTCCCGGGCGGTCTTGGCGGTGCCGCGGCATCCCGTGTACCACGGGCGTCCTGTGCACCACGGGACGGCCGATGGCACGCTCATCTCTACGTGCCAGGTGCCATTAGTGCCTCTAGCATCCCACGTCCCGATGACCGTAAGTGTAGCACGACATTAGAAACTGTTTCGAGGGTCAAAATGACCCCTACGTGAGAACCACTGTCCTCTCTCTCTCTTAAAAAGCCTCTTTGGACAAGTCTCTTCTCCTGAATCTTCATTTAGAAGCATGTTCAAACTACCCAATGACCCAAATCACGGTCAGCTTTCTGAGGTGAGTCTATAAAACACCCTTATCAAGTAACCTCAAGGTTCTGATCCCTCTCTTGCCACTGAAGTCATTGGGGCAGGCCCTCTAAAACCTTTAGCTGGGTAACTTTGTATTTTTTTTCTACATGAACATGTATTATGAGGTGGCCAACCTTGATGATACCTAAGATCCCTTAAATCTAAGGACTTAAGGTCATTTTTAAAAGACTCATGTGTCAAGGAGTCAGACATGTGAGTCACTACAAGCTATGCATGTCCAGCAGATGACACCTTTTTCCATATTCCCCACCCAGCACAGTGGCTGCCCGCAGGACACGCCCGTGAGCTGCTGGATGAGCAGTGCCACGGGAGCAGCACACCCCAGGTGCTCCAAGGAGCTGCGGCGGCATGTCAAAGGCAGCAACAAACCCCTCTGAAGAAGAACTGCTTCGGCCGGGCAGTGAGGAGCTATTTTGTATTTCCCACGGGAGGACCCGCGGCACAGAGGGCTCCCGCGGCACGAAAGGGACATGCTGAGTAACCGCGGGGAGGGGCCTGGGTGGACAGTGGTGAGAGACGAAGGTGGGACGGCCTGCCCAATCCTGCGACGGGGCCTCTTCAAGGCCAAGGAGTCTGCCCACTAAACACGCACTTCAGGCCTATGCCAGGGAGGCTGGGCAACAGGTAAGGGCACGAGTCAAGGCTATGCTAGCGGAGGAAAGTAAAGGTGACTGCTCTTAAGGAGGGGGATCGACGTTTGACTCCCCGGTGACAGAGGAGAGAGAGTGTGAGGAAGTCCGGCGCGCGTGACTGTGTGTAATGCTGACGTTAACAAAGAAGTCCTATAATCCTGCCAAAAAAGTCATGATTTGAAGTGAAACATGACATGATAAAAAGTTAAAATCCAATCATTAGCTCTACTCATTTTAGAAACTTAAATGCTAAATTCAGTAAGGAAATCCTTATGAAAAGATATCACTTAAATCAGACAAAAAATGGCAAGTGCACTAAAATTTTCTAACTAAGGATGGTTGTATTCCCCAAGCATAAAGCAAAATTATTCAGAATTTTTAACCCTTAGAAAATATTTGTATATATCAATTAAATATTACTACCAATATGCCTAATTTAACCAAAAAGACATGTTTAAAGCATTTATTGAATTACTCACGATAAAACAAAAATGTGAAAGGAAAAAGGAATACTCTGAGATATGTGTGCCAGAGAAGCAGCAAGTCAATTCACTTGAGGGAAAGGTTTTAATCTCTTAAATAAATTATTTACCTAAGAATATGTGTATATTCTTGTAAACCCATCAGAATATAAATATCCTTTTTGGGGGAGAAATACATGTTTTACAGATAACAAGAGACAGACCCACAGAATAATTGGTGGAACTGAGGTATTCGTCTTATCCCCTCAAATTCCCTTTATCCAGACTCTGAAGTCCTGCTCGGGTGAACACACTCTTCTAGTAGGGAGACAGACACATGCAAACCATTACGACACTTTGTCCTAAGTGCTGTAATGAAGACGTGTACCAATATCCCGGGGGCAGTGAAGAGAAGGAGGACTCTGCCCGTCAGAACGTGCAGAAGTATGTGGGCTGGGTCCTGAAGAGGAGACTGGCTGACAGACTGGAAGAGCCCTCCAGGCAAAGGAGATGACACGGGCAATGTGCCTTTCGAATGCCGCCAAGCAGGAAGCAAGGTGCGTGGGAAGGGATGGATAAGGGGCCGAGCCAGGCTATAAAAGGTTTTATGAGTGATGTTGTACCTGATCTGGATCCCAAGTCACACTTCTCAGAGCCTAAAGAGCTTGATTAGTCTGAAAAATGATGGTTGAGGTCTGAAGGATCCGTCTGTTCATTTATTATATTAATTCATTTAATAAGTATTTAACGAGTGCCTATTATACGCAGCTACTAATCTTGGCACTGGCGATAAACCAGTGACCGCGACAGATTTCTATCTCTGACTTTACACGGCTTTCACCGTAACAGGGAGAGATAGCACAAAATAAGAAGACATTGCATACATTAGAAGGTGACGAGCACTATGGAGATAAAGAAAAGCAGGTAAGGAACGGGTGGAGGTCTGCTCACCAAAAAGGGAACACTTGTCAGAAGATCTGAAGGGCTCGAGGGGCAAACCGTGCAGGCGTGTGAAGGAAGAGCACTCCAGGCCTAAGGATCAGGAAGGGCCAAGGCCTTACGAGTGCAAACCACGCTAGCAGGAGTCTGAAGATCAGAAGAGAAAGCAAACAGGGACCGCCCCGCCCTCCAGAGCTATTAAAATTGCCCAGGAGAAGGCGAGTCTTCAGTTTTCACGTGGGATAATTTGGGCACAGACAGATGGGCCAAAATCTCTCCTTTCGGCTGTAAGACAATGTCTGCAGGCAAAGCAGGCCCCACACCTGCCTTCTCGAAGACCGCTCTTCTCTAAGACATCCCGACGAAGGCAGTCCTTCCGGGGAAGAGTGCCAGTGCGTGGGACAACTCTGTCCCCAGTGTCGCACGCCCCGGGAAGTGCGGGAGAGGGCGAGCGATGAGCCCGACGATGACGTACTCAGTAGTCTGCCTATCGGAACGAAAAGACTTTTCATTTCTAATTTTTAAAATTTCCACTTAAATTGGAATGTGAGAGAGTGCCATCTCAGGTACAAGACTCATCTGTACTTTCCACTTCGGCACTTTTTCTCTGCCCTGTTCACAGTTAGTCAACAAAATTAATAATACTGCTTACCAGTCTCGTACTCTCACTGCTGGGAGAAATATAAATTGTTAAACCTTTCTGAAGGACAACTTAACATAATGTCTCAAAAGCTTTACCTTAGAACAAGAAATTCTATGTCTAACAATTACTTCTAAGAAATAAAAATGGGATGTATAAAAATTTTGATAAAATCATTGAAGTGATGTTTAGAATGGTGAAAAAGAAACCAGGATAGACATAAAGAGTTAACAAAAATAACTGATTAAAACAACAGAAAATTCTGGTCTGTGCGCACCCTCCCCTCAGAGCAGCCCCTAGCACAGCTCACTGGGCCGGCCCACGTGGTGAGCTCGCGCTCTCCTGTTCTGCACAACCACTAAGTGTTGAGTCGCCTCGTCCTGGGCCCAGATCTAGCTCCCTTGCTCTTACTTAGTGTCTGCTGTAGGTGACTCTATTGACCATTAATGGGACCTGTTAATTTCCAAAATATATTTCCATGGTCTGTTCCTCCCCATCGATAGTACCACACCCGTATCTAGGCCACTATCATTTCTCATCTGATCTCACTGCACTCCTGACCTCTATCATCAATCACCACATGTTAACCAGATTGTTTCTTGCTTGCTTAAACCTCTCTTGTGTTCTTCTGAAACTCTGAACACAGTCCAAACTCCTACTCACGGAGGATGTTCTACATACTAGCTCCCGCCTCGATCCCCAATTCCAGCTCTCACGACTTTCTTACAACCGCATGAGTCCTCTTCTAGTTTCTTCAACAGGCCAAACCAGTTACTCCTTTGGGCCCTTTAACTCTGTCTGGAATGATCTTGGTTTAAGCCTGCTCCTTATGCACATCTTTCCTTAAATGCTCCCTCTTCAGAGGCCTTCCTGGCCATCCAGTCTAGAACAGACACTATCATGGCATACTCTAATTCTCTGCATGGCACATATCATTATCGGATACACATTTACTTATCCTTTACATTCACTTTTTTTTTGGAGGGGGGTCCATACTCTCATCTTTACATGCAGGTTCCATGACAGCAAAGTCCTGGACTTGCCCACCAAACCCACCCTAAAGTAGGCATTCTATAAGTGTTTTTGAATGAATAGTGAATATTCTGTAACCATTAAAAGTATGCAGCAGAAAAAGTGATGTAGAAAGATGTTTACGGTATATGGGAAAAAGAGAACACACATATATGAACAAAATATTACAAAAAGGTTCACAAAATGTTGCTGGGACTATCTCTGAGTGACAAAATATGGGTTATTTTTAGTTTTGCTTACATGTATTTTCTGAATTTATTAAAATGGAGTACTTCGTATGAATTGAAGAACAAAACAAAGTTTATTCTTAAGAATTACTGCTTACCTTCAAAAATGGAATGACTTCTTTCATAATTGCTTTAATTTGTCGGTCTAGCTGCTGAGTATCAATTCTAGGACATGGGACGGCAGAGATTTCACTTACAGGTTGTTGTGAATTATGATTTTCAATAATAGGAGTTTCTATTTGTTAAAAAAAGATATATTAGCAAAATCAAGTCTATGACATAATATGTATGCATCTATGCAAAATTCTAAAGAACATTGTGATTTTATGCTAAAATAATACAAAGAAAAAACCAGCGACAGTTTTAGGACCCCTAAGAAGTGATTTTAAAAAACCACCATTATATATCAGATGGAGTGTTAAATTTTTACATATGGAACTACGATTTTTACTGTTAATGAATGCAACTACACACCTTCTAAATCATTGACAGTGGTCATGGCAGCAGCACCACTGTCATCCTCAATGATCTTGCAGGTACATCTTACGTTTGTGTTACTTTCGGCCTCAGTTTTCATGCGTTCGTACTCCCTCATCCTGGCCAGCGCCTGGTCCAAGTGGATCACAGTGTTACCTGCGTATGGGGCAGAAGTGTGTCTCAAAGATATAAAAGCAAACTTTGTCATGTATTCCTCTAAAGTTATTAATTAAAAAATGTCTGAACATAGGAAAGAAGAACTGGCTTTAACAAGTTCTAGGTATTGTATTAGTGGGCACCTGAAAACATTATCGTATTTATTTAATCCTAAAATAACCTTATGAAGTGGATGACAGCACCCTCATTTTCAGAGAACATAAGTAACCTGCACAAGGTTTCAGAGCCAAGTGCTAACAGGAATTTAAATGCAGGTCTCTTAAGACTCTAACGTCCTTACTTCAGTACATCATGTTGCTTCACTTAAACAGTACAAAAATAAATTCCAAATGTCATGCAAATTCTGATGCAAACAACCTAACTTACGACAATCAACTGAGGTAAGGAAAAGACCTAAGCAAGAATGACACTTCCCAATTCTCTCTTCTACTTCAAAGCTAATGCTGAATGACTGTAAGGGAAAGGAGTGAATGAAACAAAACAGGCAGGCTCAAAGTTACTGGCAGCTCCGAAAGGGGGAACTACTAAGGGGGAACGGGTTTATCAGAGTGATGTTTGTGATTTTCCTCTATTTTGAGTTCCGTACATGAAAGGCACTTCCTCAGAAGGGAGCCAGCCTTCGAGTTCTTGATAATCAGATTAAGGCAAAAGGAAGACAATCATTTTGGCCCAAGGTAGGTCACTGAAGACATGGCAAGGTTGGGCCCTTTCCTTTGTAGTGGAAAAATGCCTTTGAAGCCATCTACATCTTGTTCTCATCCTACGAACCAACACTGGAATGGGACACTACCCTATGAACCTGGGGCTTGAGGTCTGAATGACTGAGTACTTGGGTACCTTTCCATAGGCTACAGCGTGGAAAATGCACCGAGAGGTACTCGTACATTTCCTTTCCCCTAATCTTTTGAAATTCAGGACTCAGGGTTTCTTTTCTCTCCTTTTGAGTTACGCAACTTTTTAAAACTTATTAATGAAAAAAAAAATGCAATGTACCATGCCTTAGAATTACAAAAATTTCAGTTCTTCTCAAATTAAGACATTAACATTGTTACTGAGAATGTGATCGAATGAAGGTACCGCCGCCTGTAGACTTTTCCACTGACTGGAAAACTTTAAAGGGTGACCTTTCTCTTAAGGACAGGAGATTAACATTTTCTAAACTATCATACATGCTAGAAAGTTCTGTATTTTCTTCATAAGAGCAAGGTAAGTGAGATCCCCATTTTCTCAGTGTATGCAGAGTCAGAAATCTTCGAAGATTTTCCCAGAGTCGAAGAGTTAAGAGGAGAAGATTCCTGAATTTACTGATGGACAGATTTTTAAGTCCCCATTCTGTAAGAAGCTGCCTTTCTAGAATTTTGTTTCCTTATCAATGTAATTCAAAGACTGTAGCAAAGTCATGTTGTAAGATTATAAAAAATTCTGCTTACCCAGATCATCTGTTGCAAAAGGCTCAAAATTTGAAGATACAGACAGGACACTAGCATTATCAGCATCATTTTGCTCACTTATTTTATGTGTTTCTCTCTCAAAGTTCTTCTCAAAAGTTTCCTAAGTCATAGTTTTGAAACAAATAAAAATCACTAATATTTCTTTTTTAAAAGTTGGATTAAATTAAAATTTTAACACAGAAACTATTTGCATAAAACTACACACTTAAAATCGTGACATAAGCATAAGGTATAAAGCACTGAACAGAGTTAGGACAACCTGCAGGACACTTGTCATTCTGCAGATGACAACACACAGAGCCAGCTACAGGTCAAACTCTAACTTGGAAAACTCAGTGCTGCAAATTACATCTACACCCGCAGGGAAATTCTCCTCGTTCTCCAAACCCTCACAACACCCAGCACCTTATACTGTGGTATGCAGCTGTCTCATATCGGAAGAAAAACATGACATCATCATTCATATTTTTTACATCAACTTTATTGAATTAGAATTTACAAACAATACGCCCATTAAGTGTACAGTCTGAGTAGTTTCGAAAAATATATACACCCACGTAGCCACCTTCCCTAAAAATAAAGACCATTTCCGTCAGGCCAGAAGGCCCCTTCTGGTGTGTGGCCCTCTGCAGTCAATACGCACTACAGCCCACTCATAGGACTTCTGTCACGTCAGATTAGCTTTGTTGGCTCTAGACTTCGTATAAAGGAGCCATTCAGTATGTACTCTTCACTTTCAGGCTTCTTTCACTCAGTGTTTCTGAAATTAATCCGTGTTGCTGTGTGTTTCATAAGTTAATGAACTCATTTGAATGGTTGAGTAATACTCCATCGTATGGATATACCAGTTTGTTTATCCACTTATCTGCTGATGCTCCAGTTTGAGGCTATCATGACTAATGATGCTATGAACATTAGTGTACAAGAATTTTTTTGAATGTGTATTTTCATTTCTCTTGGATGAATACCTAGAAGAGAAATTGCTAGGTCACACGCCAAGTTTATGTTTACCTTTGTAAGGAACTGCCATACTGCTTTCCAAAGTGGTTGTACAATTTCACAAACCCACCAGCAGTGTGCGAGTTCCAAATGCTCCATGTTCACACCAACACTTCTTACTGTCAACCTTTAACTCCAGCCTTTCTAGTGGGTGTGGAGTGTATCTTGTGTGGTTTTAATCTGCACACTGGCCATTTATGTGTCTTCCTTCATGAAGCACCTGTTCCAATCTCTTGCCCACTCTTGACTGAGGCGATTGTCCTACAACGGACTCGTAGAAGTTCTTTCTAAACAGTCTGGATTTGTCACTTATGTAGCCATTTGTCAGATACATATACACTGAGATCATTTTCTCCTGATTTTAGCTTTTGAAACAGAATTTAATCAGTTTTCCTTTTACAGTTAGTGCTTTCTGTCCTGAGACACCTTTGCTTATGTCAAAATAAGAAGGATCCCCTTGTTTTCTTTTATAAGTTTTATAGGTTTAGCTTTTCCAGGACTTGAAGCACTTTCCAACTGACTTTTGTCTGTAGCGTGACTGGGGGACGGGGCAGCAGCGGGGCAGGGGTGTGACACTCATCTCTCACTGGTGTTCTTTCTCCGAGCTACAGATACTCTAAAATTTTCTCTTAAATTATAAAATGAAAAGTTCTGTCCCTGATTAAAGAAGAGTCAGGTATTAGCAAAATCCCTTTAGGAAATGAAACCATTGTGTGGCTCCATCAAGTAAGACTTGCTGGTGGACATGCTTTTGCCATTTTATGGCGCCGGGGTAGGAGATGCACAGTGCTTCTCCCTCTGCCTAACCCTCGATTCCTCATCCTCCACTGACAATTCTCAGGTGCCTGCTTTTACTTCTCCTTTTCCTGAGAGTGAAGAATACGCACTCTGAACTGTGTGTGTACAAGCTCCATAAATGAGGCCCAAAGAACCTTGGCCTAGAAACATGGAGAATGAGACTCTGTCTGATATGGTAACTTCTAGCCATGTAGCTAACGTATTAAATAAAATGTAAATTTAGTTCCTCAATCCCACTAGGCACTGTCTTAGTAGCCAATGGCTGCTCTATCAGACAATACAGATATGAAACTTTTCCACCACTCGGAAAATTCTACTGGACAGCACCGCTCCAGATCAATGAGTACAGACACTGGATGCTGTGCTGCCGCAGCTAATTAACTGGCATTGACAAAGGGAAGATGTTGGCATTAATGCTAAATTTAAGTTTTGGATAAAAAAATTAAAGAACTAACCTATTTATTTAAAAGTAATACTAACTATAGTTATTTATGCCAAGTCCCTAAAATTATGGCCTGAATCTCTGTGAACCCCCACACCCTAAATTCATATGTTAAGGCGCTAACTCCCAATGTGGTAGTATTAGGAGGCGGGGAGCTGGGAGGTAGTCAGGTTTGGACGAGGTCGTGAGTGTAGAGCCCCCACGATGGCGCCAGTGTCCTCAGAAAGAGAGGGCCCACCCTGGCGCTCCCCCTCACCAGCGCGCAAGCACACAGGTGGGAAGAAGGCGGCCCTCTGCGAGCCAGGGGGAGAGCCCTCAAGCAGCAGCAAACCTGCTGGCACAAGGTCCTGCACTCCCTAGCTTTCAGAGCCCTGAGAAACAGTATTTGTTGTTTTAACCACTCCGTATATACAGTGTTTGGTTTACCAGCCCGAGCTGACTAAAACACCTCCTTATTAAGCAGTACAGTACCTTTAAACTTTCACTTTAAAACCCTGTCAACACTGTCATAAATTGTAGCTCAATTTTCAAAATTTGCTATTGATGGTACAGACCAATGTGTTCTAATCTTTTAAAATAACTGGAAATAATGCTATCTATAAAACTTGGAAATAAAGGGAGGCACTAGAGTTAAAAATACAAAATTACTGCCCCGACTGGTGTGGCTCAGTAGTTTGGGCGTCATCTCGCAAACTAAAAGGTCGCCAATTCAATTACGGGTCAGAGGACGTGCTGCCTGGGTTGAGGGCCCGGTCCCCACCTTGGGGGCATGTGAGAGACAACTGATCCATGTTACTCTCTCTTCCTCCCTTCCCCTCTTTTTAAAATAAGGAAGAAAGGAAGAAAAAGAAAGAAAGAAAATCTTTAAAGATAATTCATGCTCTCCGTAAGTTATTTCAATGCCTAATAAACTTTAACCTAGTATCTCCAATTACATATCTATCTGGGCCAACTTCATTTCCCACATAAAGAAGTACAGAATTTTCAATTAGTTATAATAACGACTAATCCCAAGTAGCAGTTCCTTACATTTATTTATATTTGACATTATAAAGTAATTAAAACCATGTAGTCTTTAGTCACAGTTTACATGCATGTTGGTATAGGAGTTGGAGCCTGGTGGAGACAGGTTTTAAGCAGAAAAAAAAAATGACTTGGGAAAGTATTGTTTTAAACATGAATATAAACGAAAGAGCAAAAATCCAGAAAAAAGTCCTCAATAGCCATAAAGAAATTACTATGTGTGAAGAAGAGACAAGATAATCTTTGGAGAAAACACTACCTGTGCGGGAGAAAGTTCTAATGTTAGCACGTTAATAATGGTCAGAAACACAGTGGTATGCTTTCAACTCTTTACCTTTGTCAGATAGTTGCTAATCAATTACAGTACTCTTACCTATGGGTTATCCAGGTGCTAGAAATGGCATTTAAAAAAAAAATGAATTTGCTACCCTAAGACCACATACAATTTTCAACAACAGAATCAGGGTCTGAACTTTCAAACAGGTGGCTTCCAAATACCGAGCACGCCACCCCTCAGTGCCCCAGCGGTGCGCCGCTCCGGCATCTAACGGCACCTGCCTGGCACCGCGGGTCCTGTAGGCCATGCAGGTGCTATTTGGAGGATCTACTTATTGAAAACATACCCTTTTCCTCACCACTCTTTTCCATTTCCTTTCTACTTTAAAGTTTTTTTGGTCAATTCTAATACATTAAATTACATTTTTGTCCCAGATGACTTTCTTTTATCTACGCTTCTCTCCCAGCCCAAAGACCTGTTTCAAGGGTTCTGACTGTGATCGGACTGCTGTCTGGTTTACTGAATGTCTTAAAGAACATAACAAATTTTACTAAATGTCTACGATGAGTCGACTCCTATGACAGGCAATGGAACCACCAATACAACCATTTTACACCTTATAATCCATCACTTATACACAATGCATTATGATTAAGTTTTAGACCTCACCTCAAAATAAAATGATTACATTCAGCTTTTTAAAAAAGTGGAAAGCCAAATACATTAGGTATGCTCACAGTTTATAACCACCTATTTAACTTTTGTTTAGTGCATGCTGAAACTAGGTATTGACTTCATTAATCCCAATCAGCTTACATCATCAGTAGTAGCAAGGCTTTCACTGGGAGTAAGTTCTGAGTTGGATGCTATCCAAGTACCAGAATTCGCTGACTTTACATTTTCCCCTTCTTTCTCGTGGCTCTCAGAAATATGTGTGGATACGATGTCCTAAATAAGGAAATGAGATATTTATGTAAAACATAAACATTCAATCAAAAATTTAAAAGCAGAACCAGATAAAAGAAAAAATTCAATATGCCTCACCTCATAGGTTGTGAGGAAGAAATAACATCGAAGATAAAATACTGAAATATTGCCCAGAAAAAGACTTTATGTAAAAGCTACTTAAGTTATACAAGAAGTTTTAAATAAAAAGCAAAAAGGCATATAGAAAATAGATCAAAAGACTTAAGGAACAAGGACACAGTTTAGTCTAAGAAAGCAACCAGCTATAATCACGAAGAACAGCGACACTAGACAGGAAAGAAAAAAGAATGTTAGCCGCCAGATACCTGCAATGCGTATAAGGCCCTCTGTCTCAAGTAGTCTGTATTAAGTAGCTGAAGCTCATGGAAGAGTTCAATAAGAAAATGTGGACGAGATTCATTTTGAGAAATTAATGTAGCTACTTCAGAATAAATAGTATCCCGCAAAGCTTCGAACATGGAAAAATCACTCCCAGTTTCTGGAAGATATAAAATATCAGAAAGTTAATATTGATAAAATATATCCCCAACAATTTCTATTAACTTGTATTATTACTCTCAGTCTGAAGTTACTTAAAAATCAGAACATAATTCTATTTCAGGGCTTTTATAGTTAAAAAAAATCTTAAAATTATTAAGATAAAGTTAATCATAAAAAATACCTATATATACACTGTATAATAAAGACATGTTTAAATGTATGAATAACATTACCTTTACTTGGATCATAACTTTCTCAATAAAAAAATTCTGGAAAATGTTGTACATTTCATAGGAATAATCAGTGGAAATCTTTCAGCACTTGGATGAAATCAGCCAACTATAAATAATTTTCTTTTTTAGCTAATATGAATTTGTTACAAAGGAGGAAATTTGTATAATAATGAAAATAAACTAAATATTACCAACAAGAGTTACTATTTTAAGCTCTATCTAGTTATGTACAAATCCTCAAATCTCAACTATGATACTGTAGGGATAAAAACTGAATTTGTGCCCTGGCCGGGTGCCTCAGTCAGCTAAAGCATCATCCATACACCAAAATGTTGCAGGTTCAATTCCTGGTCAGGGCACATATGAGAGGTAACCAATGGATGTTTCTCTGTCTCTCTCTCAAACCAATAAACATATACTTGGGTGAGGATTTAAAAAATAAAAACAAAAAAACCCCATAAAGTTGTAAAGTTGTAACTATAATATAAACATAATAGGTCAATTTCTCTATAGCATGACATACTGACATATTTACTAGTAGTACTCAGTATACGTTGAAATGGGCAATGGAAATCTTCCGTTTCACAGAACCTAGGTATCACTCTGTTATGTACCAACAATTCTGCCATATGCTTTTGTTGGTAACACAGAATTATCACCCTCATTGATGACAGAATCATACTCCAGTACAAATTAGGAACTATTCCCATTCTGATTCCTCTGTGAAAAAAAGTATCTCCAAGTGGCTCTTCTAGCTAACAAATTCTGTAAACATTCTGGAACAACAGTAGAACATAAAGCAGTTAAATATTCAAATTCTAAAAAATCAGTAATTTCTAACAAAATTAGAAATATTAACTGTTACGTTTTCAAATAAATCTACAAAGATTACAAAGATAATTTACTTTTTGCAGAAGAGGAATAAGAAAATGAAAAGCAAATGGGGTTTAAAAAAACCCTTTCTACTAACTTCCTAAGTTAACATCTTTGGGTCTCAGTTTCCATAAGTAAAATACAGTAAGAATGATATACATGCAACTTCCCCACCTTGCCTCAGACACTTATGAACATAAAATGAAATATAATAAAGTTCTCTTAGTATTTTAAAGTGTCCAAATGTGATACAGTACTACAAATATAATGTATATTATAAGCAAGGACCAAAACTATCTCTGTAGGAAATCTCTTACAGGAAAAATCCAGATAAGATATAACAATGTGCAAACTTTCAATTTAGATACTACATTAGAGTTTGGCATAGCTGTTTAACTTAGAAAATGTTTATTATTTCAAAGATACAAGAATAAGCATATTTAGTATTTTTCATACTTCTGTATGTGATAAAATTACCACTGTACTATATATCATTAAAGATAAAGTTATTCCCATAACTTAATTACGTCAAACACGTTTCATCCTTCCTGCCTGCAATAAAGAGGTGGAAAGTTTTTGCCATTTTTTCTCCTCCTGGACTAAAATGCATTAGTTTAGGCTAAAAAAACCCTTGCTCTCAGTCAGGGATGATTCTATGATGTTTTCACCCTCTCAATTTTCAGAGTTCTTTTCTTCAGGAAGCCACTACACATTCAGCTTTGTCTGTCTCAGGTCCTTGTTTTTGTTGCTTAGAGTTCCCTGAAGATTCATAACAGGCTTTCATTTTCATTCATGTGCAATACAGGAGGAATTAAAGAATATTTACAATACTAAATCACACAGAACTATGCTTAATGAAAATACAGTTTAAGACAAAAATTAACATTTTGGAATCTGTGATTTTTCCATAACCTTTTTTATCATGGTCTTTGCATGCATGTCATAGTTGTTTTGTTTATTGGTTTATTTTCTATAGATATTGATGGGTAATCAAAAACAAGCAACTACAACGAAGTCATACACAACATGTAACACCTGCAAATACAAGGCAGAACTAAAAATAACTGTAGTTCTGTTTCTAAAAGTTATTAATGCTCTCAAGCATTTACAAATACTAAATACTAAATGGTTTACTAAAACACAAAATTATAAAAATGTTTCCTGTTACCTATATGTGTTGGTTATGTTACATACACAAACAGAAAATGAAAACAAAAAAAGCAGCCAATTATACCAAGTAAAGAATTATAAGTGAAAAGCTTTGGAATTTTGTGAATATGAATTTTCTTTGACTTTTACAAGTCAAGTAACATATATGCACTGGCTAAATCTAAAAAAATAAAAAACTTAAAAAAAATTAGAACAACAAAACTAAGGATTTTTAGGACCAATGGAAAAAAAATTAACAGAAAGTGGACACCAAAACTAAACATACTGTTACCTGGCGCTTCATTGCATGCATTTCTGTTAGACTGCTGTAGTATTCTCCTAGCATGTGCTGTAGGAAAGGCAGACATAAGGATGAACAGAAAATGCGTATGAATAGTAATGATAGGGTCTATCGTAGAAGTGAATAAAAAATAAGCCAATTTCTTTAAAATTGTTTGCCTGAACTAAAATGTTATACTCTATTTAAAAATAATCTCATCAATGAAAATAAAAGATTTGCTATAAACTTCTTTTAATGTGACTGATCATAATAAAACTCTACCTTTCACCCTCAGAAACAAACTTATCAAGGCGAGCCTTCCTCATCTCTGGAGGAAGAAGAGGGCTGAGTAATTTAATACTGGCAGTCACACATGTTACAACTGAATAATCGTATCAAAAACTATTACATGTTATAAAGAATTTTAGGGTGATGGTTAACAATAAAAATAAGTCTTTTTAGAAAATACGTAAATACACACAAAGGTATATTTACACTATTCAAACATTTTTTAAGCCACCAAAATTCAATCGTTTTATTTTCTAAGTGACAATAATAAGGACTGAACTTCTATGACCAACTATCAATTATTTATGTAACTGACAGCCTTTCAAAATAGCTCCTGTTCCTGCCTGCCACTCAAATGTTTACTCTTTGAAGGTATCACTACTAGATCTAGTGAAAAGCGATGGAAATTATAAAATTTGGGGGTCAGGACAACAGAGCTGGAATTTTTGCCAAAAGGATCCTAGACTTAACAGACTAGGATTGAAACTTCAGCTCTACCATTTCCAAGCAATACGACCTTGAAGAAGTCCCTTTAAAATAAGAAAAAAAAAGTGATGTTTCTTTAGGGATTACAAAAGTAATAAACATTTACTACGTAAGTTTTAGAAAATATGTAAGTTTAAAGATGATAAAACCAGTATTAACATTTTGATGCATTTCTTCGTCTTTTTTGCATTCAGATTTTTGTTTAAACATAGTTGAAACTATACTGTTAAAAAAAACACTGAATCTCCATTTTTTTTTCACTTTTGTCTCCTGAGTATGGATGCGCACAGTATGCGTATGGATTACCGGGTTGAAGGCCTGACTTTCTGAAGAAAAACTGTACCAGTTCACATTACTGGCCCTTTATGAGTGCTGTGAAAAAGCAGGTGCCCTATGTGACTGTGCACCCATCCTCATCCTCATCCACAAATGGAAACAGAACCAGCTCACAAGATTATGAAGCTCAAATGAAATGAGTAATCTGTTTTAATTTATAGACAGTGAAGCACAACACAGTGGGAGCTGCCTTCTCACCCCCGAGGGCTTTGCTGACAATGGAAAGCAGAGACTCTGTATTTACCACTTCCCTCCCTGTATTTCTTTGAGATGAACTTAGTCATCGCAAGTTATGAAAGTACCAGCACTTATTTAAACTGCAACAGTGGCAAGTACATGGCTCCATTCATTCAGTGCACACTTACAGAGTAACTGCCATGCGCCAGGTAACATTCTAGCATTTCACATGCAAGGAAGAAAAGTAGTATCTGTTGCCGAGGGACTTAAAAAGGCAATACAGACATTTAAACAGGTAAATACGAGACAATGTGAAACAGGCAACAGAGGAGGTTTACACAGACTACAACAATAACAAAAAAAGAAAAAAAGGGAAACCCATCCCGGCTTGCATTTGGATGCAATTTCAGAGTTACAGAACTACGATTATTTGAGCCCAGCAGAGAAAAGGACTCACCAAGAGCAAAAAGGACTCGCAGAAAAGACAACTGCTGCGGTAACAAAGAGCGTGATCGCTGTGGGGAAAGTTCAACTCAGGACCACGCAAAGGGTGAAGTTCTGGGCAGAAGGCCTGCGGCCGGAAACCTCCCGTTCAGGCATGAAGGCACGGGCACCTGCGCCAGCAGGCAGGACGAAGGACAAAGGCTTGAAGCCGGGAAATGACAGGACTGTACACCTGAGTTCTTACTCAGATAAGGTTTTCAGAGTTTCAGACTAGGAGTTCCAAATCAATGTTAACTACAGTTTTTTTGTTTGGAATTTTATCAAAATGTGTCTAAAGCTAGCATCATAACAACAAAAAATTCCAGCTTCAGTGTACTGTAGTATCTACATAAAACCTTGCAGATGACAGAGAAGTGTGACAGACCAATTTTAAAGCTTGTTTTAATACAGCTTTTAAAATCTAGGATGAAGAAATCCTTAAATTAAAGCAAACCAAAAAGGAACATACCTGAAGATATTTCTGTAGACCTACTACATTTTATTATTTTTTCCAGCTGCTCATGATTCTGTCTGCTGAATACTTTTGCTTGAACAGGCTCTTCAGTCTGGGCTGAATGTCTGTTCCTATTTTTGCAAGGTTCACATGTGCTAGACATACTGGCACTTTCATACCCTTGAGTAAAAAAAGTGACAACTATTATCAGTTGTAACTAACTCAAACTGAAAGGGAAATTGATTTCCACAGTGAAACAGCACAGGTAACTCAATTTAGCATGCTGTGAAGGCCTGGTATAAAGTAAATAAAATATGAAAGAGTAAATGGTATGTCTTGGAGATATCTTTGCAACAATCTTTGGAAGCCTGAGATAGCAGTAATAAATTCTGTCATTCATTGTCCTTTATATCCATTTTAATGAGTATATCTAAACACAAACTATATGGTAGACTTATATGACCCAGATTCTCTAACTAGAATCCCAAGTTAACAGTGTTTCAGAATTAGGAAATACAAGAAAAAAAACCACATTCAATCTATATAAAATGCTCCTAAAAGAGAGAAGGGTAATGCGCATTAAGTAGTCAAATATGTCTGCCTTCTTACTATACCTTTTATGTAAAATGACTTAGTTTAAAAAGTCTTACCCACACACAGCCTATTCTACTAAATTTTTCTTCTATATTCTATCTATTGTGTCTATTTCTGTTTTATTTTTTCTACAGATTCCACATATAAGTGAATCATATAGCATTTATCTTTCTCTGACTTATTTTGTTTAGCATAATACTTTCTAACCCATCCATGATGTTGCAAAAAAGATTTCACTTTTTTTTTAATGGCTGACTAGTATTTCCTTGTGTGAATGTACAACTTTTTAGCCACTCATCTGCTGATGGGCACTTGGGTTGCTTCCGTACCTTGGCTGTTGTCAATAATGCTGCAGTGAACATAGGGGAGCACATATTCTTTCAAATTAGTGTTTTGGGTTTCTTTAGATACATTTTTAAAAGTGGCACACCTGGATCATAAGGCAGTTCCATTTTTAATCTGAGGAACCTCCACGTTGTTTTCCAAATCCTTTAATTTGTTGATATAATAAATTATGTTCACAGGTTTCCTGATAATGAATCATGATCACATTTCTGTAATAAACCCTACTGACAATGGTCTGATATTCTTTTGACATACCAGCAGATTAAGTTTGCTAATATTTTACTTTTACTTTTGAATTTATATTATTAGCTAAAACTGATCTACTGTTACGTCATTGAACTGCTTCCCCTTCTTTTCCCCTTCCCCCAGATACAGGTCTCTGCTCTGATTCATGTGTAGTTTCTGTAGCTTTCCTCAGGCAGAATACACCAGTATCCTTTCATCTTGACAGGCGAAGGGTGTCTTGTCTGAGTACAGGACTTTTAAGTTGTAGCTCTTTTTTGTCCATGGATGGATATTATTCCATTTTCTTCCACTTCTTCTGTTGTATGATTATCTGATTGTCAGGTTCTTTTTCATCATTTGCAACTTGTTCTTTCAGTTTGGAAGCTTAGTAGATTTTCACTAACTTCTTAAGAATTTTACAATTCAATCAGAACATGTGTGTGCGCATGTGCACACCACGCCCACCACTTGCTCCTGGCTGGACAAGAGCTGTTGTTTTGATCTGCGGTCCCAAATCTTTCTTCTCTAAAGATCCCCTTTATTATTTAATTACCCCTCTACCTGTTTTTAGTTCCCCTTTAGAAGTCATTGTATGTCAGAGCTCCAAGATCTGTCTTTAAGCCTCTAATGATTTTCAAAAACTTGATTTTTCTCTCTTAGTACTGTGCTTCAGGTAATTACATAATTCTTCCCCTCAAATTTCTGGGCCACTAATTTGGGACTTAATAACATTCATCCTGTTTTTCAAATAATCTAAACACTGTATGTGAAAATAATTTTTTTTCTAGTTCTAAAGAATTTGTTAAAATTCAACCTCCGTGAGAGTTGTTATTTTGTTCAAGTGTACATTTCCTCAATACTTCTGCTTCTACTAGATGACCTGCTGTGGCCTGCTCCCTCCCTCTCATGTGCACTGTGGCAATCACGAGGCTAGCCACCGCTCTTACGTACCGTCAGGGCTGGACCCAAGGCTGGGCAGCTTTAATGGCGTCAAGCTGGCAGTGCTTGGAGGTCTCACTTCCATGGGAAAGCAATGTTCCGGCTAAGAAGTTGTCAGTCTTCCACGAGACAGTAAGAGAAAGCCTCTCTACTCCTCAGTCTCCTCAGCGGCAAAGACAAATGCTCTCAGAGGTTCAGGGTAGGGAAGATGCCACGTACAAGTTCAATGACACCCTTGTCCATTAGTAATCGGAAGAGGCAAGACTGCCGCTACTCTTGGAAGGCAGGGAGGTGCCAAGACCAAAAGAGTTGCATGGATTTCCTCAATCAACTTTTCTCCGGGAATCACAGGGCCCTGGGCTTTGCCCCAGACACCCTCTGAAAGAACGGCTCACAGCAGCCCACAGCAGCTGCTGTGCTAACAACAGGCTCCCATATGCTGCCCACCGCCTCTCTGTGACCCCTACCCGGAGCCAATCTTCCCTTTCTGCCTCTAGGGCCACTTTTCCAGTTGGAGCTTCATCATTTCAAACTTAAGTTCCTGGTTTCTTCACTGGTCTCTTAGACTCAAGTCTCGCCACACTCTACTCAAAACTTACAGGAAAAAGCGCTCTCTTCGTTATCTCTGACCTTCACATAAAACAGGTCCAACAATAAAGGGTCTGAATCCAAAAGCAGTATGTAAAATAATACAGTTTGTAGTACTACTGTTTGCTTAACTAATAGCCAACAAAGCTCTGAAAGTAAGCTGTTATTCTAACAAGAACATTTACATAAATGAAATTAAGCTTCTGACTACTGTCACTGAATAACGTGGAAAGTACTGAATGAATTCTAACCCACATTAAAACATTTATGATGTGGCACACACAGAATTCTCTTTGGGGAGCCCAAGTAGGCAGTTCAAAGACAAGCTTACTCTCCACAGCTGAAACTGAGAAAAGCAGCATGTGGAATACATACATACATACATGCATACATACATAACAATGATTTTCTTTGATTCCCAAATTGAAAACATCAAGGGCTAGCCTTCCAAAGGTAAGGCACTGGTGTGTGGTTGCATTACCCCTCCCTGGGGCACTCTGACAGGAACCCTCCAGGGAGAACAGGGCAGCTAGAGAACGTTAACAACACTCCAGAGCAGCACAGGCTAGTAAGCCCGCCAGAGCAGCAGCAGCACATGGCGGTCATTATTGCAAGGGTGCTGTCCCCGGTCCCACAGCATCACTCCTTCCCTTGCACCCACTCTGTTCTTCTCAGCGTGCGCGGCTGACGTAGCCAGTGGAAACGGGACTTCCACGTAGGAAGCAATGTAGGGAAGCAGCCCAGCCTGGCGCCCCGGGGGCCCTGCATGTACCCACACGAGCCACGCAGGTGAGCACTGTGAACTGCAGCTGAAGCGGCCTCGGCAGAGGGCCACGTGACAGTCCTCCTGGAACGTGGAACCCGGGAACACGCGAGGCTTGTGAGAAGCTGCCGTGTGGCCATTCCCCCTCACCTCGCCCGTTCCTCCGGAAAGCTGTCATGAGAGCTTTCCATCTCCTCCTGGTTCTGACGACGGGAGACCTTTCTGTCACACCCCATGTGCACAACTCCACTCTGTAATGTGGCTGTAGCTACAGCACAGCAGTGGTTTCTCAGCAACAGGTGTCCACCGCTCATGTATGTCCTCCTACCTGTCATCTGGGCCCTCTGGTTTCGGCGTCACCTTGTGGTGTGTGGGACGAGGGGTACGGGGAGCTGGCACCTTTAGCTCCTCTTCCTTTCTCTACGTAAATAATAAACTCTCTGAATCTAAAAAGGGCTGTTTCTTTACTGGTCACATCTGTCAGGTCTTGCCATGCCTAATGCTTATGCTTAACATCTATTTCATCTCAATCTCCATTAGCGAGTCACAGAACGGGGAGAGGGGAGAAATGAAGAGACGCAGCAATGGGCAACACCCAGAAGTCAGTACATTAACAATTCTAGTCCATTCTCCAAGAAAAAAATGAGGAAAATGTATGATATATGCTTCTACTCTCTCTAATAATATCAAAAGAGGAAATGGGCCTTGTAGATTGTAGCCAAATTATGGGTCTGGTAACCAAATTATAGGTTTGATAACCGAAACATCCAGCAAGGCAAGAAATCACGTTCAACTCATCAAGTCTGAATGTTAGCTGCAGTTTAAGATGATTATCACATAATGTGTTAAATCTTACTTCACAAACAATAACATGTACCTTTACATACAAAGACTTTCTAAAGCTTAAAATACATAACTGTGCCATTCTTCAGGACCTTTACTATACTTCTATGTATGTGAGTTTCCAAGAGAGGGAATTAACCGAGTACAGCGATTTTGAAAATTTTTCTTCTTACAAGACTGGAACACTTTGTTCTTAAGCACCAAATACTATCTCTTTGAAACCAGAACCAATCAAAGACACAGCTGAAAAGTATCCTTTGTAAACTTGAAGAAGCAGCATCCTTTCACTAATATTCCAGATTTTAGCCAGTAAAATTGACTTTAACCTAGTGTTAACATTCATTAAATTCTTTAAAATAACCATAGCAAAAGTTTTAAAGTCACAGAAAAAAAATTTTAGTGGCATGTAGTTAACACTATAAAGAGAACCGATATGATACTCAATGGTAAACAAGATTTGACAAAACATGAGTTAATGTTATACTTCGGTTCAGGAAGGCCAACAGTGAACTTTTTAAAAAGGCTGTTTCATCTATGACAGTCAAAGACTGCAATGTAGTTAGAGGCCCACATTTCTTTAAATGAATCAATCAAGGACCTAACCAGAAGTCACGACTAAAGTGTTGAATGTAGAGCAAGACGTGATAGTAAAAGAGAATAGTAAAACTAGGACTTTAATAGTTCTTAAGTAACCTACAAGATTTGGAAAAAGATCTGAGTTCACAGTAACCATTTATATAAGAAATATAAGAGGCTTTAAGAAGCACAAAGTGCAATGTTTTAAATATATACAACATTAACAGCTGTATGATAAATTTTGTAAAAAAAATTATAGTTAACTAAAAATGACTTTGTTCAAATACTTCTAAAAGTGCCCACCCATCTAACCATACTGAAATAAAATTATGTCAACATGCCAGAGTAATGTTGCCAACATTTATCCTGATCAGCATTCAACAGATTTAAATACTTACCAACACTTTTAATTCTGCTTTTCAGCTGAGCAGAATGCCTCTTCTTACTCTTCGACTTGGGAGTTCTGTCTTTAGATGCCAGGCTGGCCTGTGCAGAGGCTTTCCTCGCCTTGAATGTTTTCGACACAGTGGTCGGATCCACTGGATCAGGCATGCTGCTAAAGCTTTCCAACGACTCTTCGTCAGACTGGCGCCTTCTGCTGGTATCTAACTGATTCTTGCGATTGCTATTTGTAGTCTTCTCTACAGACACTGCAAATCCAGTCTGGATGAATGGTTTTTCTACTTCACCTTCTTGGTCATATAACCATGGTGTTCTACTGTTTTCCATCTCCTCTTCGGGCTGCTTTTGATTCCTTACACCAAAGAAAATAAGTTTTTAGAGATTACAATGATAGATTTCCAAGTTTACTGCAAACTCCCGATATAGTACTCAAAATATAGTTTACTAGATTTCAGTAAATAAAATCAACAGCCTATAAAATATTTACACAAAAATATGCATTAAATATGCAAATATTCAATAAGCCGGTGTTCTAAATTATCTTAAAACTTTAATATTCAACCCTTATCACTAAACCATTTTCACCGGCAAAAGTCCCAAACCAAAGATCTAGCATTCGTAACACAAAAGACCAGGAAAGAAAAATCAAGGAAAGATGGTACATAAGGAGGACAAAAAACGTGGAGGAACAACCCAGAAGGATCTACAGCAGAGGGTCTGAGACATACACGCATGTGTGTCATGTGACGCAGCTCAGCTAGAACAGGAACTGGGTGAAAACAAGGGCCACGCAAGCAGTTCTTCCCTTCTCCACACTCGAAGTGTGGTTTAGTTCTATCGGTCTGGTGTCAGTTTCAAGTTTTATCCACTCAACACCAGCATCCTTTAATATCTAAACAAGCATTCACTGGTCATCTAAATAATAATACAGTCAAAATACAGTCGAAACAAAGTTAAGTAAGTCTACAGGACTCCTCAGAACTTTTAGTATGCCAATGTACTTGATACAAAGTCTTGGACGGGAACAGAGTTAGATGTCCCAAACCTTTGATCACAGAACCCAACATGGACAACAATGTTCCAGACCTAAGAACGTAATCTGGGAGACACTGACTGACAGAACTTAATACTAACGTGAGCAAACCTGCAGTTTGCAGGCCAGATTGGGGCTGCTGCCTGTTTTTGTATGGCCTGTGAGCTAAAATGATGTTTATATTCTCGCATGGTTGAAAAAAATAAAATCGAAGGAGGAAAGTTTGCAACACAACTACAAGAAATTCAAACTTCAGAGCCCATAAAGTGTTACTGAAACACAGCCACTCATTCTTTACATATTGTTTATGGCTGCTTTTGTGTAAAAATGGCAGCGATAAGCAGGCCTGAAGAGTACTGTATGGCCTGCAATGTATACCATCTAGCCTTCACAGGAAGGGTTTTCTGGCCCCGGCCCAGAACTGCAATGTTCCATCTCACTGCTTATCTTCTCCAGCCATTCAATTCAGGGAACCCGTATTAGCTGAGATTTTGGGGAGGAGATCAGGTCCAATCTGAAGTAGGTCGAACATCTACAACAACGTTAGATATCCATGGCTGTCCTTTTTTACCATCGATTATATATAAAATATGGATAGTAACAAAGTAGAGTCCTTCCAGTAGGGTAGGCTATTCACTAAAGCTTTGAAACAGTGTTTATTGCTTATGATGGAGATTCACTCAAACCTCATTTCTGAATGGCAAATGTACGCTAAATACTGTTAGCCTCTGACAATAGAATACTTTCATAAAGCAACAGGAGATTTACTAATAGGAAAAAATGGTTAGTACAGCTAAGAAAAACAAAGTCTGGGGGCGGATCAGTCACAGGACTCCCAGAAGCAAATATAAAGTTGAATTTATGAGTTTTTGATTAATCAAGGAAGTCAAGGATTTACATGATTTACACACTGCTGCTTCAAGAGCCGAGATCTGCTCAATTCCGTAACTAAAGGGAAGAATACTGTGATTTATATGTCTGTCAAGGGCTGGGAAAGACAAAATCATAGAGACATTCTCTCAGAACAAATACTAGGCTCAACTGACCTCTAACATTTCATCATTCGAAAAAGATGTTTTTGGCACGAATGGCCCACCTTGGCTCATGCTTTACTTTCCTAAAGGCTCCCAAACAAGCAGCACCTGGCCTCAGCGTGCCCGGTACCTCTCGCTACATGGCCCCCGGCCCTGCACCAGTGGCAGCAGGCCTCCGCGTGCTGCTTGGCCTCCCCCAGGCACCTCTGAGCCCAGCATGAGTAGCAGCCATCTGCAGACTGCTCTGTAGCTCATGTCAGGTGGCCCTAGGGAAGAACACAGGCGGCAGGTGACCTCAGCCTGCACCTCCCCGGAGGCCCCAGAACCAGAGCACTCAGTGGACAACTTGAGACCACATCGAAGCATCACCGCCCCAATTCCAGGGGTGGACTCAGCAGTACCAGAGCCCCACTGAAGTAAATAAGTCCTGCACTGTGGGGTGGGCCCCCGTACAGATGAACTTCCACGGTGTTCAGGGTTGGTGGTCATAGCCAGTCCTTGCAGTGACTGGTCGGGGAGTCCATCTCTCCCACAGAGGTGCCGACAGCAGTCAAGGCTCAACTACAATGTGAAGGCATACTCAGCCCACACAGGGGGCACCCCTCAAGTGCCCAGCTTGGGTGATCAGGAGGCTGTGACACTGGGTAATGGAACACCTACTACATTACGTCACTTCACCAAGCCTGGAGACGCAGCAGCTCTACCTAACACACAGAAACAAACACAAGGAAGCTGCCAAAATGAGGAGACAAACACATCCTAAATGAATGAACACAGTAAAAACTCCAGGAAAAGAACTAAACAAAATGGAAACAAGCAAGACTGTTTCCATTTGAATACTCTGCTAGATGCAGAGTTCAAAACACTGGGTTATAAAGATGTGCAATGAACTGAGAACTTCAACAGCATAAAAAAGGACACAGAAATCATGAAAAATAAGCAGTCAGAAATGAAGGATACACTAACTGAAATGAAGAATAACTTACGGGGAATCCACAGTACAGTAGATGAAGCTGAGAATCCAATCAGCAATTTGGAATATAAGGAAGCAAAAAGCACCCAATCGGAACAAACAAACAAACAAACAAAGGATAGTGTAAGCAGCCTCTGGGGCAACTTCAAGGGTACCAATATTGGCATCATGGGTGTGCCAAAAAGAGGAGAGAGCGAGCAAGAAATTGAAAACCTATTTGAAAAAATGACAAGAAATTTGCCTAACTTGGTGAAGCAAATGAACACAAGTCCCGGAAGCACAGTGTCCCAAACAAGATAAATCCAAAGAGGCCCACAGTAAGACACATAATAATTAAAATCAAAAGGTTAAAGAGAAAGAGAGACTCTTTAAAAGCAGCAAGAGAAAAGCAGTTAGTTGCCTACAAGGGAGCTCCCGTAAGACTGTCAGCTGATTTCTCAACAGAAACTTTGCAGGCCAGTGGGATTAGCAAGATGTATTCAAAATGATGAAAGCAAGCACGACCAGCCAAGGCTGCTCTACCCAGCAAAGTTATTATTTAGAATTGAAGGATAAGTAAAGGCTTCCTAGACAAGAAAACGCTAAAGGGGTTTATCACCACCAAATGAGTGTTATATGAAATGTTAAAGGCCTTCTTTGAGAAGAAAAAGAAAGATAAACAATTTGAATAAAATGGCAACGACTGAATCTAAAAAACAAAATAAACAGAACAGAAATAGACTCAGGTAAGAGAATATTTTAATGGTTGCAAGATGGAACCATTAAGGGAATGGGTGAAAAGGGCGAAGAGAGTAAGAAACACAAATTGGTCGTTACGAAATAGTGGGGATGTAAAGTACAGCACAGGGAATATAGTCAGTGATATTCTAGTAACTGTGCATGGTGCCAAATGAGTGCAAGATGTATCGGGGTGATCCCTTAGTAAGTTACATAACGTCTAATCACTGGGGAGTACACCTGAAACTAATACAATAATGTATGTCGAAAGTAACTGAAAAGGAAAATGATTTAAAAATGAAAAAACAGTAATAAGTTTTTTCTGAAGTTAACAATGAAAAGTCTTTATTTTCACCAGTTGGCTATCAAAATCATTTTATGGGTTACTGGTGTTGTTTATCTAGCTATAAATGTGCTTACAGAATGATCAACCTGATCCAACACAACTCGTGTTTGACATTGAGTCAAAATTGTATTTGATCAGAATATCACATTAAAAGATAATAGATGTTGAGACAGAGATAAAGAAATTATATGACTGATACCACACATCACCACAACTTCCTCGGCTAAAGCTGCTTTTCTAGCCCAGCAGTCCCCCACGTGGCCTGGGGACAGGCCTCAGGAGCACAACCCGGCCGGGGGCTCCGAATCGGGTCAGGGCACCGTCACTTGACAACAACTGTCCTCTAGCAGTCAGCTGTCGGTCCTGCATCGGGAACTTAAAGACGCTGCAGGGGTCAGGTCTTACCCTTTCACAGTGACTCTCCCGGGACACTGGTCAAAATGCTGCGCTGCTCTTGTGCCGGGGCTAGCAGCAGGTGCGTGCCTGAGAGACATCAGGCGAGATGTCAAGCCAAACAATCACGAATACCCTAACTGTGTCTTCACAACATATAATTAAATGTATATAAACAAAATTAAATTATAGAACAAGAGATTAATGTGAACTCTTAAGCACATAAGGAATTGTGTTAGCGACTGAGTTACCTTTGTTTCTCTGCTCCAATAGAAGAACTACTTTCAAAAGGTTTTGGAAAAGCCATATATTCTGTTTTCCCAGAAGAATTCTGGGCTAATGGTTGCTGCTGTTCAGTGGATGTAGAAATATTCTGAGAAAAATCTCCAAAATTAGAAGGAAATAAAGGGCTGAAATTCACACCTAGTAAGTAAAAGCAATGGGTAAGACAACAATAAAGCATCTTCAGCCTTACTGTGAAATCAAAAGACATCTGTAATTAATGTGCCATTCATATCCATCAAAACAAAAAGTTGTTAGTCAAAATTAAGAATTGTTTTTATAATCCTGTTAAGAAAACACACTGTGGTATTTTTATTTATATTTATACTCACAAAGCCCTTCCACCAAATCTTCTCTCCTCCTGTATCTGCTCTGGCAACATCTTCAATTCCTCTTTCTTCATGACTCACCTCATCCAACTGGTCACGTAACTACGTAACTTGTCCGACCCCCAGAATGTCTTTCCCTGGTACTCCTGCAAACAGCCTTCCATTTCCTAGTCATGTATTTCATGCTATCTCCCTGCTCAGACTCTTCAATGGCCCCTCTCGTCTACAACAGCAAGTCTAAGCTGCTTCGCATGGCACAGAACACCTGTGCTACTGACCTGGCCACAGGCCTAAACACTAGCCATACTTAAATGACCTCTAAATTCCCTAAGTGATAAACTGTTTCACTGCTTTGTAACTCCAAGTGGTTCCATTGATTAGTAAGTCCTTTCCCTTATTTCCTGGAAATAAATTAGGTTCATTTTTTAGCTTAAATAACACATTCTTGCTGGGAAAATACATTTGCTGATGACGTCTTGCCCCAAGGTAGAACAGCCCACTCACCTCATTTGCACCCACAGCACCGCACTAGACACTGATTAACATCCGTAGCATCTCCACTAGACTCTAAGTTCCTTGAAGAGTTAGTCTCAGTCCTCTTTGAGTCCCAGTCATTTATATAGTGTCTGACTCACAATGCATGCAGGAAAAAAGTCTGAGTAAAAGCCTAAGCTAAATAAAATTAAATGTAACCCTATACTAGGTACTCACCTTTAGTTTAGTGGTATGTCTCCCTGCCGAGACATGAAGCTCCTCTAGAGGAACACTATGTTATTCAGCTTTACTCTCTCAACGTGCTACCTAGTGCCTGGTGTAGAGTAGCCATTAGATACATTAATTCCCTTTCTCCTTAATAAATAGTTGTTAAATAATTCACACATATAAGACTTAGTAATCACTCATAATTGTGTATTTAATTCCTTAGCAACCATATCAAGCTTAAGTTTTTACTATAAAGTAGAAAGGGATTTGTAACTTTCTTTGCAACATTTCCTACCACTCTAAAAGAGACTGATAAATATTCATGTAATAGGCAAATGATATTCTCGAACACAGCGTACTTATTTATTTTCCCTTTAGGTTTCCAGTCACTTACCTGGTGCAAATGATGAAAAATTAGTAAACCCAGGTAGGTTAAACAGATTTACAGGCTGTGTTGGAAAGCTGAACGGACAAAACAAACTGGGAGAAGGAGGGTGTGATGCACTGTTGCCTCTTTCCTTGCTTCCAGATTTTTCTGGATGCTGATTTTGTTGGCGCATAAGTTCATTTAGCATTTGTTTCAACCTGTAAAAATTTAAGAAGTCGGTGTTTTAAAAATCAGCTACATTACATTCAGAAAAAGTATTATCTAAGAAGTGATTCAATAGCATGCAGAAGAGACGAACTGCTCTGCTAGTTGCTACAACAAATATCTGCTTGTCCTGAAGGCTTACTTCAGCAACTCAGCCTTTGGAACGAGAACTGCACCTGGTACTTCTATCAGATGGTAGGTACAACTGTAAGAAACACATTGTTTTTTTTCTTGTTTACAGCTTTACTGAGGTATAGTTACACACAATTCACCTACTAAGTGTAAAGTTGAATAGCATAAATTTTTAAACAAAAGTCCACAATATTAAAGGGGAACATCGGACAACCACTGCTGACAAAATTGTCAGGCGATAGAGAGCATCTGAGTATGTAATTCGGCTCACGCCCCTCTGCCCCAGAGGGCAACTCGCAGCAGAGCCGCACTGCCCGGAAGAGACGGAGTACCTCTGCACGTTATTCTGCTGCCACGTCAGCTGCGTGTAGCACTGGTTCAGCTGGTGCATGATGAGGTGCACCTGAGGCGACGCGACGTTGCTGGGCATGACACTGTACGGGCCCGTGAGGAGGGTCTGCAGCAGACAAGACAGAGCCTACGGAAAGAAAACGTTCCGTACTCTTTGCTGAGGACCTGAGAAAAATGCGCACTGCTTTTAAAACAGGGTAAAAAAAACATTTCTTTCACAGTACATTTTACCTGCTGGTCCTGCATCAAAGTCTGGCAAATACTGACACTGAAATCAAGCTGTTTCTTCAGCTGGTTAATCTGTTCTTGCCACTGTTCTTTCTCCTCTACATACGAGAGCTCTGACACCCAGCGGAGGTTCTCCTGACGCTGCATGCTGATATTCTGTTGTCTGGTCTTGGCTAGGGGACGATAATTTCCATCTGCTGAAAAGGGGCGATTGTTCTTCCACCTAACAAGAAATTTAGAATATTAAGTCATCCTACATAATTATTTGGTTTTTAAAATCTAGCAAGAAACCACAGGTCAGTATTCTCTTTTTAAGTTCAAAGGACTCAAAAAGCAGGGAAAATAAAGGGGGTCAAGATTCTAGGTTTTTAGCCTTATACAATTATAATTTCTTATTCTTCTCCAGTTTTTTCATTTATGTTTTACACAAAAGGATCCATATAATTCTGTATACTGCAACATGAAAGTATTATCACAAGCAGTTTTTCATTCTCCATGCTTTAAGCTAACCCACATGACACCATGGAGTACAACTACTTTGCTACCTTTTATTCATGAAACATTTTTCACTTATAATAATGTAGTATCTTTGTTGCCAGACCTTTTTTACTATCTACAATTTAAAAATTTTTGCTAAATTCTTCAAAACAAGAGCAAAGATCAAAGCTTATGAACCTTGATCCAGTTTAGCTGAGATTTATCTTGGCAACATTCTTGTGGTATAATAAAAAATTATTATAGGGAAAAATAAAGGGATTAAGCAAAAACAAACCTCACAGACACAGACGACAGCATGATTACCGGAGGAAAAGAGGGTTGGGCGAGGTACAGGAGGATAAAGGGGGGATGAATGGTGATGCAAGGAGACTTGACTTGGGGTGAACAGACAATACAATATACCATGTATTTACAGAGCCCTACACCTGAAACCTACATAATTTTATTATCCATGTCACCCCAATTTAAAAAATACATGTGTGTGTATTTGGTCTTCATCCCAGGCTTCCAGCGGAGCTCCTACAACGCTTGGTTTCTCCAGGGTATCTGTTGTTATTCACGAAGAGCCCCTGTGAACCATATCTGAGTTTATGCTAATGACTCTACACAGGCCACCGACAGGTGTATGGTGGGGGCTGGTCTTTTTCACCAGAAAACCCAGCCTGGTGACGAGAGGAGTTGGAACGTTTAGCCCCATTCCCTAAACTCCAAGGATGGCACAGAAGGGGCCGGAGATTAAACTGAACTGCCTATGGCCAATGATTTGATCAGCCGTGCCCATGCAATGAAACCTCCGTGAAACTGCTACACAAGGCAATGGTTAGGAAGCTTCCGGGATGGAGTGCAGGGCACGGTGCTCCCAGACAGGGCATGCAAGATCCACAGCCCCAAACCTTGCCCTATGCGTCTCTTCCATTTGGCTATTCTTGAGTTGTACCTTTTATAATAAACCAGTAAATATAAGCGTTTTCCTGAGCCCCATGAGTTGTTTTAGCAAATTATGAAAGCTGAAGAAGGCTTATGGGAACCCCCAGATTACTAGCCATGTCAGACAGAAGTGTGGGTTCCCTGGAGACTTGGGGCTTACGACTGGCATCTGAAGTGATGGAAGTCTTGTGGGTCTGAGCCCCTTAACTATACTGTAAGACACCCCACTGTTTCTGAGAAAAACCTGAAACTCTTCAAATCAAGCAAAAACTTAAAACAGTGAAACTAACCTATTTTTAGTTTCCTTTGCATTGTAAGAGTTATGATTCGTGCTATTGGGAGGATATACTGAAAAGTTATCATTGGAACTGGAATCCTGTTCTTCCTCTTCCTCTTCATCTGTCCGAACAACTCCTTCAGAAAGGTAACCATCTTCATCTCCTTCTTCATCCAGTGCACACTGGGTAGAGCCGCCCCACGTTGCCATTGTTCTAGAGATTGAGTCAAAAACCAAGAGATCATTCTGGAGACGAACTAAACACTTTACCCCCTGCCATGTGCAGATGTGTACCGCATTTGTGTGTGTGCACATACGGGTGTGTGTGCATACAGTCCATCTAATGCTGAGAAAATTCTATTTATTTACTTATTCATTCATTCATTCATTCATTCATTCATTCATTCAATTTACTGAGACAGACAGGCAGGCAGACAGACAGACAGACAGACAGACATCAATTTGTCGTTCTCCTTATCTATGCACTCACTGGCTGATTCGTCCATGCTGCCCTGACCAGGGATCGATCTGCAACCTTGGTGTATCCAGACGACGCTATAACCAACTGAGCTACCCGGATGGGGCAAAATTTCACTTAATCTTAGTAACTACAAGATGGGTGGTACTTTCCCCACTGCTGCTTTATAAAATGTATTTACTCTGCCTTCCACAAAACAATTCTTCAAATAAACTAAAACAATAATCATATGCGCCCCTGGAATTTTTTTTCCTAAACTAAACCCCCCTCAACTTTCCTTTCTTCCAATAACAATTTTCTAGATCAGAGCTGGCCAACAGCACTTTCTGCCATAGTAATCGATTTCTGTGCTATCCAACAGAGCAGTCACTAGGAATTCATATTCACTAGGTAAATATGACCAAAGAATACTTAAAATATGAATGGTGTCACTCAGAAAATGAATTCTAATTTTACTTAATTTTAACTTAGTTACTTCTGTCCTGTGATAAACTAGATGTTTATCAAAACTATCTAAAGAACTCGAAGTATAAATGTGTAGTAGTCTGAATAGAATAAAATACTGTAGATACAGTCTGATCACTAAATAAATATATATGGGGGCTCCAAGAACAGAACAGGTTTTTCTAAGAAGAGTGAGGCTTGGTGCAGTGTACCAGAAATGCCATCTAAAAATATCAAAATGTAAAGCCACGACAAACCTGGATTTCAAAATTTTAGGTATGAACACTACTATATAGATATGCAATTAACTGATCACAGATACACAAGTCATTCAGAAATATTCTAGATGTGAAAATGTCAAACTTAAATGCTAGACACTAGAAACTTACAAACAGCAGATGCTCAATTTAAGTAAAAAAGTGCTTATTTCTGGCCTGATAGAATAGCACTACAAAGTATCAAAAATGTCCTTTTCATAGCTTAAAACTTAACTAAGAAAACAAGGGTCATACAATCAAAAATCTGTATCACCATTTGACCAAGTGTCTTAGTAATTAAAAAAAAAAAAAAAAGACAGAAAGATGATGCTATGAGAAGTCTGAACAGGAAGTAGCTCAATTTAGTGACACTGAGTCACAAAGGTGACGCTTCAATACTGCCCTCACTGGCGCGGATCTGTGCTGGGATGGAGAGGGGTAACAGGCCTGCCAGCCTGCAGGCCCCAGGCGGGCGAGGCTAAAAGCATGGTCTACACGACTCACTCACTTTTCTGTTCTGCTTTGCTGAGGAGTACACAGATTCTCAGACCCATCACTTCTCAAGGAAGCGGCCCTTGGGGACGCGGTTTCAGCCAGACCCTGCCTCCGCTGGTGTTCGGCCATCAGGGCTTCAAGCTGCTTTCTCCTCTGTCGCAGCTCTTCCCTTAAAATTTCATGTCTGCGCATTTCTGACCAAAGCTATTAATTAAAAATTAGAGTCAAGTTAGTGTCAATATTTGGATTTGTTTTCCCCTTAAAGAACAGCCAGCTAATACTATTTGTCAGTACCAACAAATATTTCTGATCTCATTCTATCCTTTTTATACTGAAATATCCACTAAGGTTAAAATAATATTTTAATAAGAAAATATAAGGGAATTATTAATTCTTAATGAAAAAAAAGCAGCACCCCACACACCAACTATTTAGACAAAGTTATGTTTCCTACAAATCACATATAAAGTAAAACACCTAAGGATAGGTCTCTTTAACTGAAATGATGATTACCTGCTGCACCTATCCTTTACATATAATACTGCCAAATATTTGCTAATAAAGATCAAGACTATTCTGAAGAGATCCCAAATTAATTACATTTTGACAAAAGTATTTCTTTCCCCAACTGAAAGACACGAAACAGGCTACATTTAAGAACATGTTTTACAGATACTCAGTTTCCCTTCTGAAGATGCGACTTACACAGCACAGGGAATAGTCAAAAAAGCCATAATAACTGTGTGTCCGATGGTACTAGACTTATCAGGGTGATTGCTTCGTAAGGTATATAAATGTCTAATAAGATATCTTGTACACTTGAAACTAATATAATATTGTATGTCAACTGTAATTGAAAAATAAATTTTAAAACAAGCTGTGGCTTAAGACTCAAGAACAACAGGGTGCAATATACAATACCTCATTATCTACTACTGAAGAAACTTCAGGCTCAAAAACAGATTTGCTTGTATTGGTTTCATTTTCATTAACAGTTGGGGTTGAAGTGACAGCTGGCATATATTTTTTTGTGGGACAATTACCCGCACTAGTAGCTGACAGCTTAAAAAAAAGGATTAGTAAAAATTATGAGGAATTAAAGCACTTGTGTTAATTTCATAAAAGCAGTTATTTTAGTACTCTTCTAGGGTTCTAGTAATGTGTTTTATTTATTACCAAACCTCAACTTATATCATGATTCAAAGAAAATCAGACATAACAAAACAAAGATGAAAACCCAGGCTGAAGTTGATGAGTAGTAACCAACCTTCAGGAACAAGAGAGACAAGAAAAGTAAAATGTTACTGTGTGAAATTTCATATACTCAACCCGACTCAGGTATTTATTCCTCCGGACATTGTTTAGATTGGGGACAAGGGAAAAAGGATTAGACAAAGTAGAAAAGGTTAGGAGTCTAGAAAATAAACATCTATATTAGAAATATTATTTGATGTGTTTCCCTTTCTTTGAAAATAAAGTGACTGAAGAATAAACCTAACCAATAAATTTTAGGGAAAACAGGTCTCAAAAAGAATTGGCATTTCCTTCCCATATTAACCCTGCCCCTGCTTATCTGACATGGTCAAGGATCATTCATTCTCTATTAGTCTCAAAGACCGACGCATAGAGTGCTACGAATAAACAAAAGTATGTAAAGTTAGCATCTGAACTACAAATAAAATATTTTAATTAATTTCCTTGGATAAATTCATGATGGCTTAAGAGTTTTCTAATATAATTTTAGGCCAGTAAGAAATGGAAATACTAGTCCCTGAATTACAAAGCTGAAACCAGACTATTTTAACAGTTATACTCACGTTCTGAATCTACAGCTAGCTAACCCATCAAGTGAAAGAATAGAAAGAATCAATCAATTACTATGTGGTTATGTTTCTGTGTAAATGTATATCCCTTGCCCATTTCAACAGTTCATCCATTTCATTGATCATAAAATTAAGATACAAATCTGTCATATCAGTACTAGAAAAGGCACTTTTAATCAACACAGAGTTTCAGACATCTTTTTTCAGAGAAGTGGTAAGAGAAATTTCCTACTTACCTGTAGGTCAGGACATGCCTTTTGCAATGCTTGAATTTTCTCTTGAATCTTAATCAGTTTCTTTCTTTCCTCCTGCAATTGTTTGAGTTCTCTCTGTTGCTGCTGTAGTTTAGCCTCATAAAATTTCTCTCTGTAATTTAATTGACATTAAAGTTGTGGACTCCAGTACATGTGATGAAAGCATTAAGCATGATGTAATACAGTACACCTAGCCAAGTACTTTCTCTACAGAGGGACTAAACTTTTATGAAACGAAGTCTATGAACATAACATACCTCGCCTTTTCATTTACTCCAGTGTCTTTCTGTATTTTATTGGTATTTCCTCTGGTGTTATTCGCATTCTGTTTGGTGTCCTCTTCTGCTGGGTAGAAATCATCCAAATTTGAAGTGCTGGCAGAAACAGCTCCTTGTTCTACTGCGTCATCATCCTAAAATCACATCATTATATTAAAATAATCTTTACATATCCAATTCATACTTTAGTAAATAATACTAGTCTGTCAAAGTTACATAAGAAAATTAGAAAAGTAGAGAAAGTAGAAATTTTTAGAGAACACTGAAGTTTATCCTCTACCAACGGCAATAAATGAAGTATTGAAAGTAGAAATAGTACATTTAAAATTTAAGCTGCCTACTATCCAGTAATGACAAATATTAAGCTGCTTTTTCTTATCTTGACCAGGTACTGAGCTATCAAAGAAAAAAACATGCAGATAAAAAATAAACTACTGGAGCTGGGAGCTCTTACTATTAGATAGTTCTTAAGATTTAACTGCTACATGAACAATTTCAAATAATCAATGTCTACTGTCACTTACTTACTTAAAATTTTCCATTTCCTCATTGTATTTAGTTTACCAAATGCCAATGGCTCGCAATATGAAAACTAGTAATATTATACCATTCAAATCTGCAATAATTACTGGAAATACAACTCAAGTTCTTACCGTCCTAACAGTAGAATCATACCCTTTATTGAAATCAACGCACTTATTAAAATAGGAGGTTTAGGATGAACTACTTTGTTTTCTTAAACAGATTTAAGTCTCTATATTTTGTATTTACTCATGCTTTCTCTGAAGTCCTCAATTAAAACTTTAACCGTTGGAAACCATTCTAATAAAACCTTGAACAGTTAATGATAATTCAGTTACAAAACCAACTGATTAATTTTAAGTTTGCAGAGAGTGTTTTTCTGGTCTTCACAATCTAAAGACCTAATTCATTACTAGTATGGAGAGGAAGATTAGAGAGTAACTGGGTTGGGACTCAGAAAAATAAAGAAGTTAAATCTTGAGGCATTTTCATGCAATAAAAAGTGGAAAAATTAAACTAGGACAAAAGATACAAAACACTGCATGATGTTTCAGATGATAGTATGAAGATGTCTGAACAACTGAAATGATAGAGTTCTAACATGAAAACAAAGTAATTGACCAAAAAATTACTGTATTCTAAGACACATAAAGTTTCATAAGGGCCATGTAAGTTGTCCAAGCTAATCTAATCAATAAGAGTAATAAAAGCTTTATATAATCATAACTATATAACCGCTTATAGACCTTCTCCTGAGTCTCTTGGGAAAGAGACTATTAAAAAAATGTAAGAACACAAAAATTACGCTTAGTAAAATAAGTAAAACTCATCAAACATTTTTTCAACAGCTCTCTTTCAAAGGCTTTTAAAATTTTTTTATTGATTAATTTTAGGGAGAGGGAGGAGAGAGAAAGAGAGAGAGAGAGACAGACAGACAGACAGACATCGAGTTGCTGTTCCACTTATTGATGCTGTCACTGGTTGATTCTTGTGCGTGCCCTGACTGGAGATTGAACCTGCAACCTTAGCGTGTCAGGACAATACTCCAACCACCTGAGCTCCCCAGGCAGTGCTCAATAACTCTCTTTCAGAAGGAGACTCCTCAATCCCTCTGGGCTGCATTTTCCTCATTTCTCATACACATATTTTAGGTCTTAGAAACACCCTAAAGCAAAAGGTCTCCATTCAATGTAATCCCGAAATTATGCTAATTCATCTATAAGCCACCCAGTTATTTATCGTTTCTAATCTATTATTCCCACTTTGGGTTGTACATCTGAAAAAACCTTAAAAAATAAACAGAAAGTAATTAACCAGTACAATATTCAAGATAGCAAAAACTATTATTATATTTACTTTAGCAGCTTTTTTTTGCAAATGATAATACCATCATATAATCAAAGTTCAGAAAGTAACAAAGACATTTAGAAAAGCCTCCTGTCCATCCCTTTCCCCCAACTGAATCCATTCACCATAGGTAACCAATGTTATCAATTTATATATCCTACAGATATACTTTGAATATATAAGCAAAAATATTTACGTGTGTATACACATACCTATATGTGTTTGTGTAAACATGTGTTTATACAAAATACCCATATATATATATATATATATATATATGGGAAAACTTGGAAAAAGCCAAAAACCAATTCTAGTAGTGGTTAAACAAGCTCTAATGTAATCAAGGATATGGGAAAATGGACTCATACATCACTGCTTAGATACCATTTAACAGTCATTCTAGAGACCAGGAAAGGAGTGTCCATTAAAATTAAAATGCGCACAAACTCTAACAAAGCAATTCTACTTCCTCATAACTGCTCTTGAAAAACACAAATGCACAAAGAGGGTTGAGCAAAAACGTTCACGGAAACATTCCAAGTAGTGAAAAGTTGTAAATAACAATTGTATACATTAACAAGATGTCAGATGAACTACATTAAGGTCTGTTGATACTACAGAAAACTATGCAAGTCTTGTATTTAATATATATACACAAATACATACATATGTATGCAATATTATCTATATTTTGTAATTACTTAATATTTTATAATTATTTAGCTATAATTATGTAGAACTATATATATTGATATGAAGAGTTCTCCAAGACATTGTGGAGTGGGGAAAAAAATAAGCTGTAAAATAATACTTGTATGTGGAATCTAAACAAAAGCAAACAAAACAAAAACAAACTCATGGATACAGAGAATAAACAGATAGTCACCAGATGGGAGGGGAGGCTGGAGCCATGGATAAAAAAGGTGGAAGGAATTAAGAAGTGCAGATTGGCAGTTACAAAAATGGTCATAGGGATATAAAGTACAGCATAGGGAATATGATCAATAATATTTTAACAATTATGTATGGTGTTAGATGTGTACTAGACTTACTGAGTGATCACTTCATAAAATATGTAAATGTCTAATTACAATGTTATACACCTGAAATGAATATACTGTAGTTAACTGTAATTGAAAAATAAATTTAAAAAATAAAGACTGGGGTCTTCAGCAAAAAACAAATGTTTCAGTAATGAAGTTACACTGGAACACAGCCATGCTCGTTTGTTTACACAACATCTGTGACTGCCTGGAGCAGTACTTATGACAGAGCCTGTAGGTCCACAAAGCCAAAAACATCTACTGACTCACCCTTCACAAAGAAGGCTGCTCATCTCTGATACGTGGCATGGAAGGTGCTAAGCACGTAAACCTGGCATATGGCAAGAACCCAATACATTAACATGTACTAGTATAATTTACCAATATAATTACCAAAATACGTAGGTTTTACCTTATAAGACTGGTCTATTTAACAAACAGTTTTTAAAAAGACCAAGCAGTACTTACCTGTACCATGGCAACAAGATCCTGTAACTGCCGAAGTTTCTGTTTTGCAACCATAAGTCTATTGATCTTCTGTTCAAATTCAGCATCTTCTGGAGCCTCGTCCACATCCACCACACTGCTCCTGTGACTGGATAATGAGGCTGCACTGGCGCCTTCATCTTCTGCTTCCTCCTCCTCCTCCTCCTCATCATCTTCACCTTGTGCAACACGAACCCCCTGCTCTCCTTCTCTATTGTATCGGCAATCTGCTAAAAACAGACATCACTGAAACCCACAACTTAGTCAAGACTACCAATGAAAGAACATCCGCTTCCCAAGAACAAATGGCAATAATTTCTGGGAATAGAGTCAGTCATACCTAGAGAAGGAGGCATGTTTAAAGCTCTTATGTTGGCAGCAGATCTGTTGTTAATCTCACAATTAGAATTAACTGATCTGCCATCTCTATTATTAGAAACACACTGTGCATTAGAAATACTATTTACTTCATTCCTGGTGGCAGCTACTTGTGGATTCCTAAAAGAAAGAAAGGAGCTTAAAGTTATTTAAGATAAAAAAATAAAAACAATAATAATCAAAGGTTTAGAACTACTGATAAAGTAATTCCAAACTATAAACATCATTGGCTAGTTCCCCATTTAAATTCATACTGTGAATAACTGGCTTGCTTTTCATTAACTTCTGCTCTTTAGGAATTTAAGAAAACATCAATCAAAATTATACCTAAAAGTAAAGAAGTAGGAAAATGTCAAGTTAGATACTTACGATTTACTTGCATTTGGACCTAACAAACAGCAAATTTACTAAACTATTTGATACTATATTCAATACTTCCTTATTTTTTTTTAATTGATTTTGAGAGCCAGGAAGGAGAAAGAGGAGAGAAACACTGATGTGCGAGATATACATCGACTGGTTGCCTCTCGCACACTCCCAACTGGGGACCTGGCCCGCAACCCAGGTGTGTGCCATAAGTGGGAAGTGAACCAGTGATCTTTTGGTTTGCAGGCTGGCACTCAATCCATTGAGCCACACCAGCCAGCCAGGGCTTTTTTTTTTTAAAGGCGGGGCAATAAGATTACACTGACCAAAATAGTAGACTAAGAGGAGAAAAGTTTAAACAAAAGAGAAATAGCATTCAATTGAAGCTTCTCTGGTTCTATATTAAAAGTATTAAGTTAAGATAAATGCTAGAAAAATAAACAAGTTCTTACAGAATGTTAGTAACAGGTTCAGAAGTTTCATGCTCAGAATCATATTCTGACTCTTCAGTTTCTTCATCTTTTGTGTTTTCATTTACAGCATCTGTCATCATATCTGATGTCTGTTCATAATAATGAACTAATTCTCTTAGTTCATTCAATCTCTTTCGAACTTCATTTAACTTCCTGTAAACAGCAAAGTAAAGCATGCATTATTTCCATATAATTGCAGCCAGCACAGCCTAGTCAATAATACAGGGAATATGACTGCAAAGAATTTAATTTCAAGTACGGCTTACTCAGAATCTCATTGCTTTATTTTTTTTCACGTTGTGTTAGGGACAAAAGCATATGAGAAAGTTCCAAGCATTCACTTTAAGCAGGCATAAATGTTAACAGCTTAAAACACAATGTCAAAAATATTCCTAGGTTTCTTAATATCTATCAAAAATGAGGAGTACAAAATACTCAATTTGAATACTAGCTCTCAGGCAAATCAGGTATATAGGCATTACTGAGCATTTGTAGATGGTTCCTGATATAGACATATCATAACATACAGGGATCTATTAAGTTTATAATACATTTATAAAAAATGACAAAAGTTTAAGTTTTATTAAATGCCAGGAAGTACCCAATGTTTTTTAATCCTTAAAACATCTCTGTGAATGACTATATTATTATCCCTATTTTTTTAGATGAAGAAACAGAAGCTAAATGAAGGTAAGTTACTCATCCATGGGCATATAGCCTTGAGAGATACAATTTACAATTTCTGAGCTATCTGACTCTAAAGCCTGAGCTCTAAAACCATTTGATTATAGAAATCTTTGAACTCTAGTCCCACCATTTCTAATCCTGTATTTGGAAACAGAAATGCACTTGCTCACAGAAATCACCCGTATCGCAGTGTCACCTCGCTCTTGGACGGCCCAAAGATTGGACATGTGACACACAGACACCCTTCTACTACCATGTCACTTAAGAATGTTCAGCATGTTAAATAAACCCAGAGTTTATCCTATCATTCAACACTACTCTATTTAACAGTATTCGTAAAAGGGTTTTACTGGAGTTTTTCAGTTGGATTTAGGTGGCCTTCATTTTCATTGTCAGTCTGAGAAAGCAGAGGAGCTGCAGCGTAAGGACCCGCTGGCGCGAGGCTGTTGGGCTCTCCACTGGTGGCTGGTGCCGAGTACACAGGAGCAGAGGGGGTGGACGGGGTACCCCTTTGATCCACGCTCCTCTGCGCAGGGGCTGAAGGAGGCACGACTGCAAAAGGAACAACAGTTATCAAAAAGAATTACGGCATCAAACAACACAGTTTGCTTGGATGTAGAAAAATAAAAAGTAAAAATCACTGACATCTTAAATTCTGCATGAGGTTTAGAAACTTAAGGATATAACATCCAGACACTTATGCACATGTCCTTCAACCAAAGACAGTAAACACGGTAGAATAAAGACAACATGAGAATTGACAAGATATTGTACCTTTAAAAATAACTAGTGTTCCTTATTAAAGCCCTTGATAAACTCGCTTCTAGGTTAAGTTAAACGAGGCCACTGTGCATGACGGGCAGCACACCACCTACAAATCTGGACAGGGCAGGCCTAGCACAGCATGTCCCTAAGAGCGCTCCAAACCCACAATTCAGAGAAAGCCGTATCTGGTCTCCAAGCTGAAACTTTTCTTGTTCCAAGAGATAAAGGAAAATTGTTAAGGGTACCATGATACACCCATACCATGAAATACTACTTGGCAATAAAACTTTCTAATTAATGATGGCTAATTCCTCAGTAGTCCTTGAACTATATTTTTTAATTACTTTTCTGTTCACACACATCAGAGAATATCTTATGCCTTAAAAGACAATAAAGATTAAGAATGTTTGCACTTCTCTATCTCCTATTACTCTAAAACTATCGTGATTTCTCTCTTTCTCAGAGCAACACCATCATTATTTGTTGCCTAAAGTATCAACTGCTACAGCTAGTTTCCAGCAGTGTCTTCACCTTATTCTTGGACTGTTCCTTCTGCTGCTACTTTTCACACTGTTTTCCAGTGGGGAGAAAAATGATACTGTGGCATCATCAGTGGACTGAGTACTACTTTGTTTATGCAAATAAAACTGTTCACAAGGCCTTGAATACAACCTTCAAATTTTAAGGTTTTCTTAGTTGTGTTAATCCATTTGGGAAGGATGTGTTGGGATTATACTCTAGAGGAGACTGGCAGAGGTTGGGAAAGAAAGGAGTATGTTTCAGTGCAGAAATAGTTAAGGTGCTTTTGGAGGTGGCAGAAAAGTAGAAGATGGGTGAAGAACAAAAAACAGGGACTCTGGAAATGTTTCCATTCCTTGTTTTTTCTTTAATAAGAAAGCAGTCAAAATGTCGAAGAACAATGACCAGCTGAGGCTGACTCCACTGCCAATGCTACAGCTCCTACGGCTAACTGGGTAGAAGGCAGGGATCAGGTGTGAAGATAGCAGGTGAGAACTAGTAAATAGATCTTAACTGGAGAGAGGCAAGTAAAACATCAGCAGAGCTGTAAAGAGTTTCTATTGTATAACTTGGAGGATTACTGGCTTTCCCATTCCCACATGAGGTGATGATTTACACGTTCTTTAAATGAATGTGAGTTACAGAATTTCTACACTAAACCATATGTACTATATAAAGTTTTTTCAACCTCGCTTTTTTGTATAAAAGCTTTCATAGTTTTTAAATATAAGTATTAATTTGGCTAAGTTTTTCTTTAAGGGAAAATTTTGAATGTGTTAAAAAATGTAGCATTATTATGTCTAATTGCCTTCTCGTTTACTTTTCCCTTATTTAAATCCTACCAATTTTCCAGACCCAACTTTATCCTTCCCCTTTTCTAAATTATAGAACAGACCTTCTATCTGTTTGGTTTGGCTTTTATCAAACTCTGCCTTGTTACTAAAAAGCTTTCCACATGTGAGTTCTAGCTCCCCACAAACAGTATCATTTTCTTCAGGAACTAAGTGTTCAGTCACTCACCAAACATTTACTAAGTAACTACCACCAATATGTGCCACAGCGATGCCTGTGTGTCCTCTGCCTAACACCACTAGGGCCAGATTTACTTACATGAGTTGTTCAGATGCTGATCCCGAAGTGTATGAAGTTCTCCAAGCAGTTTGTCCATTTTTTGCTTCTTTTCCTGTAACACTCTCATTTTGCTAAAAAGTTGGACTTTCTCATCAGGCAAATGTTCTGAAACTGATGGATTCCTGCTCTGGGAAACCTCTCTAGTCAATGAAAGGCTTTCTGCCTGTCTTCTATTATCTGGAACAGCTGGAGGCTTATAAAAAATAAAAGAAGAAAAATAAAGACTAAGGTAATTTAAGGTGGCATTCTCATTTTCAAATTACATAAAAATTCTTCCCAAGAGATAAACACTTGCCTTGACTGCACTGGTGGGTAAACACATGCCTTTCCCATTCCTAACCTGCACCCTGCTCCCTGACGTGCCGCTCTAACACATGCAGACACATCAACCACACAGAGGTCTTGGATTCACTGACTATTATTTATTATCTGGATCTAAATTCAGTGATCTGAGTTAATCAAGCAGGGCCACATTTCATACAAAATAAGCTTTCAAAAAAATAATCCTTCAAAAATACCATTCTCTCTTGCCACTTTTTTAGAACCACCACCATAAACTTAAATTTCTTAACCTATCAGCTTTTCCAACCACTTTTCTATGTTTCTCTATTTAAAAAGCAATTATGAAACATTTAAAATCTACCAAGTCTTAGAAAATCACATGATGAACAAAGACTACTGAGCTCAGTCAAATTTTAACATTTTGCCATATTTGTATCAATTTTTAAGAGAAATATAGTTATGGCTCTATACATTCCAATCCCCAATCCCATTACTGTCTCCAGAGAGAACCACAATCTAAAATTAGATAGCTACTATTCTTATACATGCTTTTCTTTTGTAACGCCTATGTGTGCACCCATGAAAAATATACATTCTTTACACATTTTAAAACATAAGCTACATGATTTCCTTCTTAAACTTGCATTTTCATTCCTCAGCTCTGGTTTAGCTACTATTACTGGTTATAGCATTTCACACTATGTATATAACTTATTAGGCCATTTTCCCTGGTCATGGACATTTAGATTGTTTCTGATTTTTACTATTAACACCACAATGCTGCTTGAGCATTCTTGTGCATATCTTCTTGAGAACACGTGAGAGTTTCTTAAGGTGGGGCATTGCAGAAAATATGTACTAGATACTCCTAAAAAAACTCCCCTAGGTGGTAGGGCCACATTCGTTTATTTTTGGTTGGTCAGCAGACAAGAGATACTGCACCTTCAATCATACTGATTTGCAGTGGAGAGGTATTAATTCACCCTTTCTTATTCAAGGCCCACAAATCGAAAATCTTGCATTTATATAATTACTTTAAAAGGTCAATGAATTATAAACTTATTAACTCTAAAAATAAACATAAGAATTTTCTTAAAATCATTGGTAAAATATTACAGGGACAATGATTCAAACACAGTCAGTTTTCACATTCTGACCATGAACCTTTGAAAGGGAAAGAGAATGTAGTATCCAGCAGCGTGCAAAGGAAAAATTTCACTAATCATTTCACTCCAAGGAGATTTCCCTCTAATTTAGTGTTTCTCAAAGGATAGTCCCCAGACCACCAGCACTGGAGAACACTGGGAGAAGCCCACCCCGAATGTACGCATCATAATTTTGGAGGTGAGGAGAATCCCACCAACCAGAAATCCTTATTTTTTTTAACAATCATATCAGGTCATACTTATGCTCAGTGAAGTTTTACCACCACTGTTTTAACCAATGTGACTTTAAACTCAAGTATACTAAAAAACTGTTACCTGAGAATCACGAAGCTGATTATGAAAACGCTGAATTAAATCATTCAATTCTTCATTTAGTTCAGATGTGATACTGACTCCAGATAGGCTACCTGTAGTTTCTATTACAAACGGAAAGAAAATTAACAACTATTCATTAAAGCAGATAAGTAAATATAGCACCTTAATTTCTGAGAAGCTAAAAATAAATTTTGGGGAAAAAAATTAAAAAACACTTCAACTAACATAATTTGAAACTAACCCTCAGATTTATCTATCAATCAATTTTATTTTTTCCATCTAATCCGAAAATAAGGAGAAACTGACAAAACTCTGAAACAGTGGTCCACCTTTTTCTGTCCCAACATTTGAAGAGGGAAACCATCACAACCCAAATTAGAACGGCACTGAATGGAGTGGGGACGAGGGTAGGTCTGTCAGTCTGGGTTGAGGAGGGGGCAAGGAGAGTTGCAGTCTGAGACAGAACAGCTGATTCTGTTCTACTAGATTCAACTGATTTGGGCTACTAGGGATTGAGGTCTCAGTCTCTACCTCCCCCAGCCCATCAGTGCTTTAGTTCAGAGGCAAGCAAACTTCTTCAAGATTCAGTTAGTAATAAATATGCTAGGCTTTGGAGAAATACAGTTTTGTTTCAACCACCCAACTTTGCCATTACAGGGTAAAAGCGCCCACAGACAACAGACAGAGGGGCAGGGCTGTGTTCCACCAAGCTTTACTGCAGACAGTGGACCAAACCCAGCTGGCCCCCGTGTGCAGAGCCCTGCAGCAGAACACGTCATTTCCCGAAGCAATGCCTGCGATACGCGGCATACTAAAAGTCCGTAGTCTCTCTCTTCTGGAGGCAGTATCATGACAACAATTTGAATCCAGTTACAGGCCTACTACCCAGCACCACCCCCACCCCCCGCTTATCCTCTCCAGTTCTAGAAGAGACATTGCCTATAAATTGTTTCTGCTTTAAAGGAAAACACTAGCTTTTTCTACTGAGAAATTATAATTTCAGGCCTGGAAAGAATCCCACATATCTAGTCCAAACTCTTTTAAAAAGAAGGAAATGACAGTCTAGATAACACACAACTTTCTAGTTAAACGACGAAAGCAGCACTCTTTCCCATAACATTTCCCATAATTATGATAATTATGTTGCCGCTAACATACCAGCAGATTAAATACAATTGTTTTTTCATTAGCATTCCTCTACAAAAATCTCATAAATACAAGAGAAAATCTTTCTTAAAATTACTAATCTAAAATTCTTTTTGAAATAGTTTATAAACTAAAACTTATTTATTCTACTCCTGGTCCCTGCCTCACCACAGTACATATTTTTCTATTAAAAAAAAGAGATTATCTACTTACTTAAAAATAGAAGTTCATATTCACAAATAGAGGACTATTGACCTAAAACTCAAGAGATGGGATACTACTAAAATGCCATATAAGCCCAGGCAAGCCACAAACACCGTGTTAAGAGTCTCTTTTCTATAAAATAGTAACAGTAGCAGCTTTGGTGACTAACGTACAATTTTGTGAAAGTCAAATGAAATGATGTAAATTTAAGTATTTGAAATAACATAATTATCACAGGGAAGTCTCTGAAATCTGACACTCCAAACTTAAAATTTAATACTTAAAAGGTTAGTCATTAACCAAACTAGTACTGGTCCCTGGAAAAATATTTTTTCCTAAATATAAAACCTAATGATACTTTAAATTTTACAAGGTAAAAGTGGAGACGAAAATCCTGTAATTATTAACAACAGTGACTATATAATTATTACAAAAGAGTAAGTTATTTGCAAGTCATAAAGTTCCTAGTGAAAATGAAAAACTAAACGCTGCTCAGCGGCCACCAGAGGGCTGAGCTGGGGCGGGTGCGGGCGCAGGACAGAGTGCGCGCCAACAAGGGGACTTCGGGGAGGGCCCACGGTGGAGAGCCCCAGGAGATAAATCATCACTAGACTAGGAAGACAGACGACTAGAAAATACACCTTAGTTTTACTGAGTTCTAATAAGCAACAATTTGTTTTTAACATAATGAAAGATTAAACACCTAGTTTGAAGGAGTTGAAACAAATTAAACTCAATACTAAAGAATTCAATTAAATTTCCACCTAAATTTTATAGGGCTATGAGGGAAGGAAGAAAAAAGAACACTGGTGAGCCTCAGGAAGCCCGCACAGGATATAAGTATAGTCCAAAGGAACTACTGTACACAACTGGATACCTAACTGAAGTAAGAGAAATACTTAACTGCAGGAGCTAAAGAAGCTCTACGAAGCTAATCACTGTCTCACGTAAGGTTTTAACCCTTCCCTGGGAGGCAAGCAAAGCACAGCAGTCCTACTTAAATCAAATATAAAAGGTGGGAAATAAAAGCATCAACAGCACTATCAGTCCAAGGTACAAAAACAGACTACAGCCTGCCCCCTTTACCTCTTAAGGGTACTCTCTGATGCAAAGGAGAGCGATCTGGCTGTCTGCACGGTACAGTATGATGGCCAGGAGTTGTCCCTGCAATCTTTTCTGCATAACCAGAGAAAAGCACAGGACAGGGTAAGCCTTGTATGTAGGTTTCTGCACTAGTCAACAATCAAGATCTGACTATATAATAACTGGCATCCACCTTGCAACAGCATTAAGCCCTGCTTACAAAAAGAGCGTTCTAAGACTGTGGCATACCAGAGTCGTCCATCACGGCAATAGCTTGCTCTGCTTTATGCTGCAGAGCAAGGAGGGCAGCTTGTCTTCCCTGCAGCGCTCGCAGCTGTTCCTGCTGCTCTAACATCCTTTTTAATAAATCATGTTGTTTCTTCAAATTTTCCATCTCTTCCATAGGCTCCTGCTGAGGATCTCTGGCCTGGAAAATAAGGCCAACAATACTTACATCTATTAAAATTCATGTTTCAATTTCAACTACCCTCAGCAAAGTACATACATAGATAACAACTTAGTATTAAATGTATCACCCTAGACACAGCTTTCGTAGACGTGAGGAAAAAAGAATAATATAGAAACACAGAGAGAGCCCGCCGTATTAAGAGTCAGGTAATTTCATAGTAAAGACTATAAGCAATGGCTTAGCATAAAGTGGAATTAACAAAAGGAAAGCAAAGAAAAAGGCATACCAAAGGGAAGATGGTAAAGCTAAGGGCAAAAGGAGCTACAAACACATATACATACACAAGCAAATGAGAGATCCAGGCCTTACAGAAGAGGAAGAGCGAATCATACCAGCTTAAGGCCCAAAAGCATCCTTGAAAAAGTATCTCTGAAAAACACCACTACTAAGTGATGCTTAAAAAAATAACAATTTTTAAAATACATTTAAAATTTTAAAAACAATTTTGAAAATTGGTAATCTGATGTGAAAGACTCTAATGTACCTGTATCACATTATAGAAACAGTAAAACAGAAAATTTTATATTTTCTTATAAAAATTATCATTTTTCTTTTAAAATAAGTTCATTTAGAATACTCTGACCTTACCCACCCCCCCAAACCCTAGCATTTTGCCTAAAACTACAGGATCAGATTTTTTTAAAAACCAAGTTTTAAATTAAAAAAACACTAAGTTTTAAAAACTTAGAACTATCTAAAAGTAACCCAACAAGAAACAATAAAAGTTGATTAAGCAAAAAGACAAACTTAAATAAATTACACCTGAAATACATAGCATAATATTTTCCATCATTAATTTGCCATTTAAAAAATCTTATACTTTAAGACTTTAATGATTTTACCTAATATTTACATAAAATATTTAACTCAGAAATGTGTATTTCATTTTTTCCTGTCAAAATTCATCTTTTAGTTCTGGCTTATTTCAACACTATTTATATCTCGAAAAAAATAATTTGAAGGAAGAAGGATAACTATCAATAGCTAACTTTCTCAGATTTGATCCAAAATAACTGCATCAATGTCAGTGGTAAAATGTAAAACCAGGCTCCAACAGGCACAGATCTCAATGGACTAAAAGAAATGTCACCAAACTGATATCAAACACTCCAACAAAGTAGCAATAGTAATTAATTAGGAGAAGAAACACTGCGCAATTGTAAGGTAAAATGTCATCCTGGGAAAAAGAGGATAACCTTTAAGAATGTATACAGCTCCACCTAATTTATAATTCTCTCATTTCTCAAAAATAGTTCAGACCTCCAGGTAACCTGAAAGCTATCTAATTTTAAAGAGTTTACTAAACAATTTAATATTATGCATTTTTTACCCTTTAAAAAGCAAAGTTTTTATAAGAACTTTAATCCTTGTTAGTCACATTGTAAAACTTTGATACTATAATTATAAATTCAGAATAATTTATTAAAGTAAACACAATTACCTTCAGATTTTTCACTAATCTAAAACCCAACAATTTTCAAAATTAGTGAGGTTTTATTACTGCACAATAACTTTTGCATCCATAAGAATAACATTTCAGAATAATACTTAGAAAGACTGAACTAAGGGCAGTAGGTGGGAACTACTATCAAATACAGGGGAAGGGAAGGTGAGAAAATGGAGATAAAAGTACCGAGGGGTAAGAACAGACCAAGAGAATAGTGCATGCATGGAACTGGGATCAAGAAGGAAGCCAGGCCTACATCTGCCCTTGAATACATGTTAAACTTTTGAGTCACTTTCAACAAACACATTTTCAGTTTACAGATTTAAAAAAATAACTTGGGCACTAAATCCTGAGTTACATACAGACAACAGTCCAATTTCAGAAAACCCTAAGTCTTCTCTATTCACCTGAGGTTCCTGCAATAATTCTTCATGGATCCCAAAACACACACACACACCCTCCCCACGTCAGTCACCCAAGGACATGCTTACTGATTTTCAGAGAAAGGGGAAGGGAAGGAAAAAGAGATGGAGAGAAACATTGATGTGAGAGAGAGAGAACTGTCAGTTGCCTCTCATACGCACCCTGACCAGGGACTGAACCAGCAGCCTAGGCATACTCCCTGACCAGGAATCAAACCTGCGACCATAAACCTTAGGTTTATGGGATGACTCTCCAATCAATAAGCCACATGGGCCTGGGCCCAAGTATATCTTTACAAGCTGAAAAGTACTTCAGATAATATGCAACTCCCATTTTTTTATGTGAAAGATGAGGCATTATAAACCCACAGAAGAAAAAGATATGATTGAACTAATAATATCACAGGGGAAGTCAGCTTCCTAGGTCCTAATGTAGTGTTTTTCACACCATACTATCTGCCCCAAAATTATGCACTTAAATAATTCTAAAGTCAGAAGTCTAAGTTACAATCTCTGAAGCAGTAGTCTGATTTGGGAGACAAACTTAGACATTCAATAACTAGAACTAATGAAAATAATAGCAAAAAAAAGGGTAAATGGTATTTTAAAAAGCTTATAAATGCTCTAAGAGCTGGAATTAAGTGCAGGGGGAAAGAGGAGCATGGGCAAACAATGAGGACTTGAGTATTTGAGAGGCTTGTTTAAAATGATGCAAAATGTCATCCTACCCATACAGTGTTCCATAAAATGGGCTGTGCCCTTATAGGCAGCTTGAGAATATTAATCATTACTTATTAAGCTGCAACTCACAAAACTGCTTTAAGCTCTGAATCTCAGTTAAGATCTCAACGTTTCCCCCTACTCCTCTAACAGAATACAACATTCTGATAGGGTGTTAAAGGAGAGAGTGAAGGTGGGGTATAGAGAGAATGACATTCTGCACAGCAGAATGGTGGCACTTTGGAACATTCCTAGGAAATAAAAATGATGTTATGAGCAAAGTACTGACAGAACAATCCTAGGATGGCCCTAAGAATCAAACAATTAAAGAGACTCAGAATAAACTCCAAGAAGCAAGTTCAAGAGAGAAAAATGTTCATTTACAAGGATGTTAATAAACTTAGAAACAAAAAAGAGGTTTTTAAGAGTAAATGTAAGCAGACTGACAGCTCTAGGAGGGTCGGGGGATGGAGGGGTAGAGCAAAAAAGAAAAAAAAACAAAGAACTCATGGACATGGACTCAGACAACCATGTGGCAACTGCAGTGGGGAGGGAGTGGATGGAGGTGGACCAGGGCATGGGGGGATCGATGGTAATGATAAAAGATACCATTAAGTAAATAAAGCAATGTAAGGTCTCAGGAAAAAAACTGGCAGATACTATGCTTTAGTAATTTAAGCATATTAAGTTCCATCTGTCACTGTTCAGAAGACTTAAAGAGCACAAGTTCCGAAGAGTATCTACTGTGTTTCACATTCACTTTCTCTTCTCCAACACCAGCAGTTTCAAAAATAAAACAGCCACTTTATTTACTTTTCTGTTAAATTGGGGCACCTTCTGCTTAAAACTTTACAGTAACATCACCAGAGCTGATTTCAAACTATATCCTCAAACTTTTGTGGGAGCCAGGGGGAGAATAAAAACCTAGAGGTTAAATTTTGCCATTTTTAGACACAAAAAATATAAAACATGTACCTAACAGAAAAGAAAGACTAATCCTAGGTAATAAGCTAGTAATAAAACATATAAAATCCATCTTATCTATACTCAGTTATTAAAATAATCCTTTATTCTTGCCAAATGGAGATGAGAACTTTTAGAAATGCCATTTACTCACACAGTTTAACTGGAACACAAATTGCTGTCTTTAAACCTTTCCTGAGTGCCTTTATATAAACCATAAAAAGTTAAGAAAAAACATTTAAAGGAAACATCAGATAAAAAAACTGCAAAAACATTAGCAAAGTCGAATGATTAAATATTTTTCTTATAAAAAAAAGTTTTGTTTCCAACAGGAACAAAGCTATAAACCAAAAGGCAACAGGCCCTGGCCAGGTGGCTCAGGTGAGCAGAGCATCATCCCCACACGCCCAGGTTGTGGGTTCCTTCTCTCATCAGGGCACATCCAGGAAGCAAGCAAGGAATGCATAAATTAAGTGAAACAACAAATCGATGTTTCTCTGTCTCACTCCCTCTCTCTTTCAAATCGATAAATTTTAAAAATATTTAATTTAAAAAGGCAACTAATGGTCAAGGCAAATGTTTTGTTATATTTGTGTTATGTCTTGAATTCTCAATAGCAAAAACTATTTATGTTTTGAGTTCTCGATAGCAAAAAAGGGAAATGGATCAAGTTTCAAGTCCTTTGTGACTGCAAATTCAAAACAAATGCCAAATTAATACATGGAGAGCCCTGGCTGGCGTAGCTCAGTGGATTGGGCGCAGGCTGTGAACCAAAGCATTGCAGGTTCAATTCCCGGTCAGGGCACATGCCTGGGTTGCAGGCCATGGCCCTCAGCAACCGCACATTGATGTGTTTCTCTCTCTCTCTCTCTCTCTCTCTCTCTCTCTCTCTCTCTCTCTCTCTCTCCCTCTCTAAAAATAAAATAAATAAAATCTTAAAAAAAAATACATGGAGAGAAGTATAGCAAGCAGAAAAAAGAAAAACATTAAAGGACAGCATTTTAACAGAGCAAATTACAGTACAACTAACCATATTAATAATATATATTTAAGAGTAACAGTAGTAACAGAAAAGCAAATAAAGAAGAGGAACTATGAACAAGAGAGTCACTCACTGACTTCCCGAGTTCATACGGTGATGTACACCTTTGAGAGAAACCCAAATTTTTGGCTACTTTCCCTCCTGGGCCCCAGTCCCCTGTCTTTCTGAGGAGTTTGTCACCTTTCCCTCCTGGACTCACAGCAACCTCAGTGTCTGAAACCTGTTCTTGTGAAGCTCAATTCCCTAGTTTGCCCTCAGTGCATGGCTAAACTCCCAGACTGAAAGATGCCTCCTTTATTAAATACTGTAGCATATTAATTTCTTAACACAAACTCTAGTTTAACACACAAGCCACTCATAAATAAAAAAAACTTTACCAGTCCATTAAAAAAAAAATCAATCCACCCTCCCCAAGTGTCAATAAACTTAAGACTTTTACACCTTTCTGTACACTAGTCTACTGCTCATTACAGTTATCTTATCCTAGGCAATTTTAAAGTTATACAACTGCTGAAGCACATTTTAACATTTATGCTGCTGTGTTATTAATCAACTTTCAAAATATGATTTTATGTTATGAAAAAAATTCTCTTTGGGGAACACTACAGATAAATTATAAGTAACCAAATATATCATTTCCAACTCCTCCACAATGGAATTCCTTTCCCCACGGGCCCCCAACCCTTCCACTTAAACTAGAATGAAATGTGAGGAAGAAATTATTCCCAGCACCACTATAAACAGAAAAACCATTCCCCCACAGTAGAACCTATCCTTTTGCAACTGTTACAATCAAGTCTCTGAGTATCTCCTGATGAAAATGCAGAAAACAAACAAACAAACAAACAAACCAAACCAACCTCAAATTGCCTCTTCAAATTAAGAAGGGCAGGAAAGACAAAGGAGGCAGATGGGAAACTACGCAGGTCAGTAGTAAAAGGAAACAAACCTTCAAACTCCCAATGCTGAGTGGTATTTAGAACATATCCCAGGAACAAAAGTATATGTACATCACACTTTACCAGTAACACGAAAGCTTTACTGATAAAGAAAAGCTTTGCTGGTAACAGGTTTTCAAGTTTACTAATGCACAGGTACAGGTGCATCTGTTAAAATAAAAACGCTTAAAAGCCAACTAGTTTCAAAGGACACTAATTTCTATGAAGCTTATTTTACAAATCTTTCCTCAAAATTCTGTAAATTCCTGATTATTTTTCAAAAGATGTATTTTGGCTCTATTCCCTAGTGGGCCTCAGTTCCCTGGCATTCTGAGGAGGTCTCTCACCTTTCCCTTTTAATAACCTCACTTTGCAGAGTCAGAAGTTAGTGTATTTTTCACACTGTGAATAAATCACAATGAAAATGCTACCTTGTCCCATTTTCATCTCAATTTTTCAGTCTTTTGATTTGCTCCAGTTTAGGCTAACCTGAGAAATAAAAACCCTAACAGCCTTCAAACGAGTCCTCAATGGCAAATAAACCTGGAGACTTCCAACGGACAACACGACAGGCACTGATTCTCCCCACTCACAGCTCTTATCTCCACGATGAATTTGAACTTTCCCAATGCTGTTCAAAAGGACTAAAGCTGTGCTAAATGAACAAACTAGAAAAACCATGCTTCTGTAAGCTGAAGATCAGAACGATTAGATTTTAAAATCAGCCGTTAAAACTATCTTTAATGTTAATAAAACTTTTAAACTTCCATGTTTAAAAATATATTCAGCATTAGCAATTTGAGGTTTCTTCCCTGAAATATGCTTTTCATTAAGGAATGCCTATAAAAATATAATCTTACAAAATGGCAGAAAAGTTTAAGCCTTCATTTCTAGCATCTGAATGACCAACAAGCTGCTTATGGGGGTCTCTGGGGCCTCAGCCTGCACCTCTGTAGTCAGGGATGGGCCCTCGGCTCCGGAACCAGGCCCCACAGCTGAGTCTGTAGTTCCAGCATCCTGCTCCTCCTCGTCTCTACCCTGAATTATTTTACTGGTATAAATCAGACAACTATTACAAAGAGCAGTAAAATGTTATAATGGATGGCACAGTTTTCTGGAAACACGTCAACTCGTCTGAGGTGGCATCAGAATGTCACAGTACATGTACATCAATAAACTACAAAAATAACTCAATACACATTATGTAAAAGGTCCAGAACTTACAAGGATCTTTTGGAGAACTTTCATGTATGACTTTTCCTGTTCTTTAAGGTGATCTATTAGATGAGTAAGGCGCTCGACATTAGCAGATCTTTCATTTTTCTCTACAAGATCCTCCCGCATGGAGCTAGCTTTGGTAATATAGTCACGAATCTGAACAAGCCTGCTTACAACCTGCTGGGGAGATTTTTTTTTAAAAAAGGGCATGAAAGTAAACAGTATGTAAAATCGAGCATAATTCATTCAACAGCAATAGTTTTTAAATTTCAGCTAAAATAACAAAATACTTCTAATTACTATGTACATTCATACATGCAAAACATCTGAATCAAATTTAGAATTTAATCAAAACTATCGGCAACACTAACAACTCCAATTACTGCTATGTTTTAAAATTTCAAAATTAGTGTTTACATTACCTGAAAATTTTTATTTACAGAACTGCACACCAAACTATTTATATAAATTTTGCTTATGTTATTTATATGTAAATTTAAAGTATTATAAATACCTTTGAAAGTACTTTTCAAAAGAATTATGTCACCATTTAAAAAAATTCTTACTACAATCTATTAATCACATTGCTCCCAACCCCCCGTACTAAAATTGGCAGTATCTGGCAGAAAAACAGTAGTGATTTACCTGAGTAATCATTTCTATAGTCATTTTAGGTTAAAAAAAAAAAGGGAAATTTATTTTCAATAAATCTGATAGATTGTCAAGTATGAAGGAGTATTTTAACTCTGCTTAACAAAAATTCCTGTATGCATAATCTAATACAATTTTTTAAATGTTAACATTTTATACTTGGAGGTTTGTGAAGGCAAAGGGCAAAAGAAACAAATTTTTACCATCTGGCTGCTCTCCATGGCAGGCTCTCCTCTCCCATCTTCTTCAGAGACTTGACAGTTTTGCAAAAGGTCGTTACTTAAAGCGGAAGCAAACAACTCTTTGCACTGCGCCGGCCCAGTCCCTTCTTTCTTCTGAGGACTGGGGGCGGCGTCTCTGCTCTTGTTAGTGTTGATCTGCATGGGCAAGCAGTTGAAGGGCTTGCGGTTCTCACCAAGCTGACGCTTGTTGTTAGCGGCTGTTGCTCTGCCTTGAGAGTCGCTTCCAATGCTTCTCTACATGGGAAAAAGAAACCAAATCCACAAAACGTTAGCCATCCAACAGTTCTAAAGAAATTTCAACGTTCTGAGCTTCACCATCAGATACCGATTCAGCTTGCAGTAACATATGAAACAGCTACAGATCTACAAAATTCTACTAAAACATCAAAATTTGATTGGTACAACCTATTCCTAATCTTGTCAAACTATTCAATTGAAGACTATAAGCAAGATTAGTCTACATAAAACACTAGGAATATAGACCATATTTATAACTCACAGTACTAGTCTTACATGTTCAGAGTTTTATATAGGCTTTGGCCCAGTGAATCAATGTTAATCAATACAAATATGAGCACGAAGATGAGTCTCTATGGAGCCCCGTATGAAAAAGTACTGGGCTCAGTGCTTGGCATGTGTGTTCAATAGTTAGTAAACAGATGACCAAAGGACAGACGACCATCACCGTACCAGACCTGATGTACCTTTATGCATATCTGGGAATCTGTTTATCTCTGTAAAGTACAGATGTAATATTAAAATATTAAGAGTTCATTATCATTTATAAGAAATGGAATATTATTCAGCTTAAAAAAAAATGGAAATCCTAACACACACTGCAACACGTTTGAACCTTGAGAACATTATGCTGAGAAAAATAAGCCAGTCACCGACAGATAAACATACACGAAGTTCATTCACACTGACCTCAACACCGCGGCACAAGTGGTTATACCTAGTACAAGACGAAGCCCCAAGAGAAGTCAGATTCAGAGACAGAAAGCAGAACAGGGACTGTCGGGAGGTGCGGGGAGGGGAGAGTGAGCAGTTGCTGTTTAATGGGAGCAGAGTTTCAGTTTTCCAAGACGAAGAGGGTTCTGTACCTGGGCGGTGGTGATGGTACCACACAAGGTGAATGTATGCAATGTCACTGAACTGAACTAAAAAAGGTGGAGATGGTTAAGTTTATGTTATGTGTATTTTACCACAATTTTTAAAAAGAGCAAAGCTCAGTAACTTTAGTTCATTATCATTTCTACTTCCTCTTCTAAACTTTATTTCACTGATTATATAAATACAAACCACAGTTTTATTCTAAACAAGTTTATCCAGCCAAAAATACAGTCAAAAATCAGTTCTTGAACATCTTGGTTCTCAAACAATTCCATCCAGTTGTTTCCATTGTCTAACAAAACTCTGGGTGTCGATTCTCTACCTGACAACCCTTTCATGCCGACACCTGTCTGATCAGTCATGTCTCTCAGGCAACAAACAAAGGAGACTCAGTTTTCAAACAAATCGCTTCTCAAACAGTTTTTCTGGAACACATTAAGTTCTAAAACCAACGTTCCACTGTATTCTAAACTTTTCCTTAATAGCGATCTGATTCAGTACTAACATGCAAAATTTAGTTTCATAATGAAATCATTTAAGTTAGTCATACAGTACAGTAACCAAGTCCAAAAAGACTCGTCCTTAGCAAGTTTAGAAATAAGGCTTTTTTGCCCTTCAAAGAACATAGTACCACCACTACCGATTAAAATTCTTTCCATATGCACAGATACTAAGAAAAAAACTAATAAACAGCTTGACTTTTTATTCTTAAGATAAATTATTTAATCTATTTTAATTCTTTTCCATAGCCATATACTGAGTTTTGAAACAATTCACTGACCTGATCTAAATCACTGAAGTTTATCCGCTGCTTAAGCTTCTCGAGCTCCGCCTGCTCCGGAACAGACATCTGGGTCACGTATCTGCTGTGCGGAAACGTGTGCGGAGTCTTCGTTCTTCGCCTTCCAACTCCTGGTGACGACTCCGGAGAAATGTCATTGGTTACCCGCTTGTCACTTTCTACACCAAACTTCTTCTTATTCTTTTCTGATGATCTATTTGCCTTCTTCTGTTGGCCACCCCAATCCTTTAAAACAGTAAAGGCAAGAAGAGTTAACACGGTCTCTGTCAAACCAGGAGAATAATTTGGTATACTTAAAAAAATTTGGTCCATCTTAGAAATGACAAAAACACTTTTCACATATATATGTAGTCTTTTCACATAAATATATAGTCATAAATATATTTACTATTACTAATCCATCTTCCCATTATGGCTAGTCTAAATTTCATAGGCTGTCCTTTAGAAAATACATTACTTTCCTTTTTACAGATCATTATCAGATACAAATGCCCAAACTCCAACTCTACAGTGAGTCTAAATACTTTCAAAAAAACATTTTTAAAAATGGTCCTTTACTATTTATAAACTGAATAGTGAAGTGAATCGCAGATACCTTTCCCGGCCTCCTTTCAAGTCAGTACGTATGAGAAAACAGACCTGAAATCAGCCTGGGCTCGGAAGCAGTGACTGTCTCTGAAGAAACGCTCCACTGCATGGCCCTGAGCAACGTACTGAACTCCCCACAGCCCGAGTTCCTTACTCTCTAAAACAGCGGCACCTTTAGAACACAACTAAACATGACATACATGAAACCATCCAGCACGGTGCCTAGTATGTGGTGAGCAATAAATACAACTTATTATTCTTAAAGACGACAATGTGTTACCTAAGATCTGATGACAAAAATGCTTCATGTTTTAACTAGAAAACATTTTTACCTACTAAGTTCCACCCATATAACCTAACTCATTCAACAAAAAGTCTACGAATTCCCACAGTATCTAGATTAGAAGAATCTTTTAGTTTTACGCTAGTAAAAACCTTTGGCATATTCTAATTTAAAAGAAAACTCCCTTCACTACAGACTGTCCCTTCACACCAGTCCACCCGTTGGTGCGCCTGCCCACCTCGGGGTCTACCTACCCCGCCCTGTCTGGCCTCAGATGACTGCACACAAGATGCACATCTACTCCAACATGGGAAATCATTACTTTAAAACTTCACACTGTGACTAAGAGACCACTGGTTGGTATTTAATTGCAGCTGTAACTGAAAACTTCGGAAAGAAAGGGCAGCTACAGTGCCCCATGTGGACCAGAGAAGAGAGAAAGCTGGTTGGTGAGGATACAGTTGTGTTACTCGGGGACTCGGAAGGAGAGTAAGGGAAGTGAAAACGTAATTCTTGACAACTCTGTAGTTCCTTCTCTGTCCCTTCCTAAAACCCAACCTTATTTCTTTACGTTGTTTTCCATAAAACAGCTTTATATCCTTATAAAAAAACTTCCTCTTTGGCTTAAGCTAACTCAAGTCGATACCCTCTCACCTGCAAACAAAAATATCTTCACTAACATAACAAATAGCCCAGCATCATTTAATATCTTGACCAGCCAAAAAAAATGTGTTTGTTTTACAAAGTTTCAGTGAACTAGACTTAGCTAAGTCACGGGAAAGGTGCATTTCAACTGCTGGCAGTCAATGACAAACCACCAGTAAAAGCATCATACCATGTTGTTGAGTCGGTCATCAACACTCTCATTGCTCCAGTTGGGGGAATCCTGATCATTCATGCCTTCTTCAAAAGGACCTCCTCCTGCGGCCATACTGGCTTTAACAATTAATTTTCTGTAAAACAAGTAAAAGCTAACCTTTTAGGCATATAAAAACACACTCTAGCAATATGAAAGAATCTCGGAAAAGCTGATTTCATAAAATAAAAAGAGCCCCTGCCCAACCACACACGAACACTGATTTAGCTGTTGTAGGCCTATCATGACTAGCATGAGTTCAACTGCTGGGGTGATGGGGAGGGGAAGGAAAACCTCTGAATAGCCATTATGCATGCCGGCATGCAAGCTTTAAGGTTATTTAATTTATTCAACGAAGTCCTAAAAGGTCATGAGGGAGGAAAAAGTTATTAATAGCTAGAACCAAAAGTGCTCTTAGAAAAGAAACTAATACCTCCCAAAGACCGGGGCATTTGTTTTGTGTCAAAGATTCAGGGGGCAGAACTGCTCCGCATGGAACATGGAGAAAGGCTTCGTGTCAGTAACAAAGAAGGTAATGGTGAGCAAGATGAGAACACAGGCAGGAAGAAGGACTAGATGGGTGAATGGCCGATAAAAGTCGAGAATACAGTGGCTAAAACACTTTCAAAATACTGCTGCCTGCTGCCCTATTGTACTGCTGGGGATTTTGTGAAAATAAGGGAAGGCAGTGAATTTCTTAACTGGATCAAAGAGATGAGAAGCAGGAGCAGCAATGGTAAAAGCAAAGGTTTAAGAGCAGAGAGTACCATGAAAATAAGACTTCTACATGTCCTGTGGAGGACTTCGGATTTCCACTGGGTAGGAACTGCAGGAGTTAGAGAGGGGGGCTGAGTGAAAGAGGAGATGGTGGGACAACTTTACAATTCAAGGCCAGAAAAGGCTATTAGACATCAGGGTTGTAATAGGTTTCTCATTTTACAAACACTAACAATCAAAGGAGTTAGGTAATTTTGCCAAGGTCATTCAGCTGAAAATGTCAAGGATGAATATAAATCCCAGGTGCTTTTACTCTAAGATCCTAACTTATCCCATTCATCACCAGAGCACAATGTTAAAAGGATTATCATCCATGACAAAGTAGGATTTATCTCATAGACAGTTTAATGTTAGGATATCTATCAGAATAATGTATTAAGAGATTACAGAGCAAGTTAAATTTTATCATCTCAAAATAAAAAGGGATCTGATAGAATCCAATCCTTCAAATTTTAAAAACTCTTACAAGTACAAATATACTGACACTGCTTCATAAGTATATATATTTTTTTTCTAGTGTTTTCTTCCAATGAACATATGAGGTCTCTCTAAAAGGTATACAGCCATGTAGTATGAAAAAGAGACATTTATTGAAGAAGATATACAAGATACAAGATACAATGCACACAGGACAATGACGCCTCAGTCCCCTTCAAAGTAGGCAACCTGGGACCTCACACAGTTCTCCCCATCACCATCAGCTGCCAGGTCGTATTTTCCTGACTCTCACTGATGGTCTGAAATCTCTTCCCTTCAAAGGTGATTTTAGTTTTTGGGAAAAGCCAGAAGTTGAAGGGCGCCAAATGTGGGGTGTGGGGAGGGCTGAGTCACTTGGGTGATGTGATGTTATGCATGACCTAGCACCCTGTCATGACCAAGTTGCCAATCACCAGCTGCCCATAGCTGCGGCCTTCTGAATCATCCCAATAGCTTCTACAGAGGAATGCTCAAGCTTAAGATGAAATCTGATGCAGATTGGTTGTTCTACTGGCTCAGTCATTTTGAATGTGACAGCCACACGGTACACATGCTCACTTAACGGCATCTACTACCCCCACTGACTAGTACGGTGAAGGGGTCACGGTTCACGCATGCACATTCCAGTTCACTCGCCTTGGCTGCCAGGTTACACCAATGTCATGCAAACCATTTGTTATAGTAACAATGGCTGGACTTTTTCGGGACAGGCCTCATATATTACTTTAATAAATTCTACAGAGTTGAAAAAAGTACATTTTAAACCAATAGGCAATGATTTTCAAATAAGACATGAAGGCCATTCCTATTAACCCTGCAGCGGCCGCACTTCAGAACGGTGCGTGAGAGGTCATCGACCACTGTCATCCACATAACCACTCAAGGGTTAAAATACAGACCAAAACAAGAATGACACATGGCAGTTATTTAGCATTGCTTTGGAAGTTCTAAAGAACAGAAAAATAAGGAACAAACATTAATATTATAAAGAGAGAAGGTATTTTTAAAGAATATGCATTATAAAACCTTCAAAACTTAAAATGATCACCAATAACCTCTCAGAAAATATACTGGAGAAAAATGATGCCACTGACACTAGTGACAGAAAGAACGAAATATCTAGGAATAAAATTTGCCCTGTGTGGGGAAGCACCATTCAACTCCAGAAAACAACAGAAGAGAAAATTTTAATAAGTAGAAAAACAAACTATCTTCCCTGGTGGGACAACAAATGTTATAAAACATACCATTTTTCCTAAATGTTTAGCCTTAATAAAACTGCATGAAAACTCCCACTGTAATTCTCCTTGGAATTTAACAAAACAAGTAACAATAAACAAGCCACACAAAAAAATTTTACTGTCTAAAATATAAAAGTAAGAGAAGCAATAGACATAGGAGAGTAAAAAACTAGTCCCAAGGTAATTCTACTACACTGAGTGCCTATATGGTTAAATTAGTACCATAGGATTTTCTAAAAAGAAAATCCTTGAATATTCAAAATTTAAAAAAAAGTAATAAAAAAATTAATTACAGCTAAATCTGTATGTTGGTATTTACTATATATAAGCCAAGCACCATGCTGAATATTTTATGTGCCTTTTATCACTTAATCCTCACAAGAATTCTGTGATGCAGGATTATTCAATTGATGAGACAATTTGGTAACAATTTTGAAAACAATTTATTTAGAGCTTTTAAGAGCCTTTCTTTAACTTAGATTCTTCATCTCAAAAAGAAACACAGAAAAATGATTTAAGTGACTATTTTCTCAATTCCTCCAAGGATGGTACATACCCAATACCAGTGCAGACACAGAGAAGGATTAATTCACAGTAAACAGCGGGGGTCTTACAGCATCAGAGTTTAAGTCTCTCCAAGTGAACAAGGCTGCCTTATACTCCAGCAGTGAGACAGTAAATAGATTAATAAGATTAAATAAATCAAATAAGCAAAACAAAATGAACTTAAAAGGGACAGATCTTACTAATTTGGGATGTAGAAATAAAATTTAAAAAGTTCAATGGATTTTATTCACATAAAAATGAATCCTAAGTAGCTGAAAATAAATAGTAAATGACAAACTGAGGGAAAAAACCTGAAATACATATGAAGTATACAGTTAAAATCTTTACTATAAGAATAAAAAGAGACTAAAAGAAACTCCCTCAAATTAAGTATGATCAATTTACAAAAAAATCAGTACACATAAAATGATAAAAATAATATAGTCCAACTGAAAATTAAAATAAGCGACTATTAAATTTGCTCAATTACATATATTGACAAATCCCCATGAAGGCAAAGAGAAACTGTATAACCTTTCTGGAAAGCATTTTAGCAATACTGTATCAAGAACTAAAACTATAATTATGTTTTGACTATAATTATGATAAATTAAAAACAAACTAAGTATCAAATAATAGCCTCAATACTATTGGGTCCGAACACCCTTCAAAATATGTAATTATGAAGGCTGAACAATACTGCCTGCTCTTATCATCAGAAGGTTCATATCATCATCAAAAGAGGAAAAAAACAATATGCAAAACTGCATACAGATTTTAAGAAAATACAATAAAATGCTTGCATGCAAGCAATTGTTAGTTACAGGGATAGGAACATGACTAATTTTCCTCTTTTCCCTGTCTTATAAATTTTCTGCAATAACTGATTCCCATACAGAGATATGTTCAGTGAGCTGAAATGATTCATTTAAACTATTTTGCCACTATTATTTTCTAGATGAATCCATATAATTTGTAATATTAAGTAGGAGCTCAAAAAATACATATGCAGTACAAGAATGCCACATTTAAAAGTACTAAAAGCAAGCTGTCCTAAAATGTAAATTAGAATGGAAAATTTTTAAAGTTATTGAAGTAAAAACTCTTCCTTAACAATTTCCCCCTCAAGACAGAATATATTACACTTTCCTATCAGTAAAGTAATAAACTCAGTTTACTTTAAATTTTTTAACACTGTAAGTGAAGCCCTGACCGGCGTGTCTCAGTAGGTTGGGCGTCATCCCACAAAGCTGGTCCTTTCCCGGGTCAGGGCACCTGCCTGGGTTGCAGGCTCCCCCCAACTCCTCCCACCATCAGGCCATATGCGAGAGAGGCAGCCTGACGTTTCTCTCCCTCTCCCTCCCTTCCCGTCTCTCTAAAAAGAAATAAAAACCTTAAAAAAGAAAAACAGACTGTATTTTAAAAGACAATGTTTTATGTACTATGATACATTTCAAAAATGAAAAGCTTTTAAGGATCTATTTTTAAGCTAGTGACTGAATAATATTAAAATAAGATTCTAAAACAATTTGAATATATTAAAATTAGTTTGGGAACAACGGATCAAATATTTCTAAACCTTTCTAAGAATACCACTTCCTAAATAAAATTTATTTAGTTTATTAAATAAACAACTTTGTCCTATTGTTATATTGTGATTGGCATACAATGAGGTAGAATATTTAACATAATAACAAAATGCATTTAAAAGGCACAGGCCTACAGGAGTGAAATTATTAGTACAAAACTAAAGAAATAATTGCATGTGGATCAATTCTCAATGTTAACTTTAACAGTCAGCTCATCTCTCTAAGAAAGTATCTCCCCTATAAAAGGTAGAAAATAAAGCCGAGTTATTTCTCTCTTCATGCCAACCTCCATAACCACCTCAAAGTCACCATTAAATATATAGGATTTGTCTTGTAAATTTTATTCTGTAGACAGTATATACTAATATAAACTATTACTTAAACAGTAATTATTATTATAAACTATTACTTATATAGAAAGACCTCCAATAACCACAATACTAGGTATGTAGACAAGAGGACCAATA